ACACACACACACACACACACACCATGCTTCAAACGAAATGATGGGACAGCCTTAACCAGATTGCACAAAAACAGAATTCATAGCTTTTTCTGCATTCTTCCATGTCTTTTTTAAAAAGTATTTTATTTCAAGGAAATGCACTCCTCCTTTTTCCAAATCCAGCCATTAGTATGTTGGGCTTCATAAAACCTAATCTGTTTTTGACCAGTTTTAATATGTCAAGATTCTTGTGATGGAACCATCACCACCCAGTAGAGAGTGTGCTGAGTTTTGATGTGGGATATCTCACTCAGGATAGGGAGCTTGCTGCCCAAGGCCAAACTACAAATTATTGGCTTTACTCATTTTTAAAGGGGAAGGGGAAAGGAAGATCCTCAAAATCTAAGCTCTGATGAACTTGGGGGAGAGTTGGCCCTTCCCTGCTTAAAGTCCCGAAATTTTCATTCCTTGGAAGCTCCATTTGCAGCTTCTCTCTTGGGGCAAAAAAAGAAGCTTATGGGAGGTGTTTGTTGTTAAGGGTTAGGTCTCCCTCCCCACCTACTGCCATTCTTTCCCTGCTATCCTCATGGCTTTTCCCCCTTTAAAGTATAAAAGCTGAATATCATCGTCATCGTCATCTTAGAACTGCAGAGCTGGAACGGACCCTATGGATCATCAAGACCAGTCCTTGTCAAGGAGGAACGGTGGGGAATTGAACTCCCGACCAGATACCTAAACCACTGAGCTATCCAGCAGTTCAATTTGACCACCTATTGAATAGCACAGGTTGTTTCAGGCTCATCTACTGTGGAGGTTTTCCGCAGTCCCAACAACATGTATTTGTATTTGTGAAAAAGAAGAGGGCAAACAGAATCCATATGGGGAATACCGGAGATATAAGGGGAGGAGAGACAGAGGGATGAAGGAGATTACTTGGAGACCTTCTCAGTATGCCAGAACTTAAGACATGTTAGTACAAATTATTCTTGTACCAGGATTTCATGATGTTGCCACTCAAGTCTCACATTCCTGAACTAACATAATTATTTGTGAAACTGTATCTGTTTGTTATCTTAACATTGAAAAAACCATTTTATTAATCTGGTGCTCTAAGTCCTGTTCCCTGACTGAATGGGGAAAAGGCTGGATTGGAATTTAAAAGGTCTGTCTCCCATATTCCCACTTCCCAATATGCCAATATATCATACAGGAAGACTTAGAGGTACCTTTTACTTAGAGGTACTTAGAGGTACTCTTTAGGGATACCACCATGTAATTAATTTTTTAAAACTGATGGAGCACATAAGCTATAGTCTACATACAGTCTTTCCCCACCCACTCCCATCTCCTCTGCTCTTTACCGAGCAGGGCAAGTTATTTCCGTAATTTGCCAATATCCTGAAGTGGCTTGCTTATTAAACCACTTCAGGATATTGGCAAACTGAAAAAAGGAAGGCTTGCTTTGGATCAATTCCAGCGACCACAAGCACTGGAACTGATCCAAACCAGAGTGGTTCTACCCACATTAGAAAAGTAGATGCCCCTTGACAGAGGCCAGTAAGGTGTAGATAGGAATGCTCTGGGGGTGGACTGGTGTACTCAAGCAAATATGTTACTAGTCCTTTTTAACTAAGGTGTAGATAGGAATGCTCTGGGGGTGTACTCAAGCAAATATGTTAATAGTCATTTTTAACAGTGTACCAGCCTGTCCCTGCAGCACTCCAAACAGCAGGCTAAACAATCTGTGAAGTCAGCCTCTAAAGGACCTTTTCCCACAATGCACCAATAGCCTATTCAATATTTACATGCATGAAAGCTCTGACAAGGTGTCAGTCATATGCCTGGTTGTGTGTAGCCGGCACCATGACAACTTCTGCAGTTAGAGCTCTGTGCACGCACAAGTGGTGAACAGGATACTGGTCAATATCCACCAAGACAAGGTGTCAGTCATATGCCTGGTTGTGCGTAGCTGGCACCATGACAGCTTCTGCAGTTGAGCTATGTGCATGCACAAGTGGTGAACAGGATACTGGTCAGTATCCACCACAACAGTGCTAGGATTGCTCCGTTGGGATTGAGCAGCAGTGAGTTTTACCTAGTGGGATTTCACAGTGCTCTCCAACCCATCCTGCGAAACAAAAGCAGAATCCATCCCCATGCAGCCCTTCGTTGCATATCCCATTCTCTGTGCAATTGCATTCTGCAAAGGGAAGAAAAGAAGCCATCATTGTCTTGAGCTTGATCAATGGTCCTGATGACTGTACATGGCTGATGATTGGCTATTGAAGGTGCCGCATGTGGTGGCAGATGTGACCCATGCAGACTAAAATTATGCATTGGCAGAAGCCATCATTGTCTTGAGCTTGATCAATTGGCCTGATGACTAAATGTGGCTGATGATTGGCTATTGAAGGTGCCCCATGTGGTGGCAGATGTGACCCATGCAGATTAAATTATGCATTGGCGATATTTATATATGTGTCTTTCATTCTTTTAAACTGCTAATTATTCAGTTTCTACAAATGTAACAAATGGTATCAGCAGATGTCCAGTCAAAGAAACTATTCCCTAACTAAATAGAGATGGTTGAAACCAGGCAAATTGCTTCTTAATATTATACGGGATGAGAAAGCCATTAGCATTGTCTTCAAATAAGATAGCAAACAATGCTGTCTCCTATCTATCTATCTGTCCGTCCATCCATCCATCTAACTGCCTGTTTACTATCTATCTATCTGTCTGTCTGTCTGTCTGTCTGTCCGTCCGTCCGTCCGTCTGTCCGTCCATCTATCTAACTGCCTGTTTACCCTCCCTCCATCCCTCCATTCCCTTCCCTTCCCATCCCATCCCTCCATCCCATCCCTCCATCCCTCCGTCTGTCTGTCTGTCTGTCTGAATTATAGGCTGCCTTTCTCCTGATAAGAAGACTCAAGGCGGCTCACAGTATTAAATAGAATAGAATCCCATCCCTCCATCCCATCCCTCCATCCCTCCGTCTGTCTGTCTGTCTGTCTGAATTATAGGCTGCCTTTCTCCTGATAAGAAGACTCAAGGCGGCTTTAACACACACTAAGTTATACATTAAAAAACAACTATAAAACTGATTAAAATACATTGAATGGTTCAAAACATGTAAAATGTTAAAAACGATCTTAACTAAGAAATGGCATAAATTATTCAGCTGCGCCAATATCCACCTGAAGCCAATGACCAAGTGTTCAGCTACTGCACATGGCTGCCTCTCATTCATTATGACAATTTAATGAACCGCGAATTGCCAGTAATCAGACTGCTGCAGGGAGGCCCAAGCTGCAGGCTCACCACTGAAAGCAGAGCTGTACCTTTGCACTCCGGCCCATAGTGGCCTGGGGCGCAGTGCTCACAAGCTGTCCCCATGAAGGTCGCATTGCAGCTGCACTGTCCTGAGCCTCCCTGCCCGTCATCACAGGTACCACGATGGTTGCACGGGGCCTCCAGCCCACCAGGACACACTGAAAAAAAGCAAATCATAGAACATTAGCTGGATAAACATATAGTTTTTTTTAACCTTTGAAGGTCACCTGGCTATGACTTTCATTGTTTTTAACAGGAGCCCTATTGTTGAGAAGTGGAAGAACAAGGGCAATGGATAAAATCTGTAAGAAGATTATGATTATGATCCTGATGAACAGAAGCCCCATGGTTGAGGAGTAGAAAAACAAATGTACTCGATGGGCTGTGTAAGAGGATAATTGATTACATTTCAATGTATTCTCGAAGGCTTACATTTCCTTTCGTATTTTACAAAACAGAAATGCAGAGATCCCTGGACTGAGCTGTTCATTGCAGGCTAAGGGACTGAGTTCATGTTTCTTTGCCTCTGTAATTTATCTTTGTATTTATCTTTAGGCTATCAGCATTCAGTTAAAAGGGCACAGGTTAACATGAAGTTTTGCGTAGTATGGAGAAATTGCTTTAGGTGTTTAGAAGTATTATCCTTATACAGGGTCATCATTTGCCCACAAGCACATCATCTAATATGACTTTTATATGTAACTGACACTAAAGCAAATATGCACCAAACTGTACCAAGATGAAGCCAGGAAAACCTAAGATAGCTAAGGGTTTTTTTTTCTTTTCCAAGCAGTGGCAAGAACTCAGCTTTTCAAGGTTGATCTCTGAAAGGTAAATTGCAAAAATGTTTCATAAGGTAAGGATATGTCATAAGGACTTGCCTTGTCAAGCCCCATCTGAAGCTCACTAGGGCTTCAGATGGGGTACCAGGCCCAAAACCCAGTTGGCTGGTCCCCTACAGATAAAATGATGTCATGGCTGTGACCACATGATGTCACTGGCTCCCCAATTTATTAACTGGGTCTTGCTTTAAGTGCCCCAGGCAAGTAATCTGCTTTACTTCCCCACCCACCTTTCCTACATAGGAATAAAGTCATGTTGTTTCTGCCAGCAACTCACAAAGGACTGGGGAACCAGTCTCACTAAATTCCTTGGGCCATAAGTGTGAACGAATGATCTTAGGATTGTGGAGTGCAGAAAGTGAAGAGACTTTTGTAAATAAACTTTACTGTTTTACATTTAAATTCAGTACAAATCTTCTGCCATGTTCACATAGGGTAATCCAATATTTATACATGGCCTTGTGGCAACTGGAAAAATCCAGCAGAAATTTTGGGGTGATTGTAAAAGGTCCCCAGGCACACTACTGCTGACTGGAATGTCCTCCTGCCTAACATAAATGGACGATCATTGCTTGAAAAAAAGAGACAGAGAAAACACCATTGAAGTTACAAGAATGTATTAGTGGGGTTGTAAAAATAAGGAAACATTTCTGATTTTTGCAAAGATTTGTCTAAGATTGAAGTTAGTATACCACACAAACAAGGAGAGTATCAGAACGAAGTCTTGTTAGGAACAATGGTAACCAGTTCTTTAAACATAAGTATCCAGAAAGAGTTCATCAAAGTGCTACATTTTCCCAATAAAAGAGAAAAAAAGAAGATACATGACTCCTCGTGTGCTATACAGCAGAGGTCCCCAACCCCCGATCAGTGGCCCAGTGCTGGTCTGTGGCCTGAGCCAGACTGGGCCATGGAGACCCTATAGCATGTGCATAAGTGGGGGGGGTGCCCCGCCTTCCCCAACCGGTCTGCGGGGGTAAAAAGGTTGGGGACTGCTGCTATACAGTACTTATTAGATACGATCACTCCAGACACCATAAGTAAATCAAGAAAGGAAACCTTAAACTTCATTTTCGTGCCTAGAGGCCTGAGAATGATCCCTTACCCTGGCAATCTCTTCCATAGTGATTGGCACAGCACTGTGGAATCCACCTGGTGGCAAAGCAGGTTCTCTTGCATCCCTTTATCAAACTGCTTCCAAGAGGAGACCATCTGATCCCCTCATATCTTTGTACAGGGCTCCATTGTGCCTCCCGAAACCAATAAGGCCTCCTGCTAGTATGTCCATTCAATGGACGGCTTATGTACGGACCTCTCTGATACAAACAACTCTGGACGTCCCCCTAGAAAAAGCAACGACAGGGGTTAATGTTTCTTTCCCTCTTTAGAATCTGTTCTTTAGGGCGGTGCTGCCCATCTGGCATGCAGAAAATGTTGAGAACAGGAGAGCTATTACAACGAGTGGGGAACAGCCGGTCCCTGGCTCAGGCATTCCCTAGTCCTCTCTGGCTTGCCTCTCATACTCAGTACATGGAGCAGCACTGGCTGCCAGCTTCTTCCATAGCCATTCTCTCAGTCTTGCCTTGGTAGATCTCAGTAGAGAACTCCCTTATCCCCATCTTCCTCTCTCTTTTCCCTCTCACTCTGTAGATCAGGGTGGAAAACCTTGCCTGGACTACATTCCAATCTGGTTGACAGACTGGTGGCTATCCCCACCCCATACCTCACAATAACCACTGAAAATGAGAGAACAGCTTCCAAACCATTCTTGCAAGTTCTCTGCAGTTATTTTATTTTTATTTCAATTTCTTTCCACATATTCAGTGCCGGGGCATTGCTCACAGCTTTGATTTTTGTTTAAAACTGCCCCTTAATTGCCTTAAGTGCATGAAAAAAAAAATCTTCATTCAGAAGAAAGACCTTCCTGCCTTCTTTCCAGAAAGTAATTACTCCAAATGAAGACTTCCTTGATCAGTCAAGGTACAGAAATACAGTTTTGGACAAAGGCCGTGAACAACATTTGACCTCTAAATTAAGTCAACACAAATTGGAATGAGCATAAAATAGCCTAAACTTAAAATAAGCTGGCAGGGTGTTTGGAAAGCTGCAATGCACATTTTCCACATCTTTGAAAAAGGAAGGAATTCCTTCAGGGGAAGGTTCTGGGAGATGGTTTGAAAAACTAGCTTGGGAGGGGTATAGATGTTGAAATCTACCTTTGCTATAGAATGGACCAAATAGGCATGATATACAGTGGTGCCTCACAAGACGAGCGCTTCGTTTAACGAAGAAATCGCATAACAAAGAAGTTTTTGCGATCGCAAAAGTGATCACAAAACAATGTTTCCTATGGGTTTTTTCTGTGCTAACCAATTATCGCAAAACAAAGATTTTCGCACAGCTGATCGGCGGTTTCAAAATGGCCACCAGGTAAAAAAAATGGCCGCCCGCTGTTTTCTGGGAGGGATTCCTCGCCGCACGGGCAGCGAAAATGGCCGCGCTATGGAGGATCTTCGCTGGACGGTGAGTTTCAAGCCCATAGGAACGCATTAATCGCGTTTTAATGTGTTTCTATGGGCTTTTAAAAATCGCTTTACGATGTTTTCGTTCTACAGCGATTTCGCTGGAACGAATTAACATCGTAATGCGAGGCACCACTGTAATCTGTCTCTACAGTGACCACACCAATCTGTACCAACTTAACACATTACCGTATTTTTCCACATATAAGACAATACTTTTGTCTAAAATCTTTAGACCAAAAATTGAGGGTTGTCTTATACACAGAAGTAAGTTGAGGAGAGAACAAAAACAAGTGGAGAAGGAAAGGGATCAAAGGGCTGCAGGATCACTTTGATCGCTGCTTCCCCACCACTTCCTAAACCCCAGCCTAAGTGATCCTGCAGCTCTTTGATCCCTGCTCTCCCCCTCCTTTTGATAAGCCCCAGGCTTAGGAAGTGGTGGGGAAAGAAGCGATGAAATTTTCTAATTTGGGGTTACAAAAGTGGGAGTCATCTTATACATCTGGGCATCTTATAAACAGAAAAATACAGTAATCTGTTTCTATTTGTCCAATGTTTTTTCTTTCAACCTCTGTGGTTTATTGTTAATTTCCCCCTGGGAAGAGTGAAGAGTAACTTCCCTGGTTCTCTGATTTTAAACATCCAAAACAGGATGTGTCAGATATTAACACATGTAGATACTGTATACTTTCAAAAGTGATCAGAAAAACACATTAACTTGCAGTGGTTTATCATAACATAGTTCAAGAAAACTCTCTTATTATTTCTCCCATCTTGTCAACTCTCAATCCACATACCTAGAGAAGTTAATATTAAAGAAAACATGTCAAGCTTACCAATTCTTGGGACCCTGGAGGACAAGGACGCTCAAAACCACAAATGCCACATACAGTATTCTGGGAATAAAGAGAAAAGGTATACACAGGATATAAATGACAGCTGCCATTTTAATTCCAGTAAGTAGAAATTGCCTTTGCTATAAAGACCATAGCTATTCTTCACACTACAATACAGTACAAAAACTTGTAAATTGTTTTGTTCACTGATTTCTTTACAGATTATTTTAACTGTCTCTTCTACAAGTGTTTTTTGGGTTTTGTTTTGCTTTTTGTTTCTTTTTTTGCATTCGCATATTACGAAGCCAACAGTTTCTTAGAAGTCATAACTTCTTCTAAACTTCGCTAACGTCACTGTTTATGAAAGCTTCATTACCCCTGAATTCCAAACAAAAGACATGGCTTATTCTATTTTTATGGATCTTTTAAATGAGTCCGGGCAATCAATGACATTCTCAAACACTCACCGAAACCTCAGTAGTTTGAAACTCATCGCAACGTGATCCCAAGTCTGGAGGCTCCAGCAACTGATCAACACCATAAGCAATACCCACGTTAAACTCCATATATCTCTGTACAATCCTTGCATTGCCGTTGTCCACCAGAATGTCCCCCTGCAAGGCAACAAGACAGAAGAAGGCAGGAAAGAAAGAATAGCCTGCTTAAGTCAATCCGCTATGTGAAATTCAGCCCCACCAATCCATGTCTTAGGCTTGCCGGCTCCTCCTTCTCACCACCATCATCATATTGCTTACAATTACTATTACTTTAGGAATGCCTTTTCCTAAATGTGTGTGTGTGTGTGTTAGGCAGTTTATAGGTAAAACATACAAAATTTAAAACAATATAAACAACACACAGACATTATATGCAGTCTTCATTGTTTTATTGTGTATATATATTTATTATTTATTTATAAGATTTATACCCGGCAGCATCTGGCAGCCAGGCCACTCTGGGCAGCTAACAACAACAAGACAAACAACACAATATTACGACACAATAAGAATAAAATAATACAAACATTCAACAGATAAAATAACCAGTAGGATAAATTAAAACAGATGGCTATAAAGTACAGCACCTTATCTCAGAAACAGACTCTATGGATTTGTCAATTGACCTAAGGCCTATGATCGCATCCCATCAAATGCATGAGAGCTCAAAAAATAGACTTTTTAATAAAATGTGTAGTGACACCCCAGGTTTCCTAGTATTTCTCTTTCTGTCTGCATCATAGCGTACAGCCCATCCTGAGGTGCTGAGAGGTATGGTCACTATCTTCAAACCACCCTTCTTTCTTTCTTGCCTTCTTCCTTCATCCTGCTGAAGTTCCTTACCTCCGTCATTATCTTCCCCTCTTCTGCTTAACTCACGGTGAGTTCTCCTTTCTCACTCTATGCCTCCTCTTCACCCTTCTTTCAACTACCTCCCTGTCCATGCCCCTTAGGTCACACCTGTCCCACAGCCTCTCCTCTTGGGAAATCTAAACTATAAATATTCTGACATCTTATTTTCTTTAACCTGGTTAAGAGAAATGCATACTTACAACATTTGTTTTGCTGCAGCTAAATGAGATGGTTGAACCATGCAGTGTCCGTACGGGAGCCGACTCGGTTAGTTTAGAAGCTGACACCTAGAATCAAACAGAAGTGAGCAGTGTTGAGACAAGGTAAAAGATTCAAGACCAAACAAGCTTGTGTGTTTCTTGTGGTTCTCTCCGCAGATGGCATGAGCTTCACTGGAGGGTTTAATTTTTACACAAAATGGGGTGTCTATTACATGGAAGTGAAACCTTTCCTTCACTTTCTCTGTCTGTTACAGTTTCTCCCCATAGCAGCTCTGATTTTGGAAGTGTGTTAGCCAGGTGTAGAAAAATGCTGAAGGGAGGTCAAAGGAAGGTCAATTTCCTTCCACTCCCATCTCCCCCAAAATGAGATTTGCCCATCTCATTTTATATGCAAATATATCCACTCAGGCTTAAGACACATGGATATGTCCAGCTGTACCCTTACACCACAAATTTCAAACAGATCTCTTAAGATTCTCAAGAAACAACATGAGGAACACAGGCCAAACCTTGCTTTGATTCATTAAAAATAAAAAAAGGTGAACAGATTGGTTCTAGTTTCTCATTCTTTGAAAATATTGACCAATTTGGTCATCAAACAATTACAGATCTTTTATTGATCTTCTTTTTACTAATTGAATAACAACAGTAAATTGTCCAAGCTTTACTGTAGTTGTCTTTTAGATAAGAAAGAAAGTATGGGATAGTTTCTGTTTATTTAGTTGCAAGTTGTCATTCCTTATTAGAAGGAAACAGCATAATTAATGTTTCGGCTCACCAACTATTCTGATCTTCTCTTTTACAGTTGTTTAATTATAGTAACATATGTTAGGCTCAACCAGCTACCTGCCCAGAAGCCCAAGTCTTGTTTCAGCATGCAGCCCCTCTTATTTGATTACATCAATTAATCAACTAAATTTACATTTGATTAATTGATACCCTCAACCAAATACATCTTCTATAGGCTGGGTTAGAATAACTATTCACATCAGTATAATTTCATGCACTGCAAGATTTATATCAGAAAGGAAGGCTCCTTATAAGACAGACCACAGCAAGGCCATTTTAGAAAGGCATTCAAGGAACTAATGTTTCTTTGGTAATCTCTTTACCCGCAAGTCTCTGATCATGTGTCCTTTGAGATAAGCAGATAGCTTGTTCCGGTGTTCTTTATGATACAGCCATTGTTGCATTTTCGTAGGAAGGGAGTTAAATGCCGCATCCGTAGGCCACAACATGGTGAAAGGCTGATGAACGCTATTGTTAACAAGACTAAGGAGCCCTGTCTCCTACAAAGAACCACAGGGAAAAAATGTACATTAATAGACATAGCCACAACTGCATGCTGTCCTGAAGCAGGAGTCCTTAAATCAATGGTGCACAATTGGCTCTGTGAAACCAGGACAGTAGAGCAAGCCCTTTATGTTTAAAAGATAAGAAACTTGCAGCACACTTCTCGTGATTTTATTCTGAAGCAAATCATATGGTATTATTCAATGGAACTTATTCCATAACTATTTTAAACAGGTTTACAACTGCAATCTGAGCCATCCATTACCAGCCCCTAGTGGCCAGAGCTCTATCATGCACTTCTAAGACCTTGCAAACAAAGCAATTCACACTACTGTAAGTTCTTTTTAGAAGCTTTTTTGTTAGACCAGAGACAATTTATTCTTGCCTAACAACATTTCTTGTGTCAGTTGCTATTTAGTTTTATTGTAATTTTTTTATTAGTCATCAAGGTGCCATACAATCTATTCCTGGCTGTGCCCTTTGCATTTTTCTTCATTTTAGCAATCTTAAATATATTTGTTTATAGGATACTATTTACAGAAAATCTCTGCTGAGCATCAAATACTCCCTGCTATCAGGTGCTGCTTACATGTTTGTAGAATCATGGGCTGCATACTATTAAAGGAACAGTCAAAAGAAATCAATTTCTGCTCTAAATTTAACTGGAAACTTGCTTTTTTTGTATTTTCATCATAGGAGACTTCCTTTTAAAAAGCAGTTATTTTTACCTGTAGAAGCCTGCTGTATGTTTTGTATCCATAAGCCTCTGCAACCTCTGTGATGGTTTTCTGGGAATATAAAAAAATGCCATTCGAAGCAAGATTTTGGGGTTGCAGTAGAAAAGAGAGAGAAAAAACAAATGTATCATCAAATGCCTGCCACACCCATTCCTTTTCCATGGCATTATGATCACAAAATGCACAGAAATGACCTAGAATGCTGACTATTATCCACCCTAAAAGTCAGCACGTCAATGATTTTTGCTTCTATCAATGATTGTGAATTTCTTTTACCTACTTGATAAGAAACACAGCCAGCATAATATAAAAACAAAGCTGGACGATACCACTAAAATCTCACAAACAGGTGCAAGCTTTTAAGTCCAGCAGGACTTTTGCTCTGGCTGGGCATTACAAGGCATTATAGTGCATGGGCACAAGGATCACATTCCCCCCCCCTCTTTTTTTAGGCAGCAAAATATCACATTCAGATATTTCTCCTACTCGTTAAGAGATTTTCCTCTAAAAACAAAGCTAAAGAAGTGCCTCTCTCCACAAAAAGTGGACGGGTTGTCTCATTCCACAATTTCACAGTGAGAGCCCCCAGCTAGGAACTACCTATATTCTGACCAATATTTGTTCATTGTATTCTTGAAGGCTTAACATGAACAAATTTTCAATATTTGTTCATGTTAATTAGAAATCTGCACCATCAGCTTCCTAGAGGCAACATTCAGAGGGCAATCCATAATCCTGCAGGGAAGGGGGGGAAGCTAAAGAAAGAGATGTAACTTTTCCCTCACCCAGTGGGGTTAATCCAACCCCTCCCCGCCATGCCTTCCTCTGGTTGTGAGTGCTGAGCAACTAGCACTGCCACAGCATCAAGAGTCTTGGATTGGAGCAGAAGGTGCTCCCTGGACCTCTGGGCATGTGTCTGTTTCATGCTCCACAGGTTGTCCCTGATCTACACTCTCTGTGTTGGCCAAGCACATGGTAAAATAAAGCAAGGTGCCAAGCTCCAGTAAGCCAGTTATTTCTAAAAAAAACCTGTGGGTAATTAAAAGACAAATCTAGAAAAGCCAACAGAAGTTGGAAAGCTACAAGAAGAAGGCCCATACACTCCTACCTTCCTCTCAGCTGTTCACTGTTGCTCAGTCCCCTCTCACTCAGACTGGGGAAATAAGGTGAAAATCAAAGCCCATCAGCAGGCTAGGGAATGGGGCAAGTCAGCTCCTAAAACAAGGGGCCACCTGGGGGTTGCCCTCTTACTACAGCCCTGTGTGACGACCACACGCTGTAGACCTAGAAATGTGCGGCTAACCCTCCTAAGTGATTGCACTAGGGCAGCCCAAGACTAAATACTGCAAAACTCATCACATGGACGGTACTATAGTCAGAACCTGGAAACTGTACTTCTTTGGACTGCATATGCCAGAATCCCCAGCAGCATGGCCACAGCCAGTGTGGCTAGGGATTTTGGGAGTTGTATTCCAGAAAAGGATCATTTTCAGGCTCTGACTATAGGAAGGATTAACTAGGGAAAGAAAAGCTAAATCTTGCACACATGAGGAACAAGACACCTTGTAACTGTTGCAGGTATGCCAAGGAGTGTAGCAGTGCAATTTGGTGCAAATCTACTCAGAAGCAAGTCTCAAGGAGTTCCATGGGATTTAATCTCATAAAAGTGTGCATAAAAATTGTAGCCATGATTGACTGCCCACTCCACCTCCACTTATGGATTTTGCACATCAAGGACAAAAGGCCTGACAAGACAGTGGTTCTGTGTCTACTACACCCTTCTGTGTTTCACAAAGACACTCATGCAGCTCAGGTGCACGTGATTAAAAGGAGGCAGATTCTAAAATCAAGTACTTATGTTGCAGGTATGCCAAGGAGTGTAGCAGTGCAATTTGGTGCAAATCTACTCAGAAGCAAGTCTCAAGGAGTTCCATGGGATTTAATCTCATAAAAGTGTGTATAAAAATTGCAGCCATGATTGACTGCCCACTCCACCTCCACTTATGGATTTTGCACATCAAGGACAAAAGGCCTGACAAGACAGTGGTTCTGTGTCTACTACACCCTTCTGTGTTTCACAAAGACACTCATGCAGCTCAGGTGCACGTGATCAAAAGGAGGTGGATTCTAAAATCAAGTACAGTACTTGTTTATTAGCCAGGCCAAATAACTAGCTATTGATAGCTGAATATAAGTACAGTATTAACTAGCCATTTAAGTCTCTGCCTTAAAAAAATACATACCTTTGATAAGCTGGGTGCAATGCTGTGATTTTTCAAATCATATGGGGTTAAGATCTTATCAATGAAATGTAGGACGCCATTTGTTCCAATAATGTCACTTTCAATCATCTTTGCCTCATCATTTAAATACACACTGTTCTGAGAAAGAACGAACATATACATTCCCAATGAGATACACCTTTCAAGAAGCAAGTTGATATATATCAGCTGAAATCCTGTTCTGTATGCTATGCTATGTAAGACTGACAATGTCATCAGTTGTGGGTTTTTGTTGTTGTTGTTGGAAATAAAACACTTATGATTCCCAGTAGGACTCCCAAAACTCTTGTGTAATCCCTTTTGCTGTGGGAAAGCCGCTGAGGTTTGTGGGAAAAGAATGGAGTCTTAATTTTCTGAAAATCACGGCTGCTGGAATACTTTGGCAGCTGGCAACAATTTCTGGAAATTAAAAATTCCCCTGGTCCTTGGCCACCAATGGCTTCCTCGTGGTGAAATGGGAAGCCTCAAGGCTCTTGGAGTGAGCAGGGGAGGGAAAATTATATTTCTGAAACATCCCCAGAGTTGATGACATCATCAGCCTTATGTGGTGTAACAGGATTTCAGCCATTATGTGCAAAGAGCATTTTTCTTGAGTAATCAATACTGGGGAAATAAATCAACCATTCAGTTGTAACAGAAGAAAAGAAATAGGGTCACTGCCATATTTGCAGTTCTAAGATGACGACGACAATGACGATGATGATAACAAAGTAGTACATTGTAGATTTGTTTTTGGGCTGGATACAGACAAAACCTTTTATGAAAAATGGCAGCATCCCTAATACATTTGTGCTTCCAAGATTACACATTACACCCCAGTTGCTGTTTTGAATAGCCTGGTTGTTCTGCTTTCTTCACATGAAATCTATGGGATTAGTAAAAGCATTTGGAAGTTCCTCAAGAAAAACATGGAAAAATGGAAAACCATCTTAATAGTCCTTGGTGAAGAAATTGGGGAAGTTCACATCAAAAGAGGAATACTTCAAGGGAATTCTTTGTCACCACCGCTGTTTAACATCTCCCTAATCCCCATATCAATCATTTTGAGTCAATCATTTTGAGTCATAATGACCAGATAGGCGGGATATAAATGTCTACCATATTTCACAACAAGCTGGAAAAAAATCAATCACCTCTTATACACGGATGACCAAAAACTACAGTGGTGCCTCACTTAACGATGATAATTGGTTCCCAAAAAGTCGCTGTTAAGTGATTTCAACGCTAAGCGAAACACGGTTTTCCATAGAAATGCATTGAAACCTATTCAATGCATCTCAATGGGGGGGGGGAATTACAACAAATTTAAAAAGAGTCGGAACAAAGTCAGATTAGTTTAACAAAGGGTTTATTAAGTGCACTTATGATTTCAAGCATTCTAAACATTTTAAAACATTTTTAAACATTTAAAAAACAGCCAACATGAGGCTGTCAAAACCATCGTTAAGCGAAACAGGGGGACCCAAACTGTCATCGCTATGCGAAGCATGGTCCCAAACATCACTATGCGAAAATTGCCAATAGGAACCATCGTTAAACGGAGCGCAAGATTGCTCCGAAAAAGTCATCGCTAAGCGATTTCATCGTTAAACGAAGCAATCGCTAAGCGAGGCACCACTCTATATGCAAAAAGTTCCACAGAGATAGAATCACTGCTGAACAGAGTGCAAATATTTAGTGAAGATATTCAAATGAAATTGTGTGCAGCTCTGTCTATAAACCGTGCAAAGTTCCAAAAACTAGATGGAAATGTTAAAAATGGCAATACAGTATTATAAAATCTCTCTCAAGTGATGAAGATTATAAATACCTTGGAATACTAGAAGCAGAAAACATTGTGCACACAAAAGTTAAAGAACTAACAGAACAGGAACACTGTATATCAAAAGACTGCAGAAAATCTTAATATCAAAATTAAATGGGTGAAATACAATTAAAGCCATAAACATATTTACTGTTCCAGTAATTACATAGCCAGCTGGAATAATAGATTGGACTCAAAATGAATTTGAAGAACTGGATCGAAAAACACGGAAGCTAATGAATATGCATCACACACTACATGCAAAAAGTGACATGGACAGATTATATTTAGCACAAAAAATTGGAGGCTGTTGATTACTGCAAATACAGCAGGTAGTAGAGGAAGAAAAAAAGAAGCTTAAATGAGTATATAAGTAGAAACAGAAAAATTACTGAAAGCAGTGAAAATGGAGAATATTTTGAAAACAACAGAAACAAAGGCTCAATATAAGAAACAACAATTTGAAAATAAATTAAACAGTTGGGAAAATAAACCACTACATTGACAACACCTGAGAAATATTGATGGAAAGCATGATCATAATTCAACATGGGTAAACCTGGGAACCCTTAAGAAAGAAACTGAAGGCTTGGTTTTTGCTGCACAAGAACAGGCACTCCAAACCAGATTGCAAAGATTACAAAAATAGATATGATGCAGTGGCAAAGTTAATGCACTGGTCATTATGCAAAAAATATAACTTGCGGCCTTCAAAAACCCATGGGAACATCAGGTAGAGAAGGTGTCAGAAAATAAGGAAGTCAAGATCTTGTGGGATTTCCGGATCCAAAAGGATAGACACCTTGAACATAACACACCAGTCACGGTAGACACGAAGAAATGTCTGGATCATTGACATTGCAATTCCAGGGGATGCCAGAGAATTGGAAAAACTAACAATTGCCTCCCAGAGTAGACCTTTGGTCTAGATGGGTGGGGTAGAAATCTAATTAATTAATTAATTAATTAATTAATTAAATAAATAAATAAATAAATAAATAAATAACAAAGTGCAGAAACTTGGCAATTGAAACATCTCATCTCTGGAGGAAACACACTTCAGTGGTCCCTGTAGTCATTGGGGCTTTGGGAACAATATCAAGAAATTTCACACAGTACTATAAGCAGGTGCAGATCTCAGAAATCACACCACCATCACAGCTACAAAAAACAGCAATACTGTATTAGGAATGGCACACATATTGTGCCGATATTTAACACTTAGATTTTTGTTTGGAACTTTTATCTGTTATACAATACCAGTCAATGTTTTTATAATTTTGACTGTGCCTAGTGTTTTATCATCATCATCACCATCATTCACTACTGCTAGAGGTCTATGGGAGGTGTTTTCCTCTGGTTTCTACTTTTTGATTACTGGGGAGTGGGAGTGCAGTGAGGGAGCACTGGTGGACCCAAATTGTTTTGGGGAGCCACATGAAGCCCAAAGGTTGCACTTTGCCCCCTCCCTACCCCAGAGGTTGCTGAAAGGATGTGAGGTCCACTAGCAACTAGCCAGGAACCTGTGGCCAAGGGAGGGAAGGGAGTGGCTGATAGCACCGATGGAGACATGAAAGCAGGAGCTACAGTGACACATACCTCTTTCACAGAAATCTTTATTTGGTGTCCAGATAAAGCTGTGATGTAACTTTGTGACTCCAAGTCATCTGACTGTAGCTTCTGGCAACTGACAATATGATAGCGAAGCAAATCTTGGATGAAACCCTTATTTTTCCATTCTGAAAACTAAAAAAAAAAAAAGGTTGCAAAAATCAAAGACAAACTGGGCACCTTTATAGGCTAGAAGCATGAGAAGAGTGTATTGTACTCCATAATAAAATATTAATTCAGTACCATCTGCTGCAGCTGAAACCTCATTCTTACTTTAAAAAAAATAGTCTGAAGATGTATCCAGCTGTTTGCCATGAATTAAAATGAGACAGAAACGACTTTGAAGATCTTTTGATCCCACCCTTTGCTCGACGCAGACTTCGCAAAGCCCCTACAGCATCCTTGACACATGATTGTTCCACATCTGCATATGTACCTCCAGTGAGATGTGGAAAATGAGGGAAAGGTAGCACAGGGACTAGGAACATGGGCAGCGGACATAGGCAGAATCGGATCATTGGGTCCATCCAGTTCAGTAACTTCAACACTGATAGGCCGTGGCTCTCCAAGGTGTCAGGAAAGCTTCTCTCCTAACCCTACCTGTAAATTCCAATGACCTGGAAACTTCTGCTTACAAGGCATGTGCTCTACCACAGCGCTATGGCTCCTTGAGGAAAATGATGATATCCGGCACCCCATCACAATCATCAGTACATACAGATGAAAAATGAGCCATAAACCTCATGGTGTACAGGACAGAATGTGTGGGCAGGATTACTACCAAAAATCAGCTCCACCTGGAATGTTATGGAATAGGCTTGGCTTAAGTGCCTGGTTGTTTGGTCCACAAGGACCCCCAAAGGGGAACTGATATTTAGCTGAAGCCAGGATAAGCCTAAAGATATACAGTATCCCTTTCTAGTTAGGAATCACTGGGCGGTCTGTCTGGCTTGCAAAGTCAAGTTTTCAAAGGCAGTGTTAGAAAAGTTGCTTACTGTGGTGCTATCCTGCCTGTAACCAACAGTCGGGACAAAAACAGTATAGGGTCCAGATCCCATCATCTCGAGAACATCATAGGCCTGTAGAGGAAAGACAGCAAAAGCAACAAAGCAAAATGTCTGACTTAAAGCAGAAATATCAGCCCATAGATTCAGAGACTCAAGAGCAGAACATCATAGGCCTGTAGAGGAAAGACAACAAAGCAAAATGTCTGATTTAAAGCAGAAATATCAGCTCATAGATTCAGAGACTCAAGAGATCTGAACATTTAATGGAGAAAGGGCCACTTTCCTTCCTGCTCCAACCTCCTCCACCACTGATCCTGCCCTCAGCCCATTTCTGGAGGCTAAGGCTTCTCTAGAATGGTGCAGGGTATGGCCTGAGCTCTGTATCAGAAAGGAAATCAGAAAACAACAATAACGACAACAAGAACAGAGCCTCCCTGTGTAGTACAAAGGCCCTCTGCATCCCACTTTGAGTCTGTTTCTTCAAGAGAAAAACAGTAATTTGAATATCTACCTGTGCATAGTGAGAGAACTGGGCTCCAGCTTCCCTTGCACTGAGCTCCTAATAGGGAAAGGAAAGAAAAACAAAGAAAAAAGGTTGACAAAAAACTTCCAAGGTAAACCTCTGTGCAGAAGGTAAGCACAGAGAGAAACACTCACAACATGTTGCTCTGGTGGCAATATTAGACATAGAAATGACCTGTGGAAACAGTACCATTAGGAAAAAAAATGGCTGTAATGGTGAGAAAGAGCAGACTTGTTGCAAGCTGTTATTTGAAGCAGGCATTCTGCCTGCAAACAGCTTCCCTGGGCACTTATACTGCCCTCCAGCTACTCCTCCCTAGGGAAAATGTAATACAAACCAGGCAGGCTCAGCACAGATCTTATATCTCCATTGTGTGCTTGGATCCAGGTGGTCTTCCCCTTGTCCCCCTCCATTCCCCATCCATGGCCATGTCACATGACTCAATCCTAACCATTATGGCAACCAAGTTCCAGGCACCAGAATGGTTAGTTACGGCTCTGAGAGCTACACAGCATCTTTTGGCTGGTAGCACTATGAGCTCCACTTGGAAGCAAACCAGCGCTTCAGCTTGGGGGCGGCAAGTGGAAAGTCAAGGTAGCAACCGATCCTAAGGCTGACTTAGCCTTGAATACCAGGGCAAGCCTGTCACCGTTCCTACAAGGGAGAAGAGGTTTAGAAGTCAACTTCCACCACAAAGAGGGCATTGAAGTGGAGCTAACTACAAAGGCACCCTAACATTGGCCTCATCCTTTTGAAGGCAGCCTCCACAGATGGCAACACAGGGAATCAGGGCAGTTTTTTATTCATTTTCCTTCAGATGGCTCTCCAAGTGACTTACAGCCAGAATAGACATCTTCATGTTGCTAAATTTAATTTCTGCAGTCTTTTGCAACTTTCTCACTTCTTCTGCAAAAACATCCAAGCTGTTCAAAGAAAATCCCAGCTTGCTTCTTTTGAAAAGGAAGAAGTGCCTCCAGTATTAGTACGTATAAGCAGCAATTCTAGATTTAGGATAATGATAATGAAGAATGTGTAGGTAGGTATACAGCAATGTCCTGAGGCCTTGGTAGAGGTTGACCTAATAGAAATTCTGATGTATTTTTTTTACCTGGGATACCCAGTGTGGTGTAGTGTATAGTGACAAACTAGGACTCAGGAGACCTGGGTTTGAATCTCCACTCAGCCATGAAAACTCACTGGGGAGGTGGAACTGGTAAAGCCACTCCTCGAATATCTCACTTACCTTGAAAACCGTATCATAGGGTTTTCGGTTCTGACTTGACAGCAAATAAGAACAACATTCATTACCTGCCAGACAGTCCTTGTGCATGTAAATCCATCCCCACGGCCCAAATGACAGATGCAGGTTCGATTCCCACTGCGGTTGCTAAGGCAGATGGCCAGTGGGCTGCAGCCTCCATTGTTCTACCCAGAGAAATGAAGAAGGCGATAAATCAGTCAGTTGCAATACTGTCTACTGAGAAAACAGCTGAACAGTTAGACCCTCACACAAATCTCTGACAAAGCCCATCAATCCAATGAAGCCCTTGTAATCATTCTTCCAAAGGACGGTGAAGAAGTGATAACTGCCATGGTTCATACTATATGAGAGAAATCTACTAGGTCCTTACAACAGAGTGATTTGTTATTGTCTAAATCAGTCATGAAGTAGCGGAGATAAAACAGGGCTGGAGCAGCAGCACTAGTGAAGTGGTACAGTGGTTAAACTGCAGGACTGCAGTGAAGACCCTGCTCATGACCTGAGTTCAATCACAGCTGACTCATGTAGCTGGCTCAAGGTTGACTCTGCCTTCCATTCTTCTGATGCCTGTAAAGTGGGTATCCAGCTCCTGGGGGCTAATTTTTAGCCTGTAAAATTAAACTGTAAACTGCCCAGAGAGGGCTTTAAGCACTATGGGGCAGTATATATGTAGCACTCTTTGCTTTTGCTTTTTTTTCAGTAGGCTTTTAAGCAAACCCTTATAACCTTATGTCTCTTTTTTAACTGTCTTCCCTGTGGAAAAAAAACTCCTAGCCTGGGTAGAGGCGCCCACAACTGTTTTACGGAAAGGGAGTGTGGTTTCAGTGAGGTTTTGCTTCCAAGGAGACCAACAGCAGTTCAAGGATTACCACCAGTGACCTTTTTCCAAGCTATATTTAAGGGTTTGCTTTAATATTGGGAAATCCAGTCCAGGACCTCCCGGTGGCTTCCTCCTGCATGATCAAATCCTTTCATGTTTTCCTTGTTTTGACTGGATTTATATTCATCCCATGCATTGCTTTCTCACATGGATGGTCCTGCTGATCTCTGTTCATACATGGCAACTGCATATTCACGAGGGGCAAGAGAATGCAACTCTTATCCTCCCCAACCAGTACATGTGCCTTGGTCAGGCTGGCTGGGGGTGATGGGAATGGATGTCAAACAGATCTGGAGGGCAGAAGGGTGGGGAAGCCCCATCTGTACTTCTGCGCTGCTCCGGCTTCTTGTTGTGACAAGGAATAAGGTTTAGAAATTCTACAAACAAGAGTGGAGTTCAGGGACATTGCCATAACACTAGGGTTGAAATCCTGTTCCATACGTTTTGCCATGTATTGCTGGCGATGTAATCAGCCATAGCAATCTTTTGGAAATAATTAAAAAATTCCAATTCTCCACCCCCAGCCCCACCCCATGTCTCAAGGCTCCCCTGGGGTTCCTTTGGGGATGGGGTGTGCGATTCAGTTTCATTGCTGAACAGTCTTATCCTAAGGAAGTTCATCCAAGTGGTTAGTGAAAGTCTCTTTTCTTGTGATTTATTTCCCAGAAGAGGGTAGCAGGAAGTGGAGACCTTCTTCAACACAAGACAGTCCCCACAGAACTTCTCCCTTTAAAGATGGCAGACACACCAAACATCTTTTCCTCCCAGTGACTATAGGACTTGACAACCAACATCAATCTAAGCACGGGTATCTCCACACTAACAGAATAGGGCCGACTGTAACATATTAACATCATTTCATAATGCAACTACACTGGCAAGCTATCATGGAGCAATTTGACTTTGCTGTGGTTTGATTCCCCATCTCTTTTATGGCCGTATTAAGTTAAGGGGTGATCACACAAAGAGCCCAGATTGTTTCCAGTTCTCTGTGTTTCTAGCCCTCCATCCAATCTAATTTGATATGTACCCAAAGCACATGCCCTCCCTTCCTTTGATCCTACCCGGCTTTCTTTTCTTATTTTTTTTTCTCCTTGTGCAGAGGTGTATCAATGCAGTGATAAGGCAATCTAGTGCTTAACTTATTAGAACTTCTTTTAGGGGGGAAAAACACTTTCAAGATTCTGAGAAATAAACACACCACTACAAGAAAGTAAATCAGCTGAGGATAAAGGATCTTATGCAAGTTTCTCTAGGAAACATTTATATGAAAAGGACATCGGTAACTTCTCAACAGTATAATATTGGATTAGTGCTGAATTACGGACCTCCTTGCAAGGATCTATGGGTTCACACTTGTTAATCCCATCACCACTGTAGTTGGGGATGCAATTACAGGCGACCTGTGTAAGACAATAAAACAAAGAGCACACAATGTCAATGCAATTTACTTTAAAAGGAAGGAAAGGAGGGAGGGAGGAAAAGGGAGAGAGAAGCAACAGATTTTCTGTTTCAGAAATGAAAATTACAAGTACTTGTCCTTCAGCTCTGGCTATTTGAGTTATTCATAATATGAAAGAGAACAAGGCAGAACATAAGATAAAAAGAGAGGTGGTTGAGGTACACATTACTTTAAATGCATAATATGCCATTTAAAGGGGTGCTTTCCTTCTTTTTTACATTCAAGTAAGCATATCCAGCATCTATCTAGATTGGGAGCACTGCACCTATATGGGAAATGTGGGAACCTCTCCCTTCCTGTTAATCCCAGTAATTCCTCTCTAGGTGAGCCAAAGGTGTTGCTGGGGGCGCAGAACCTCCCACAGAGGTACTGGAGGTTTCCCAGTTTCTTTTTCGTCCCCTTGGAGAACACATAGATTTGGAAATAAAATCTAGTCCTGGGGAAAAGAGGTAAAACTTTTTCACCTATGTGTGACGGTCCTGATCCAGATCAGGGCAACATACGCTTACTTAGATGTCACAAACAAACAAGAAGGTGCACTCCTAAGATGCCTCTGAGGAATGTATGTAGAAGCTCTCCTTCAGACTGAGACCCACAGCAAGTCCAAGCCACTGCTATAGATGATAAGCAAGCCTACTTTCCCACCAACACTTCTAATCCACCCCTTCATCAGAAAGAGAAGACACAGATGAACAAGGTATGCAGTTGATTAGAAATCATTGCTAGGCCGCTCATGTTGAACCAGCTTGCCTGTCACCCCACCCCAGCCTGAAGCGGAATAGTGCAGACAGCCTAGTGAAGACATATTGGGTAATGACGATACAATGTAATGCACAATGTAATGAATTACTTGGGCAATCAGAGCAAGGATAACAGCTCCAAGAACAAATGAGTGATGCGATTGGTTCCTTTAAAAATGTACCATTTTGAGCTTGATTTTTTCCCCCTTCACATAAGATACTGGGCTCAGTGCATCTATGGGCTGAATTAATAGTTAACTGAGGGTGAGTCCTTCTCATGCAAGCAGTAACAAAGCTGGTATAGATTCATTATTCATTGGAATGTGAGCATAAGTGAAGGAATTCCTCTCAGGTTATTCTTCTTGAAGATTTGGACTAAATGTTTTATTATAATTTTTCAAATGGGAGAGTTCAACTTTTTTTCATGAAGAAAAACACCTCATGCTGAAGAAGAGAAAATAGAAAAGCTATTTACACCAACAGAAAGAAACAACCAACAACCTTTTTTGGCTAAAGAAGTAACAAAAATCCAGTACTTCCCTACTGCAGGATATTACAATGAATGTGGAAGTTATGTTTTATATTTACACATTGGAAGACATGGAACAGACCCTGCGTTTGTGAAGGAGAAGGCAATAGGGTCCCAGTGTTAGATAAAAGGTATTCCCCTTTTGTCCCCCTAGAGAAATATAAGGATAGTGAGTCTCAAAACAAAAAGAAAAGGCTTTGCTTACCAAACCTGGACCTGTTTTAACACACTCTGCATACCGGTGACATCCTCCATTGTTCTCCAGACAGCGATCAATTTCTGTGAGCAGAAGAAAAGATGTGTGCAGTGTTTCCAAAACTGCATTGACCCACATTTTTCCACAATGTGAAAATTTACTTTGCCTTTAAAAGGGGGGGGGGGACACCTAGCATGCTAGGAAACACGAGTTTCCCACTGGGATAATTGTTGCATGGATGTTAAGTGGGCTGGAAACAAGGCCAGTGAACAAGAACGGATGAGGGCAAAGAGGCAAGCTCTCAGTCTCAAAGGGAATGCTTCTGCCAAACCCTTTCTTATACCAAAGATGGTCCAACTGGACATTCCATACTGCCCGGCCTGTGGAGTACACCGCCACAGAAGCCTCCTCCATGACTGATGCGGAAGCAGGATTTCCCTTCCAAAATCCAATCCCTGTCACACAATAGGTAACAGGGTTCTCCCCAAGACAGGGCTCATGATGTTTTAAGTGTGCTTTTGAAGTGTTTGCATCACCATTTTTAATATTCTGTTCTGAATTATATTTAAATTGTATATTTGTTGTCTTTTTCTTGTATCTTAATTATCGTGAACCGTCTTGAGTTTCCTTTATGGGAGAAAGGCAGCATGGAAATAAAATTGAACTAACTAACTAATTAACTGGTCCCTGTTCAGACTGCACAGCCTGTAAGCTACTCCAGTAACAGTGGCACAAGCACGGACTCCATTGTCTAAAACTGACACAACTACTGTACATGACATTGCCTTTTTTGCTGGCATCGGCATGAAAGAGCCAGCTCTTTTCCTTGAAGGAGTAACAAGTGCAGAACAGGTAGGATGGCACAAAATTTATGAGGCATATTTTCTGCATGGAAGACTGGGAGTCCTTTATACCACAGGCTCATCCTTCTCATGCCACAAATATTTATCCAAGTTTTAAACCATCACAACATGTCCATTTAGGCATTGCATACATTTTAACTGTTATGGTTAATGCTTCTTTTCAGGCAAAATGATGCACTATTTGGCTCTTTCGCACACTGCTGATGCTCACCCCGACACACAGTCCCATCTCCAGCATAGCCAGTCTTACAAGTGCAGGTTCTTTCACCAGGGGCAACTTTATTACAGTCAGCATGTGGGGAGCAACCGCCATTACCTATAGCACAGGGATCAATTTCTACATTGCAAAATGGAAAAAGAGAAGGTTACTCTACAGGATGATAGCACACACATCTGGCACAGGGCTTTGACAAACAGCAGAACCTGAAGGAAAATCCACAGCTTAAACTCTATCTTTCTTTTAGTGATTGAAACGCTTCAGACATTGAAAAATGTGCTCAAAAAGACTTCTTATGCCCTCAGGTGGTGTCATGTTTTGAGGTGCTCCAGTAAACCTAACCTCCAACATTTTAAGAACATTTAAAAGAAAAATTGTGGTTGCATTTGCTACAGTGCATCAGGGGGCTCTTCCATAAAACACCAGTCATATGGGGGGGGGATCTGATGATGTGGCATAGACTCTGTGTGGTGATTATTTAGCTTAGTGGCTGAAAAACAAATTTGGAACTGAAGAGCATATTGTCCCGTGGATGATGTTGGGTTTTTCTGGTTTTGTTTTCATTTTTCAAGCCTGTGTAAATTGGTAAGAAATTCTAAAGAGATAAGAATAGGCAAGGTATGATGTATGATGAGGAAGAGTCTGCTCAAGGCTGCTGCCATGGCTACTGGAGATTTTTCACTGGTGAGATTGAAGTTGAACATTTTAAGAACATTTAAAAGAAAAATTATGGTTGCATTTGCTACAGTGCATCAAGGGGCTCTTCCATAAAACACCAATCATAGGATCTGATGATGTGGCATAGACTCTGTGTGGTGATTATTTAGCTTAGTGGCTGAAAAACAAATTTGGAACTGAAGAGCATATTGTCCCGTGGATGATGTTGGGTTTTTCTGGTTTTGTTTTCATTTTTCAAGCCTGTGTAAATTGGTAAGAAATTCTAAAGAGATAAGAATAGGCAAGGTATGATGTATGATGAGGAAGAGTCTGCTCAAGGCTGCTGCCATGGCTACTGGAGATTTTTCACTGGTGAGATTGAAGTTGCAAGTGAAGAAGAAGAAGAAGAAGAAGAAGAAGAAGAAGAAGAAGAAGAAGAAGAAGAAGAAGAAGAAGAAGAAGAAGAAGAAGAAGAAGAAGAAGAAGAAGAAGAAGAAGAAGAAAGTGACAGAATTGGAAAAGGCAAACACTACCTTAGACTGCTTTTCTGGGCAAGATGCAACAGGGGACATTTAATGGCAGAACAGCACAGTCCAATAGCACTCAGTGGGAGACAATTTACCCTCTCTGGTGCCCACTCAAAACCAGCTCTGGACTGACAGTTAACTCATTTTGGATGGGACAGAGGGATGCCAAGAGAAGCAGGGAAGTTCTGTAACCACTGTCCGTGCTATATTACAATTATTAAGAACGGAAATGGCCAGGGGGATCCCAAGCACAAAAACCTGCAATTTGTATTATTTTTTATTTTATGTTAGTGGTCCAATAAAAGATACCCACTCATCCTTACATCTACAGAAACATGATGTTAAAGTCTTTAACTCTTTGTACATGTATATGGGAGAGAGTTCTCAAAAGTCCAATACAGCTTTGCATCCTGTCTTTCAAGCACTGTGGGCGTCACCATTTGAGATGTAGAACTGCTCTACTCTGCAGCAAATGAACCAACAGAAAGAGGTACAAGCAAAGGCTTCTAGTCTCATGTTCTGACCATATAAATGTAGTTCCCTCATCTGTGATGGCTGGACTACCCAAAGATCAATCAAACAAACAATGTCACAGTTTTTTAAAAGGGTTTAGTTTACAGTATTCTTGAATACACAACTCAGTTGTATAGATTATTTTCAAGGCAATCAATTGTTTTACTTGGCATATCATGAAATCTTACTGCTACTGGCTTGTATTTAGTCAATGTTCAAATTATGCAAAGTAAATGCAAAAATCATCTTTTAAGAGAAAACTGTTTGAGAGCACTGTTTAGCTACTGGGCACCATGGCTTCATTTCGTTCTAGCTTGTTTTATTTAATTCATAAGAACATAAGAAGAGCCCTGTTGGATCAGGCCAAGGGCCCATCTAGTCCAGCTTCCTGGATCTCACAGTGGCCCCACCAGATGCCTTTGGGAGCACATGAGGCAACTAGAGACCTGTCTCCTGATACCCCTCTCCTGCATCTGGCATTTGGAGGGACCTTCCTTCTAAGCCTGGTGATTATACATCCCCATCATGGCTTGTAACCTGCGTTGGACGTTTCCTCCAGAAATCTGTCTAATCCCCCTTTAAAGGCATCTAAGCCAGAGGCCATCACCATATCCTGTGGCAAGGAGTTTCACAGACTAACAACACACTGAGTAAAGAAATATATTCTTTTGTCTGTTCTCACTCTCCCAACGCTCAATTGGAGTGGATGTCCCCTGGTTCTGGTATTGCATGAGATGGAAAAGAGCGCATCTGAGTCAGTCTGTTTTTATACTATCAATTTGTTTTAACGGAATAATAAACCTGTATGTTTTGTTCTGTTTTTTTAAAAAAATCTGCTTCATTTGTAGGAGCACAGAGATGTTGAATAAATTATTTTAAATAATTAATAATTATAGAATCATAGAAAGATGTTGGAAAGGCCAGATAAGGCCATTGAGTCCAAATTCCTATTCAGTGCAGAAGTCCAAATCAAAGTAGATTAGTATATAATCACCTTCTGTTTGATTGCTTTTTATGAGTACCTGTACCTTTTGACAGAAAAACAAGGATGCCTGATTAAGCCAGAGCTGTTCTTTTTCACTTCAGCAATTATTATAGGATCCAAAGAGAAAGACAAATGCAGACGTGCCATTTCAGCTCTTCAGCATCAAGCTGGCACGACAATTGGATTAGCCTGCCACTTACGATATGGAGTACCTGCTGTTTGCATAATCTGAAATTATGCCAGAAGGGGCTAAAGGAGGGTTGAAGAGCAGAGATACCTTGCTGCTTTTTTAAATGTTTATCTTTTCGTTCCTCTGTGTCTTAGGACCCTGTATTTGGAGCTTATTTCGTGGAGCAAACAAAATATGTTAGTTTATTTAATATCAAGCTGTAACAGAATGCCTTTACATCAGGGATGGACTACATGCAGCCCACACTTTGTTTGTGGTCTTTCAGGGGCATTTTTGCAGCCCCTCAAGGCACCCCATTGAAATTTGCCCCCAAAATGTTTTTTTGTTAAAAAAGCATTATTTCAGCTCCTGCAAGCCTTCAGGAGTGGCAGGGTTTGCCTTAGGAGCCTTCAAAGGGTCTTCCAAGACTGTCGTCGCTCCCCCACATTAAAAAAAACTGAAGTGCCTGTCCAAAGCAGTCTGTCTGTCTGTCTGTCTTAAAATGGCTTCTTTAACAACTGTTTCCAGACCAGCTGTAACCCACAGTGGGATCTGGCATCAAAAATCTGATCCTAATCTAATCTAATAATCTTAGAACTGCAGAGCTAGAAGGGACCCTATAGATCATCAAGTCCAGCCCCTGTCAAAGAAGGCCCAGTGGGGATCAAACTCCCAACCTCTACTAAACCAGTGAGCTATCCCAAAGACCTCAAAAATTCCTGTTCATGATATATATGAATGTGTTGACTGAACATTATTGCTGCAAAAGCTTTTTCAAGGGCTCATTTTTCATTCCACCTATTGTGGGAGAGGAAACTGCCCTTACTGAAAAGCAATGCATTGCAGCCAATTGTATAAGTCATGCTAGTAACGTTCCATGGTTGGACAGTCACATAACACAAGTCAGTGCCTGATGTTGCAATTACTAAAGGACAGGTGTGACATGTGAGTCCTAAGAGTGAATAAAACCCTTTGTAGAAATGAGGAATGTAATTTCATTGGGTGGAAGAGAACATATGCCCCCTTCTCTGTGTACACCTGTGTTATTTTACCATGTATGGTATACATATGAAAAAATATTTATCAGAGATACCTGTATTCTCTGTGTACACCTGTGTTATTTTACCACGTATGAAATATATATGAAAAAATATTTACCTGTGCAATAGGTTCCATTCCCAGTATATCCAGCGGTACAGAAGCAGGTGGGTTGAGAAATGGTAGAAGCATTGATGCAACTGAAATGGAACAGGAAAAGGTCGAGATGACGTGTATGAATCCAAATTCACATATGCATTCAGTAGGATATAGATGAGTACTAATAGCAGGACGCAGGCAGTCCAACCACAACCTAGACCTCCAATTTTATTGGATCTCCACTGGGTTCAGGAAGCTCTGCGTTGCACCACCTTCAGTCTAGCAAGTTTGGCTGCTACCTGTCTCCTTCATTCAAAAATTTACCGTTACTACAACAGTTATACATTCCTGAAGTGTTGTTACACAAACTGCGTACCTATCGGAAGTGAATTATTATAAGTCACAAAATATCTGCACATATATTAAGTCATGGGACCTGGCATCCACCATGTGATGCCTACAAAGATTTCTTAACTTATGCCCACTTGCATCTTTTCTGGAAGAGATCTCTTGGTTTTCCCCTTTTGTTATTTTCCTTTACAGTATATCTTTGTATTGGTTATTGTAATAGTTCTCTTTGTCTCTGTGTGACAGTTGCCAAAAAGCTACATTCAGGGTTTTGGCCCTATTTCTGCCACCTTTTACTTTTGCTTGTTGCCTGTCCTTGACAATTTTAAGTGTTTCTCATGTCATCCATCTAGGTTTTTCTTTTCTTTTTACTATAGGAATGCACAATGCACAAGGTTTGTTTCCCGATCACATATATGCAGTCTCAAACATGTCCTAGAACTGTACTTACTTGGCATGAACATCGCAAGTATGATTACAGAGGTCAATTCCAATTTCTGCAAGAGAACCTTTTATTAGAACACTATTTTCTTTTTAAATAATTCAAATCTTCTATTGCACATCATTGTTAGCTAGTTAAATTTAGAGATTAAATCTGAATTGGGATTGAAGCACTATGTCACACTAACTAATTTTACAGGACAAATTTCAGCCTATGCATGTCCTGCAAGCCTTCAGAAAACAAAAGAATAATATTAATGTTTGTGGCCCAAATCCAATTATTCTTCACCACTGGAACGTGCATACTGAATCAATGGGAACTTGGTGCAGTATACCATATTTTTCCGTGTATAAGACACACCCATGTATAAGATGCTCCCCACTTTTCTAACCCAAAATTAAGAAATCTAAGTGGGGCTTAGCAAGGATCACTTTGATCCCTGCCTTCACCTCCACTTGTTTTTGTTCTCTCCTCATCTTACTTCCGTGTATAAGACGACCCTCAATTTTTAGTCTAAAGATTTTAGACAAAAGTATAGTCTTATACATGGAAAAATGCGGTACTTATTTACTTTCCATTGATTCAATAGGTCTCTTCTAATTGGGATTAACAGCTAGATGTACACCTTCTCATTCTTCTGTCTTGTGTCTGTCCTAATACTAATTAAAACAAACCCAACAAAAACAATACAAATGGTCACAATAAGGCTTTAGATGCTCTGTCTAACTGAAGCTGTTCTATGCAGCCTCAGAAATTCTGGGACAAAGCAAAGTGCCTTGAAACTACATAAAAAGTCTCGCTACATTCAGGGATGTGTGTATATGTTTATGAGCTCACTAAATCAGTGCCTGCTGAATTGTCCAGTACAGCTCTATGCCAGTGAATACTGACATAATACAAGCAGAATCCACTATAAGCATAAAGGGAAAATTGAAGGTGCCTCAGTGGCACAAATATTACTACAACAATTTTCCTGGGGAAAAATGATATTGGGATCTTACAGTTAAAATTCTCAAAAGCTAAGAGTAACACAAAACAATTCCACTTTTCAAGAACAAATTATAGAAATAATAAACTGCCCTAAGGCCAATTATTTCAATATCCATTAATCACAGGTCTGAGGGGAGCAGAAATTTCTCTTCCTGGGCAACTGCATCCCATGGCAACGAACCAGAAGTGGCCTGACGTCCATGCTTAGTTCCATGAAAGTCTTATTTCTGAGCACAATAAAGCATGTGTGTGCGTGGGGGGGAATATACCAAAATGTTGTTTTTGTTTCATTTTAAAAAGGGAACTGCACTTGTAGCTTTCTATCACATGATTCTCCCTCTTTTTAAAAGTTCTTACTGAGAATGGTAGGCCTGGGGGAGAGGGTGGCCTTCAAAAATCAGGTGGGTGCTCCGAATGATTTGTTGCCCACTGTTGCTCTCACGCTCTGTGAGGCCTGTTACCTTTTTGTTGCTACTCAGACCCACATTATTATCTTTCCGGAACTGGTCTAGTCAGTTTTTAGATTTCGCTCTTGGATGAGGATTCAGAAATACCCTGGCTTCCCATCCACCAGGCAATCATCAGATTCTGTCCTGCCACGGCCTCCTTTCCCTTACCTTGGTCACAATGGACTCCTTCAAAGCCTGGCTCACATGTACAACTTCCATCCCCCAGCAGCCCATCATGGCATCTTCCATGTTTGCAGTCACATTCTGTGGAGAGAGACACGCACGGTCATCTGCCAAGCAGGTGGACAGAGGCTAGGTTTGCTTACGGCTTCATAACCAGCACAATGTCCTTATCACTAGCTGAACATAACTGCCTCTTTAGCATAGCTAACAGTTGCATTGGATCATGGAAGCAAAATGTGTACTGTAGCATAATACAGTAATTTACAAAATGTTCCTTGAGGAACAAAACTATACATTAGGTAATCATGGATGACCAAAAGTACCACAGAAATTCACTGAGGCACACCAGCCACACAGAGGTTTTATGGACCTCAAAACAGACTGGCTGTTGGAAATCCTACTACTGTACTATTATCTGGTGTAGTGGAGGATAGAGTGACAGACTTTGTCTCAGGAGATCTGGGTTCGAATCACCACTTTGCTGTGAAAATTCACTGGGGGTTGTATCTGGTAAAATCATTCCTTAAATACCTCATATATCTTGAAAATCGTATTACCATGTTTTCCCCAAAATAAGATGGGGTCTTTTATTAATTTTTGCTCCAAAAATGCAGTAGGGCTTATTTTCAGGGGATGTTTTATTTTTTTCATGTACAACAATCTACATTTATTCAAATATAGTCATGTCATCTTCTGGTTGCTGCACAATGGTGGAGGGCGGGGTTTCACTTCACTGGAGCTTATTTTTGGGGTAGTGCTTATATTAGGAGCATCCTGAAAAACCGTACGAGGGCTTATTTTCAGGTTAGGTCTTATTTTCGGAGAAACAGGGTAGGAATGCTGTATGTTGAATGCAGCTTGATGGGACATAAGCTGTACACACAATGACCCTGGATATGTGGGGCTCTGATAAGCAACGTGCCAGGGCTGGGGCAAGGGCCAGTGTCAACATATGTAGCCCCTTCCCCAACACCCTTGACTCCAGTAATCCTCACCTGATCTGCACTGGGTTCCATATCTTCCTGGCTGGCACATCTCACAGGCTGTGCCATGGTAACCTTCTTGGCACTGGCACTCTCCACTGCCCTGAATGCCATCCTGGCAGACTCCATTTCCAGAACACCAGTTGCCTGCTTTTCCTGGGCACATCTCACACATGTGTCCATAGTAACCTGGACAACAAACGGAAACCTTGGGAAACAAGCAGATGATAGTCAGAGTCAGACTTATAAAAAACCCAAAATACCACCTCATCACCATCACCACCACCATCACCAGGCTAGAATCCTACAGGTGTTCACATAAGATTTGTCTTGGATAATTGCATATAACTGACGAGCTGACAAGCCAAGAATCCTACTGGTGTTCACATAAGATTTGCCTTGGATAATTACATATAACTGACGAGCTGACAAGCCGGCTGTGGTTTACACCATCATTCACCACTATCAAAGCATACCCAAGCAACTCATGAATTTGCCACAATCACTTATGGCAAGTTACATAAACTTCATGCAAACATCAGCAGGGTTCCGGCCAAAGTAACCTCAAGAGCAGTGATGTTTGAAACTGAATTTACGGTAAAATGTTTTGGATGGCTGTGACATTTGTCTAGCATTTCATAAGGTCCTGGAATAGCACCACTCTGCTGTTCTTTGTTCCCACAGGATGTATAGCATATTTTGCCAGGAATTCCTCACAGCGGTGTACATAAATGAACAACTGGATACAAAGCTCACATTAGAAACAGTAATAAACAAAAACCTTGGAGTGGGGGGGGGGAGACCTGGGTCTGCCAGACACTCTGTTTCTGGCCTCCAGGTACCTGCCCTTAAACAAAAGAACCTCAAGGACAGATGGCAGAGGAAAATGGCTGAAAAAGAAGTCCCACTCCTTGTTACCTCAGACAAAGAGGACTCAACTGTACATTACAGATAACGTGTCACTAGAAAATGAAATTCCTTAAGTGTTGAACAGTGTATGGTTGTCACCACAAGAGTTCTTCCCACTTCCTGTAATTTCAAAATTAGATTGTTTTCTTTTATTATTGTTCTCTAGGCCATAAGTTACAGTAGTTCTTCCTTTTTATGATTTCTCAGACATTAAATACTGCCTTGGCTGCCACTCTAGCACTTATCTGTAATGTATAATTTGACCTTAACTGGTGAGGCCCATATACCAGGCCTACAGCAGGGTTTATTCTTGTCAAATGGAAAACAAGATAGGTGAGAGGCTAAAGGCTTGGTTGTCTGCAAGGATTGTCTGAACAGCATTACCCTTGAAAGACTGCAGTCTTAAGGCACTGTGTCTGAATACACCAGTAAAAGCACAGATGACAGTATCAGCAGCATGAGAGTAATGGGCAAAAAATGAGCAGAGCATCAATAAGCCCAGAGAGGCAAAAATCTCTCACATGCAACTTCACGTGGGCCCACTTCCTAAGCAACAACAGAGAAGCTTCTGGTTTGATTTTCTATCTTGCAGATTCTTCATTGTAGAGCTCTAATGCCTTCTGGGCCTGCTCTGAGGGATAAATATACAGTTCCCAGACATCTACAATGGTAAAATAGAGCCTCGTGGCGCAGTGGTTAAAATGCTGTACTGCAGCTAAAACTGTGCTCACGACCTGGGGTTCTGTAGCGCTATGGGGCGGTATATAAGTCCAATAAATAAATAAATAAAAGTCCACCCACCCCTTCCTTATAGCAGATGGTTTTCTCTTCTCTGATGTGAGGAAATGAAAATTTTGGGACAGCCACAACAAAGCAACTCTGAATTTCACATGGGAAAAACTGAGTGGTTCTCTATATGACCATCGTGTATTCATATACTTATCCAGTAAGGCTAGTTTGCTTACTAAGGAAACTTTGACGCAGGTGAAATAACATCCAAGTCCAGATTTATATAGACAATGACGAACATTCCCGCTTCCTGGTGTTTCCTGACAATTGAAAAGCATATTGTACTCAATTAGTTCATAGTATGCAGATAAACATCACACAAGGATGGAAACAAGAAATATCTTTCATTCTGTATCCTTTAGAATACATACATTTTGTTTTCAGTCCCTCTGAAAACTCATCCTTCTAGTTTCAGTGTATGGCTAGATTTGGCCTGGGACCTAAACTGTCCTAGGTACAATTCAAAATGCTCATTATGACACTCAACATCCTACCCAGTTTAGCTCTAGACTATCTGAGACTATATTCTTCCATACAAGCCTGTCTTGGCTTTGGGGGGGGGGGCTCTAGAATAAATTTTCTTTGCTCCCACCCTCACAAAGCCATGTCCCGTGGAGCTGTGAGAGATGGCTTTCTTGATGCCTACTCCCAGACTTCGATGACCAAAAAAACTGTCATCACCTCTTTTGGTCTTTTGACCAGCTGGCAAAGACCTCTAAATTCTGACAACATTTTGGCCACCTTGGTGCTTGCTGAGGGGGCATTTTTAACAAGTGGATTCTGTGCATTTTCTTTTCATTGCTTTTTTACTGATGTGCTTTACAACTGTCTTATTAACTGAGTGTAATTTTCATCTAACAGCTTTTTTATTGTGTGATCTTGTTTTGTGCTTTAACTCTATTTCTACTTAAGCGTATTGTGAGCCAGAGTCCTATTTTGGGAGCAAACGTCCAATATACATAAATAAAGAACATCTTTGTGCCACTTCAAAATGAAATCACTTGTGGGCAAAGAGTTTAGCACCTTTGTATAGCCAAGACAAGAAATAGCATCTTGTAAAACCTTGGAGGAAATCCTTTGGTATCAGATGTTTGGTGACCCTTTTGAGGACTTCATATCTTTGGGCGAAGTGGGAAAAGACTTTTCCTATTGAAAAATAATCATGTAATTTTGAAAACATAATCTTGGACAAAAGAAACAACTTTTTCCCAGGGCCAATGTCTTACATCTTGATCTGAAGATTCCAAGTTCCCACGCGAGAGCTCCAGAAGGAGAGACCTCCCAAAGCAGCAGAAAAAATGGAACTAAGGTAACCACGGGCCACGGGGGCTCTGGGGAGGCGGTCCTAGTAGTCTTTTAGCTCCAGAATACTCTGAGGCCTCTGCGTATGCGCAGACTAAACCCATTAGTGTGCATTCAAAGAGGTCACGAAGAAGAATCATGTAATTTGGAAAACATAATCCTGGACAAAAGAAGCAACTTTTTTCCAGGGCCAATGTCTTACAAAGACAGTGTGTCAAACCAAAGAAAGACTTACCGCAAGCACTGATCCTGCTGGGCACTTGATCCCTCTGTCACACTTAGTACATCTTGACTAGAATACAGAAAAAAAAAGGGAAAACCACAGTATTTTTCAGAAGCTGCTAGAAATATCAGTTTCTAACGTAAGTGTGTAATGAGGACAACAGGCCATAAAAGAGCAGGAACACAAATATATTAGCAGTTTTTCAAAAGCTGTGATGCCAGCCTACTGACAACTCACAGTATAAGAGAAGCTTTCTAGCCTGGGCAGATGAAATGCCCAAATGCTAGTGACAGGGTAGGATTATGAAAATTGTAATCCAATGAGCCACTTTTCTGAGCTTTGCCACAGCAAGCAGACACATATTCTATACCAGGAGTATTTTAGGACCTTATTGTTCAAAACAAATAACTACTGAATGAGCAGAGAATGTCTCCACATGGAACATTCTCCTCCCCCCATGTATCTGATTTAGCACTGTCTTTATCGGTATGTGTCTCCATTCTATATGATGTACAGCTTTTCTCAGTCCAACAGTGACAAACAGTGACAAAACCTCCAACTTCCTGTCAATTTTTGGTCTCATCCCGAGGATTAGTTTCTTTTCATTGCTGTTTAGCCCTATTGCACTTCCCATGACGTGCATTTCCACAGTCAGAGTGCCCTGGTCAGAAGTTTCCAAACTGCAGTCAGTTAGGACAGGGGACACAGACACATGCAAGACAGGCGAAGAAGAAAAACTCCAGCAGGGGATGGCTTGATAAGCATATTTTTAATTACCCTTGCATTTTCATTTTCTTTATATTTCCTGCCAACCTAGCAGTTTGAAAGCATGTAAATGCGAGTAGATAAATAGGTACCACCATGATGGGAAGGTCACGCCATAAAGTCACGCTGACCACATGACCACAGAAACCGTCTACAGACAAACGCTGGCTCTACGGCTTGGAGACAGGGATGAGCACCGTGCCCTAGAGTCGAACACGACTGGACTAAATGTCAAGGGGAACCTTTACCTTTACCTTACATTTTCTTAGTAGACAAGTAGAGATAAGCAGTTTTAAGAGGCTGATTTTAAAAAAATATTTTGTGTGGATGGGAAACTCCATTAGCCCTGAGCTCTTTCACAAGAAGCAGGAGTGAACCAGGAGAAAGCAAGGAGGACATCCGCCGCCCTGCCCCCATATCTGTAAGATGTCCTGAAGTGTAAACAATGATTTAGACCCACACTTAATTCTACAACAATGAATAAACTTAGAATAAAGAAGAAATGACAAGAGACTAAAGCTGTACCTTTTGTATTGTTGTGGTGTTAGTGCTGCAACGATTTTTGTGAATTTGTAGAACTTGAGAAACCTCAATCAACATCCCGTTTCTTGTTTCAACAAAACGACCCTTCAAAAGGACTTTGTTGACGTATGCCTGTGATGAAAAAGGATGGCAAGGGGCAAAGTTAGAAAGGCACAATGTCTCCCAACAATAACTGCTACCAGCTTTGAACAGACAGAAAAAGAAAGGTGTCATCGTATGCTTCTGGCATTATAAAAAATTACCATGCAAGTACATCTTTCTGTAGCCAACTTAACAATTCATTGTCTCATGCAATCTTCCAGTTGGCTGCCAATAAAGCTGTACACAGCATTGACACTTTTGTATCTGTAGAGTTCACAGAGCCATAGAATTGTAGAGTTGGAATGGATCTCAAGAATCACTGAGTCCAACCCCCTGCCAGCGTAGGAAATCCACAGCTGAATCATCCCTGATAGGTTGCCATTCAAACCCACCCCGCGTCTGCCCGCCACCCCCAACATCCACAGATGGACAGACCGCTGCACCCGCCGTGGGCATAGAATGAAGGCAATGTGCTGGACAAAACAGCAGTGTGGGCCAGATGTAGGCCACAGGCTGTATTCTGAGACCCCTGCTCTTGACTCGTTGTGCGAGGCACCACTGTATTCTGAGACCCCTGCTCTTGGGCAGCAAAAAATCCAAGCCTGATCTATTTCCCATGTAACAGCCCTTCAAATACTTGAAGATGTCTCACATCCTCTTCTCCAAGCTAAATAGGCTAGGTTCCCTCAATCTTTCTCCATAGTGCTTAGTTTCTAAATCTCTTGTCCTCTGAACATGCTCCACCTTCTTGATATCCTTTTTAAACTATAGTACCCAGAACTGGAACAGTACTCAAGATGATGTCAAAGCAGAACTGAGTGATGCTATTATTGTCCTTGATCCAGACACTATGGGCTTGTCTACACCTCCATTTTGGAGTGGACTGGATTAGGCTAAATAAGGTCGCTAGGAAGTCAGCCATGCCATTTGGTGCAATCCTCACATCCAAATGGCATACAAACCTCAAACGACCCTATTTGGTCCACATCAGTATGATGTCAGAAGCAGGAGGAGACAGGAAAGGGCAATGACGGGAATTTTTGTTTGCCTTTCTCTTAAAGAGCAAAGGGGAAAAAATCCTCTTGACACCTTCTGCTGCTGTTACTGATCCACTCGTTGCTTTTAAGGCTTCGTCCTGTGCCTGCCCAACCTTGTGCTGACTGTCTTTCACAACCACTCCCCACTGTCACCACTGGTGTTACATTCACTGTTTCTTTACTTCTTTCAAATTAGGATAGCGCTAGTTCAGTATTACAGATAGAAAAAAATATAACAGATTAGACTGCAAGGTTTCCTTGTAGCCTGAAACTTGTAATCCTGGCATTTATTACTTGACAAACCCCACAGACATAATTTACTCTCACATAAGCAGGCACACATGCCAACACCTCAAAATAAATTGCATCCACAATCGAGTTAAAATAAACAACCCACTCAAGACTGTTTAAAATATCTCACTTTCTGAACAACAACAAAACCACTTCCTGGCCAAAAGAACGAGCACTCAGCTATATGTCATATAAACCATTATTTTAAAATATTTTCAAGCATGCTAAATCTGATGCAAACCCAGGAGTATTTTGCGGTATAACCACACCCTCATTTTATCTGTATTAGTCTACTTCTCTAATAAGTTAATGTCACTTTGAATCCTTTTACCCTTGAAATAAATTTTAAAAAGTCACTTTGGATCCTGATTCTGTCTTCTGGTGTATTAGCTATCCCTCCAAGTTTGATATCATTGTCAAATTTAGTGAGCGCCCTCTCCAAACCCTTGCCATTTTAAAAGATGTTGAACAACCGCAGGTCAGGGTCAGAACCCTATAGCACCCTTTTGTTTTTTCCAGGATGATGAGGTGCGATTTGTGTGCAGCCTGTCAATCAATGAATGAATTACCAGCTGGAGATCTTCTGGCCTATTTCACACTGGTCAATTTTTAGCAGGATTATAAAGGAAAGGAAAGGAGTCATGTGTTCCTTGTGCAAAATCCCCAAATAAAGATGAATAATACCATTACTGAGGCACTAAGAACCTTTAAAAAAGGGGAACTTTAAAAAAAATTGAACATTCTGATAAAGGTATCACCCATTCTTGTTTTTGGATTGTACATACAATCCCACTGCTGCAGCACAGAGACAAGCAGCCTCCTTACTTGAAAAATAGCCCTAGTATTCTATTACCCACTTCAGATCCATCTTGTTAAATTACGCATTCCAGAAGCAAAGCAGAATTTTCACTCATTATCACCTGAGTGGCATTCTTATAAAACATCAGCCAGTAGGAGGGTCCTAACATTGTACTTTTGTGAACTCCACTTTTCAGGTTCTCAGACAATAGTTTGTCTCCAAGTATGATGTGGTACCGTACACTGTTATTATCCTAGAAAGCAAGAATCACAGAAAACAAAACATTTGTAGTGTTTTTTTTTGTTTTTTTATTTTAAAAGATACAAATCAATGAGACAACAGCTAGAAGATATGGAAATAAGAAGTGCATTAGTGGTAAGCAGTAATTCTGTTCCACAATCAGACCTGCATCTACTTTAATTTCATTAAATAGCTCTTTGGTTGTTGCTTTCAACCTGATCATCTTTATTATCATTTCATTAAGATTCTAAATTAGATGGAGGCACAGGCCTCAGCAAAATTACTGTCATGACAGTCACAAAATGTAGCGACGTGTGTGTGTCCGTATGTTTTTGTATTCCTATCTGACAAGCTGTGAAACACAAGCAGGAACACAGCCCATTACCAGATCCATTCTGTGAATTTGTGGTAGAAGGATGCCTACTTACTTAAAAAGCAAAATGTGCTGCTTATATACCGCCTCATCGTGCTTAAATTAATCTCTGGGTGGTTTACAATTTAATGTGCAAGGTATGCAATGCTGCCTCCCCCAGCAAGCTGGTTAATTTACCAACATTGGAAGGAAGGAAGGCTGAGTGAACTTCAAGCCAACTACATGGGATTGATCCTGGGTCATGATCAGAGTTTTGGCTACAGTACTGAAATCTAACCACTGTGCCTAAGAGCTCCTCCATAAAAGTAATTATTACTAAACTCACTACAACTTATCCTTTGTTCCCTCACTGATTAGACATAGAAATACAATCTAAAAGCATGTTATTTTTAAATCCAGTAAGGAGGAGGTACTTACGAGTTGTGAAATATTAAATGCTTTACAATATTCCTCAATTGAACTATTTCCTGGGACAAAAATAGTGTATTTTTCAGATGACTCAATCTGTCCAATCAACTGGTATTGCTGAAAGTTTCAAAAAAAAATACAATTAGCCAGCAAATGTGGTCAGTAAAGACTGCACAGTGTGCAAAAACAAAACCCTGCAAGAAACACTTAGAAACATCATGGGAGTTTTAAGGGAAACTGTTTCAGGCTGAAAGGTATGTCTTATATTTTCTCTGCATAACGTTATAACAAGATTCTCAGTTCTCTTGATCACGAGGCCAAAAATGTTGGCAGAGCAGCTAATTCAATAAGTGGATTCTGCCTCTAAATATAGGAATCAGAAGAGCACACATCCCCCTTTAAAAAGAATTATAGAATCGTAGAATAGTGAAGTTGGAAGGGGCCTCTAAGGCCATCAAGTTAAACCCCCTGCTCAAAATCACATTCATACTTCTATTCTAAAAATATCAAAACCCAGTGTTTAATAGGAAAAGAAAATACTGTTAATGGGAATCCTTGGATTTTCTTCTTGGAGAAATATAAATTAAGGTTAAGGACATTCTCAGGAATCTGCTCCTTCTTGTGCAAATACATGCTTCTTTTTCAGAAAGCCATGTTGTACCCAATCACCTCCAACAGGGGAAAAAAATCCCTAGTTTTTTAGATTAGTAGCAAAACTATTCTTCTTAGCCAAGGGATGAGAAACATCTGTCCCTCCAGATCTGCTGGCCTAGAGACCTCTTATCGTTGGCTTTACTGAACAGGGCGAGAGCTGGTGAGAGCTGTAGAAAAAAATACAGCTGGAAGGTCAAGACTTCCAAAATTTTAAGACCACAACAGATCCTTTTGGCAGTGACAGGACACTGGGTGACTTAGAGCTGTCACTTCCTTGGGTCTCACATATGCCATTTCCTCTTTCACCCCCTCTCTTCAAAGAAGCCTCTGCGTCACAGATTAAAGTTATCAGCTTCTACACACCTGCAGGCTCTTGTACCTTAGTTAGTGGGGTTGAAACCACTTCAGAGATAACAATGAAATGAATTCCGGGTGAAATCTTACCTCTAGTAGCTCTTTGAACTTAGTGAAGGAAGGTATGGTGCTAAGTTGCTGCTGCAGACCAGGAGCACTTGGAGGTATGTCCACTGAAGGTAACAGCACCTAAGATAGCGGGGGAGGGGGGGAGAGAACGCACAATCTGACAATCATTCTTTATTGCTTGAAATGGATTAGTGAAGCACAAGGCCTGTCTTGAGGAAACAGAATGGTCTTCAGAGCCACCACAGTTTGGTGGCATGGTTGGTCTCTGGTTACCAAGGATTTCTAAACCATCATCAATATTGAGATCTCTTTTTGGCACAAAATATTTCTTTTCAAACCTTACAAATATGCTTAATCCAAAAAAAGGGGGGGGGAATCAAGTGCAATCTAAATAACATACCTTATCAATTATATAAATGGTGCTGTTAATAGCAGGGATGTCACCCAATGTGATGCTTGCATTCTGAATAGTTATAGCCTGAAAAAACAACAACAACAACAACAAATCAAATGTGGCAATTTGGTACTGAAGTACTAGACTAGAGCCCTGTTAGGAAAAAACCACACAAACTCAAGGGCAGCTGCACAAGTCGTGGACATGCACCTGGTATTGCAACCAATATCAAGCAAAGGACAGGCTGCCAGAGAAGGAAAGTCATTTGAGCGATTACCCCTCTATCCTATGTTTCCTCTACAGGCCTTTCCATCTCTACCTACACATAAATATTCCAGCAGACTCTACCCTTAAATTGCACATCACAAATCTTGAAAGGGCCTGAATCTATTCCACAATGTCTGTTCAATGCCCACATCGCTTTTTTCCCTAGATAAACTATGCAATACAATATTTCATATGATATGACATGCCACGGCATTACAATCAACATTTAATTTAATCCAGTTATTCTGGGCCTTCTCATTGCTTTCACAGAAATGCACAGAGACGTGAACTCTACTACCCCCACCAGTGCTTTGCTAGTTCTGGTAGAAGACTTTGACTTATACTTGTTATACATAACCAGATCACAGAATGGGAAGATGTCACGATGCCCAACCTTCACCTGTAGCTACTGCTAGCTCTTATACACCTTGCTTGTGGGAGGAAGGAAGGGGGGAAGGAGGAGGGCAGTTCCATCTGACTGCCCACTGAACAACATGAAAAACGTGTTCTTCATGGCGAGCTTAGCAGATCTCAGTGCAAGCAGGCCTTCAGAAAAACAAGAGAAACATTCTGGCCTACATCACTTCCTATGATATCAGAGCAATCCTAGCCTATGTTTCTTATAAGTTGAGTGTTATTCCAGAAAGTCTTGCTAAATTATTGCTAGTGATGATAAAGTGCACGGTGCTATTTCCCATATGTTTTCTTTTTCTTCTTTTTAAGGACAAAAGCAGGCAGTTGCTTGCTTGTTTGTTACCATCATATTGTGGGATCTGCATTAAGCTGGTTGTTGGAAAAGGGGCCCAACTAATGATGCTCTTTACAGCTCTGACCATCCAAGTATTTTGTTTGAATTCTTAGTAGTTACTCTACAACTATCCTAACCTACTGCCACAAATCAGATAAAAGTCAAGCGGAACATCCCTGCCTCTCCAGTTTTCCAGGCACATTTCAGGCCAACTCAGTTCTAGAGAAGAAAAATGTTTCATTTGTGTGAGAGAGGTGTCCTTAATGTGTCCCTCACATGTTGCTGGGTTCACCAGGTCAAGATAAAGATCCTGCAATGGGGATCAGTGAGAAAGGGATCAGGAAAAAAGGTGATGGATCCATGCTTTGAGGTCTATCATACAGTTGGGATCAAAGCAAGGAATGAAGCACCAGCATTCCAACTTATGAGTCTTTTTGCTGCACAGATCCTGCCATCACCAGTGTAAAAACTGGTGTGCTCTAGTCAGGATCATCGTGGGTGCCATCCCTCGCAAGAATAGCAACCACTGCTACAGCTGTTAGGTGCATTTCACCATCTGCACAGTCAGTAAAAGTTTATTCTGTTTCCCCCTCTGGTTATAGGCTGCCATATTGTTATTTGATTTTATCTGGACTCTGGGCTGGTTCACTCTTATATGCGTTTTCACAATCAGGTGGCTCAGGCCATTTCCTGCCCCCTCCTGACTGTTACCTTGATTACTTCTGTTACCTTACCATAGTCCATCCCCTGGTCTCAGGTTTTAGCCCTGACATCTCAGGGAAAGGGCTGCTGTTGTCCCGACAACCCAAGATAAAAGCATTTTACATAGTAGAGAGATTATAGATAAGGGGATCCTACATTCATCTTGACTGTATTATTCTTTTCCTGTTACAGACTCTCCATTTTAAAAGCAGCATCAAACAGATTTCTACTGTGCAAAGTTGGCTGAAAAGAATTTGGGTGGCAGAACACAGTATATATGAAACAATGTTGTGAATATTATTTGTAGAAGTCCTCACCTCACTGCTGTTGCTTATCATCCATTTGGTCCGGGGATCAAGAGTGGGAAGTTCCTGGTTGACATATTTCTTGAGTTGCTCAGTTGTAAAAGAACCTTGGAGGAAGTGGGACCTACAATAAGGTAAGAAGAGTCAAAACAATATTGCCAGTTGCCTTTGCTCTTTATGCACATTGCTTACACTCAAACATAGCCTCTTTTAAATATTTCTGCATCTTAGATCTTCCCTTTCCACCTATTCCAAGTTCTCCAGTAACACTCTTATGTCATATACATGTTGTGCAATCCACTACTGACAAATAGTATTCTTGAAGGCAGGTTGGACTCCAGCTGTATACTGACAGTATACTCATTCACACTATGCAATAATTGTGTGTGTTGCTTATATAGTTGCATTTCCTGCACTAAACATGTCTGGATGGCATACATCTATGCACTTGGAGACCCTTGTCCAATTCTGATTTTCAGACACATTTTCATGGATTGAAGGATACAAGCATAGTGTTCGTACTTTGCACATTGACTGTAAGAAACACTAGAATGAGCCTCGCGTGCAGCTATTGTGACTCCTGTGGAAACCTGCTTGAGCTGTTTCAATCTATGCACTTTTTCATGCTGTAAGTAGTTGTCTGGTATGATACAATGTCAGACTAATGATATGTCTAGCTCACTGCTGTCAGGCAAAGTGTTTCAGGTGACACTCCCTTCCAGATCTACTTAGAGATGCCATGAATTTAATGACGGACCTTCTGCAGGCCACATAAGTGCTCTACCAGAGGGCTATTACAGCAGCACCATCTAGAATACAATATACAGAAGGGGAAGGATGCCCGGGAGTGTCTCAGTATCAGAGTCTAACCCTCTGTGGGCTGTCTTAGATCTGTGGACTTGTTGCTCTCCCTTTTAGAGGCTCCTTGGGCCTGTTTATCTACCAGTGCTTCCTCTTCCATTTCATTTTGTCTTTCTGAGCGCTGGCAAGCTTTTGTCACGGACATGGCATGTCTCTTGTGAGCATGCCGGTATGTCAGTCAGGCACCAGCTACGACAGAGCACCTTCTGCGCTTCAATGTGTTCACAACTTCCAAACTTCCAAAGCATGCTGGGAACAAACCTCTTCCTGTAATGTCTCACCAGATGGTGGCAAGAATATTTATGGGGAATTCAGCCTTTGTTTAATGAATACTTCCCCCAGATATGAGTGGAGCTTTGATTAGAATGAATGAAAGCTGCGGTACTTTTGCTACAGGACCTTTCTTAAACAAACAAACAAACAAACAAATCATTTTTTAAAAAACCACCAGAGCTCAAGTAGATATGTTTTTGCTGACAGGCTAAACTAAGACCATTACAGGGACAGGCTGGTAAAGGTATCTTTCAAGAATCCGGCTCTCCTTATAGTGTGTTGAAATTTGCAGAAACCAGATTAATGTCTCAAACACTGTGCTGAATCCAGTTCTGAAACCCTTAGATTCTACTCAGGGACACCGATTTGTTCTGTGGCTTTGCCTTAGAACAGCTACAGCCATGTAACTAACCAATTGCCTTATTCAGTTATCTTGTACCTCAGGGGAACATTCATGCATATGCACAAGGTTTCTGAAAAGTACAAAGCCAACTGTACCTGACCAGAGATGGCAGCATGTTGGGCTCTAGCCAGAATTGTTTCTCAGCCATGGTCAGGTTTTGGATGGCTTCTTTTGTTGGTACCAGAACAGTAACATTGCCTCCTTCCGGGAGGCTGAAGAGGGATGCCTTTCCCACCAAAAGCAATGGGACAAACATACATTATTGAGTGTTAAAACAAATTTATTTTATTTTATTTTCATTTTTAGGCTGCCTTCTCCCAATGAGGGGGTGAATACTGGATGGAAAGTAGAAAATTACTGCATTGTATATTAGATCTTACATGACTAAAAAAAAAAATCTAGTATGCAGACTCCAAAGCTGATGTAACATTATGACAGACTGGAGGCATAAGCAGATGAGCATAAAACCCCCAGTGAATTTCCATTCCATTTAGCTCTTCAGCATCATGAACAAAGGCAGTGCTGACTCCCAGTAGCATCTTTCCATGTATACACAAAAACAAACAAACAGAGAGAGAGAGACAGAGAGAGGGCGGTGGCTACCATTAGGCAGTGTGAGGTAGTCGCCTCAGCAGCACAGGTTGGGAGACAGCCATGTTGGAGACCTTTGTGCCTAGTGTCCTATTCATGCATGTGAACAATATGCTTAAGCCCTATGGTTTTAGGCTTTTTCAAGATTACCCTTCAGTCTAAAGAGCAAACGCGAAGAGGAAGAAGGAAGGGGGGAAAGTAACAATCAAAAATAATGATTTGGAATGCAACACGTCTCACCTTAATCCACTCATAGAAGGAAGAAAAATGGTAGTTCCTTGCCAGCTCCTTTGAAAAGAGAAGACAACAGATTTATGAGGAAATGTCTGACTGGGAAACATATTCAGCCAAGATGCAGTGTGTCACTTTCATGTTCAATGCTACTGCCATTGATGATTCCACTCCCTCCCAATACACAATGCAGTCCTATGACACCAGAACCTACAAAAGATGGTTTCTAAGTCCTCCAGATCAGTTTTATAGAGTGTATGGAAGGTGAAGGTAAGAAGGGGGCCTAGCTGATTTAAGGAATTAGATCCTGCTCTATACTTATACAAATATGAACCCTCCTATCTGGCCCAGGTATTCAGTATTCAAAGGTTAATTGTTACTGAACTGGCCCAGGTATTCAGTATTCAAAGGTTCATTGTTACTGAATGTGCAAAACGCTGGTAAGGCTGCATGTGGAGTATTGCAGCACTGGTAAGGCTGCACCTGGAGTATTGCAGACAGTTCTGGTCACCAGACCTCAAAAAAGACAGTGGAACTGGAAAAAGTGCAGAAGAGAACGACTAAAATGATGACTGGGCTTGGGCACCTCCCTTATGTGGAAAGGCCACAGCGTTTGGGGCTCTTTAGTCTAGAGAAAAGGCACCTGAGAGGGGGGACATGACTGTGATGTATAACATGATGCTGGGGATGGATAAAGTGGATAGAGGGAAGCTCTTTTCCCTCTCACACAATACCAGAACCAGGGGACATCCACTCAAACCAAGTGTTGTGAGAGTGAGGACAGACCAAAGAAAATATTTCTTTACTCAACATGTTGTTAGTCTGTGGAACTCCTTGCCACTGTGATGGCATCTGACCTAGATGCCTTTAAAAGGGGATTGGACAGATGTCTGGAGGAAAAGACCATCGCAGGTTACGAGCCATGATGGGGATGTATAGTCTCCAGGCTTAGAAGAAAGGTAGCTTCAAATGCTAGATGCAGGGGAGGGGTATCGGGAGACAGGTATCTAGTTGTCTTGTGTGCTCCCAGGGGCATCTGGTGCGGCCACTGTGAGATCCATGAAGCTGGACTAGATGGGCCCTTGGCCTGATCCTGCAGGGCTCTTCTTATGTTCTTAGGTAATGTGGATATTCCATGATCCCGCAGGGCTCTTCTTATGTTCTTATATAATGTGGATATTCCACTTAGCTGGCTGACAAACAGACATTGCTAGATCTATCCATGAACATCTTGATTTCTTTTAAGATGGAAACCTTCTTATGCAAGTAGTCATCATTGTCTTCTGGAGGGAAGTTAGTTCCTAGGTGTAACAATGGAGCTACAATAGGGAACTTTCCCAATCAGCATCTACAAGCTAATTCTATTCCAGTAATTAAATGTAACTTTACATTCTAAAATACAGTATTTGTCTTTTTACCCTAGTAATATGACACTGGAAAAATCTCTAAACAACATCACACTGATACAACTTGAGGAGGACTGAGGGGTAGGACAGAGCAAACACTATCACTCAGGAACACCCCCCCCCATGGATCCAGGAGGCCTCAAGCCAGCAGGAGGTAGAGCAGCCCCCCACCTCCACACTGTTCCACTACAGATTCTTTGACCCACTGGAAAAGTGGCCTACTTTATCACGGGAGTTAAAAGGACAGAGCTAAGGCTCTGGTCACATAAAGGAAACATTCTCTTGTTGTCCCCCAGTTAGATCAGCACTGGTTAGGCCTCACCTTGAGTATTGTGTCCAGTTCTGGACACCACACTTCAAGAAGGATGCTAACAAACTGGAACTTCAAAGGAGAACGACAAGGATGATTAGGAGACTGGAAACCAAGCCTTATGAGGAAAAGCTGAAAGAATTTGGCATGCTTAGCCTTGAGAAAAGAAGCCTAAGGGGTGATATGATAGCACTTTTCAAATATTTGAAAGGCAGAGGAGGGGCAAGCTCTGTTCTCGATCATCCCAGAGTGCAGGACACGCAACAATGAGCTCAAGTTAAAGGAAGCCAGATTTCGGTTGAATATCAGGAAAAACTGCCTAACTGTTAGAGTACTACGAAAGTGGAACCAGTTACCTCGGGAGTTGGTGAGTGCTCCAACACTGGAGGCATTCAAGAAAACTTAGATAATCACTTGCCGTGTGCGTGCGCACACGCACACACACATATGGTACTGGTTTATTTTTCTCTTACTTCAAGGGGCAATTCAGCCCTATATATAGTTGATATATATATATATCTCAAGGGGCTGAATATATCGAAATAAATTGTTACTGCTAAAAGTTCTTGGGACATATAGATACCACGTGACTGAGAATCCGTACAACAGAGGTATAGAAAGTACTGGAAGAACTAGAGAACATTTCCATTGTGTGACCAGGGACCCATTCTCCCAATGTACCTTCAAAAGTCACAAGGAATCCTCAAGACTCCCACAGTGCAGTGGGGCACTTTTTCTAATGGTTCAAAGAATTTCTATAGTGTGGAGGTACTCTACCTTCTGCTGGTTTGAGAACTCCCAACCCCATAAGTTGGCAGGAGGGGAGGTTCCCACTGAATTATGGGACTGGGATTCCTTAAATTCCAAAACTCCTGTCTCTAAATACTTCCTTCTTCTTTTATGTATAGAATCTGTTTACATATTTCGTTCAAAATACAAATACTTTATGCTTCTTTGTTTACCTTGATTACATCACCATAACAGAGAACTCCATCTCCCATGTAACCTTTGGAGCACTGGCAGACCTTCTCTCCAGTACCAAGAGTAAGGCACACAGCCTATTGAGTTTAAAACAACAGAAAAAAAGAATTATCATCAGAGTAGAATTACGTACCTATTTTATAAAGGGCACAGCTCATCATTATTCCCCCTGCCCCCTGGCAACAGTTCAAAGACTTGTAAAATGCGGTCAGTTATGGTGGAGAGAGGGCAAAGAAATCAATACACATATACAAAGTTCCCAGAAACCGCTTCTAGTTCCAGGTTGGTGAAACATAGATTGGCGGCTCCTCCCTGAAGAATGACAACTAGTTTTTGCAGCACCATATTTCCTCAAAGGCTCCAACTTCTTACCAATTCATGACAGCCACCGTTGTCTATGGAGCAAAGATCAATGGGATCACAGTTGTAACCATCACCAAAATAGCCTCTCTTGCATGTACAACTGCTCTGCAAGTAGGAACAGAAGGAAATCTGGTCAATATCTGCTATTCAAATTTCTTCCACAGACACCACACTAATCTTGCATTGTTTCCTCTCCTTTTAAAAAGGCTCTGCAATGGATCCTTGAAACTTGAAAACAACGCTGAAACTGGAATATTTAGCCCCTGCGACGTTGAATTGGAAATGGACAATCTGCTAGTTCCATTTCTCCTGAACTGAATGCTTTAAAAATGATCTTCCCCTCCATCCTGAATATGTGATTTAAGGTTGTTATGTTCTTTTACCAAAAACAAAACAACGGGCAAAGCTATACTCAGCGCCTAAAAGGGCATGTAATAGTTGTATGGCCACATATGTTTTATAGAACCTCTGGGATTAAAAATGACCTTAGTTCCACAATCGTATAGCTGAATACACAAATTCTAATTCAGATTTTTAAGAGTTAAGCACATAAAGCCCTCAGTTGTGGATGAAGAAATCTGTCAGAACCTGAATACACCAAATGGAAAGATCCTGTCAGTATTTTAGACAATAGGTTAAATCTGGTATCTATCTGGTAGGTTAAAGCCTACCAGATTTCAACATACAATTTTAAAGCAAGATAGGAAAAAATGCCAGCCCTACCTGCCCAGGCCCAATATAGTCACAGTCAGCATTAACGTGGCACCCTCCTCTGGACTCCGTCACACAGTTGTCAATGGCAACACAGGCCTTTCCATCCCCAGTCCATCCTCTGTTACACTGGCAGGTTGCTGTGCCAGGGCCTGAACTGGTACACATGGCCTGGGCGAGAAACAGAAGAGAACCTTAAGCAAAGAGGACTATAATCTTTATCTCAATAGAGTGAAGAAAAAAAATCTACATAGTGTAACTTGATTGTTTTCGTTTATAGCTTGGAAACCCAAAACCAGAACTGTTTTCTTTGTAGATTCGAGTGAAAGTGCTTTCAACTGACACAACATTTGGATGCTTGCAATTGGCTGCCCAACAGACAGTAAAATTTCACCGTAAGTCAGTTCAGAAGTATATTGCTTGTATTCCTGGAGGTAGTACAGCATCATCCTGGTGTCTCATCATTGCCACTATCTTAGTCAGGGTGGGGGTGAGGGCAGGTGGAGCAGGAAAATTACTGAAGGAAATGGTACTGAAAGATTTGCCCCAAACACAGGCTGCACCAGTCCTGGAAATGGCAAAGTAAGCATAGTAGGAGTAAAACCAGCAGCAGCAGCCAACTGCGGAAGGGTCTCTAACTTGGAAAAACACATACTTTAATTAAATGCTTATTAATATCCTAGGTTCTTAGGAATTACTTGATATTCAAGGAACTAAGTTAAGCCAACTTTTGGTGTGCTGTGTATAACAAAACAACTTCTTTAAATGTTCTATGTTAAAAATGCCCCCAGATACGGATCAAATGGTTTTCAATGCATTCCTATGGGAAATGCAGATTTGACCTGAGAGCTTTTTGACTTGAGAACCGCCTTCCAATACGGATTAAGTTCTCAAGTCAAGACCCCACTGTACTTTAATTAAATACTTATTAATATCCTAGGTTCTTAGGAATTACTTGATATTCAAGGAACTAAGTTAAGCCAACTTTTGGTGTGCTGTGTATAACAAAACAACTTCTTTAAATGTTCTATGTTAAAAATGCCCCTGAATAAAAAAAAATGAAATTAAATGAAAAATAGCTAGATGGCCACTTCCAGTTTTGAGTTTTCTCAGGTGTGTGTTGCATGTGGGGAAGAGAGGAACACGTGGGAGACTTGGAGGATTTCTCCCGCACCTGCTTGAAGCAAGAACAGGCTTTCTTCATTAAAAATAGTTTTGGGCTCTGAGGAATGTTGGAATGGGTCTACAAGGTTTAGAGAAGATGCAAGCATGACTACTGATTTGGTTCTTCCTGTTCACTAAGTCAAGCAACCGTAGTATTTTGTTTAAGCTGCCAGATCAATGTAACATGAAACTGTGCATCGCATAACAAAACCAGCAACAACAAACAACATGCTGTCAAGTCAATTCCAACAAAGGGCAACCTTACCAAAGTCTTCTGTGTACAGAGTACTTAGAAGCAGTTTCCCAGCCCCTTCTTCCAGGGGCATCTTGGGACTATTCAGCTTGACCAAGGCCACACAGGCTGGTGTCTCTCCTTGGAGGCAGCAGTGGAGGATCCAACTGCCAACATCCAACTCCACTGCCAGACACTAATTCTCCGAGCTATCACAAATGACTTAATCCAATATACCTCGTGCGATAAGGTAAGCATCCTCTTCATCCCACATCATAGGTGAGTTGCTAAAGATGTACAAAACAACTGAGTAATGAAATATCAATCAGCAAGGAAAGCATGCTCTGCCCACATACATTTACTGAACATCCTCCTTGTTCTGGCGTGATGCAGACATCAATCGGCTTGCAAGAAATCCCATCTCCTTCATATCCATCCTGGCAGATGCATCTGAACAATACACAGAGGAAACTTTTAATTCACACATTTATTTCCCATTAATTTATATCCAGACAGAGCTGGATAAGAAGCAATTCCCTCAGGTAACAGATTTTGGGAATCATGAAAGGGCAGCAAATTGTTACTGATTTAATTTGCTATTGCTTTGTATTTAGACGTAAAGTTTATAGACGTCTGAGGGGGTCTGGAGGACACAAGTTGATGCTACACCACAAATGAATGTCATGGGACAGCTGTAAATTAAACCAAAAAGCAAGCATTTTTATCAACATTTTAACATTCAGTTTAAGCAAATGCTCTCCATGGTAGCACCCTGTATTATTAGATAAAACCAAGGTCCCCTTGGTCACCTCTCTTCTCATTTCTCTCCCTCTCTCTGACCTGACAGCTACAGTCAGAAACTTGAGCATTTTTCTCAGACACATGGAGAAAAAAAAGAACAACAGTGTTAAGTGTATTGGTTCAGAAACAAGCCCCTCTAAATCCAATGGTTATTTTTACCCTGCCTTTCTCCTTTAAAAGGACCCAATGTTATTGACAGCTAAAAACAGTATGTGTACATATGCTAAAAAGGATCAAACAAATACAAAGGATCAAAAAAACATTCAAAGCACCTCAGTCAGGAAGCCAGGGAAGGCTTGCCTGAAGAGACAGGTCTCTGTCTGCTTGAGTAAGGACGACAAAGATGGGACCAGCCGGGCCTCCTCTGGGAGGGAGTTCCAAAGTCTGGGAGGTGTGGCAGAGAAGGCCCTCTCCTGTGTCACCACCAAATGCAGGTGGGGGAGGTGGTGAGATGGAGAGAAAGGCCTCAGGACAGCCAGGAAGGAGAAAGAGAAAGGCCTCTCCTGATGATTTTAACAGCCAGGAAGGCTCATAAAGGGAGAAACAGTCCTTTATAGGTCAAAAACAGCACTCTGAATTGTGTCTGGAAATGGACTGGCATCCAGTGGAGTTGTTCTAACCAAGGGGGGTTACGTTATCCTTGTAACTAGCCCCAGTTAGCAATTTCGCTGCCCTGTTTTGGTCACACTGAAATTTCTGAACACTTTCCCAGAGGCAGCATGTTACAGTAATCCAGTCAGGCCTGTGTCGCTGTGATCAGATCGGCACCACCTGAGAGGGGAATGGGAAAGGAAGAAGGAAACAAGACTATCAAGGAACCAGAAAAGGGAGAGGAAACCAAACAAGGCTGATTTCCTTCCCTCTCTCTGTTGACTTCTGTGTGCTTGGTTGAGGCAAATTAATCCACAAAATTAATTAGCAACTTCACAATGGATCTGTTCACATTATTTCTGCTATGTACCTGCAGCCTGTGATTACAGCTGAACACACATTAAGGTTTTAGGGTAGTGCTGGGCCATGGAATCCCACATTTTATGTAAAATCATACTTCAAAGAAATCTTGTACCTAAACCCCAAAGACCACTGATTTGCATAATTCCAAAAGTAAGAGCAGTGATGTTACTTAGTCACTTTCACTAGTTAGGAACTTTCCCTTTCCACTCATGGGCTTCTTCTAAATCTCTTGTTTCTGGCTTAGGATTGTACCCAAAGCCAGTCTTCATCCATGTGTTTTTCTGCTACATTCCTTTCTTATTCCACTTGGTCCTCACAGCTTTTCTAAAAGCTGACTCTTTGTTCTGTGCACCTGAACATAGGTGAATGAGGAGTGCCCTTTGCTGTTCCACCTCAGGTAGCGAAATGCTGATCGTACCACAGAAAGAAATGGATCAGTGCTGCAGAGACAGCTTACCGTGCAGTGTCATTCAGGCTGCAGATTGCATTCTTATGGCAGTGCAAGGAGCTACCACATTTCTTACTAATCTGGTCACAGAATTCCCCTGTATATCCAGGCTTACACGACCCAGGCTGGCACACCCCCTTGCTTCCTGGTCTGTTGTCACATATCCCATGAATGCAGCCGCAGTCTGCCAGACAGAAAAGAAAGATTTAGTTGAACCACTGCCACCATAAGAGGTTTATTTTCACCATTTAGTTTCTCAAAGAACAATAAAGGGGCTGGGGATAGTGGTCAAGAAGACCTCCCAAGGATTCTCCCTTGTTTCAAGCCAACAACTTCTGTTGTAAAACATACGACCATAAATGGGGGATCACCAACTAGTGCTTACAGAAGCCAGCGTCAGTTGGACAAATTGAACATGGAAGATCATTTTCCACTATGGAGACTACACTGATGTCTCCCTACAAGGAGCAGGTCATGGACATTGACTTTGTCAAAGGATGGCATGTGCTAATGAGACTGCAAGTTGGGAGGTGTCTTCAGGAGGCTGAGGAAGATGTAGGCTATTAGGGGACTGATTTTAGCTAGAGTTGAGGAAGGATCTTGCCAGAAATCTGATAGGGAAACAACTGGGGGTTAATGTAGGGGGTTAATGAGTGGGTTAATGTAGTGAAGATCCACTTATGATCCATCTGTGTATTTGTAAATACATGCAAATATTGTATTCGCGAAGGCAATATTATAACATGCAAATATTATAAAATATAAACAAAATTTGGGGGGGGCTGATTCAAAAGAAACCAACCCTCAAAGCAAATGCCACAGCCTTTGAAACCTTGGCGCACAGAACACTGATGTGTACGTAACAGAACTGTCCATTCTGTCGGGGTGATGTGGACCATCAGACCAAGAACATGTTGAATGCTGTAGTAGAATTACGACTGAGCTGCAGGGAGACGGCAGAGTTGAGGAGCTAGGGCATCAGAAAGCATGCATTCAGAACCAACCAACAGAGTTGTATCAAACTAGAGACTTTGTTGTTGCTCATACAAAGTTTCATCCTAGACACAAAGCTTTCTGTAACCCTTCCCCAAAGCCTAAGCCAGTTACAAGTGTGAGAATATTTTACTGTTTAGAAGACATTCCAAAGTGTAATTCTAACAATCCGCCACACCGGGTTGCAACCCACAAAACCAAAGGTTCCTGCTTCTAGCCTTGGCAGCTCCTCCTTCTGACGCATATACATGTACATACACAAAAATTCAGTGCCCCAATCAAGCCTAGCCATCTGTAACTGTTTTGCTGAAGAAGAGAAAAAGTAGGCTTGGCAACTAGCCATTGCCGGACACAGCAGACAGCTTGTTCTAAGAAACAGCTGCTCTTGCCACATCATTGAAAAGCACCTGATCCTTGTGCCATGAACTTTTCTAACCTCTTGTAGCTTGCAAATGAGGTTGCTTTGCTTTATAATTGGTCATCTGGCGTTAACACTGGTTTAATTTGCCTTCAGACTGCTTAGAAACAGTGCTAGGAGAGGAGCATGTGGCTGAAACATTAATGCGTTCTTTTTACAATGACTTGGTAGCTTTCGTGTCTGGTTTGGCCTTCAGAGAAGGAAAAGTCCTAAATTAGATGCTATGATTTTTCAGTTAGATAGTATTGGCAGATCCCAGAGAAGTTCTGCCTGCATAAGAACATGGAGGCAAGAAATACAATCCTTTCTTTCGCTGCTGGATTCAAATTTCTAGACTTGCTGCTAGAAAAATCTGGCTGGTTTTGAAATTCTTGAAATAAATTGTTGATTCCCTATTATATATGAATCATAACTCATTACACTGAGTGATCCAACAGTTTTCAGGTAAATGTTTGGCAGCTTTAAATAATCCAACCAAGGAGATTTCTCTCTCCCCCACCCTCAATCTCTCTCTCTTTTAAAATCACGACAATAGTCTTAAATGTTCCCCTCCTTGATTTACCCTGCCTGAGGGTTCCTGTCACCCATCAGGGTTGCTTTCCTGCAGACTCAGAGTCACAGACCTTCATCACAGTTCTCCCCATGTTTGTTTGGGTTTGAACAGATATGGCAGGCAATTCCTTTGAAATCCTCAAAGCAGCGACACTGGCCATTTCCTCGAATCCCATCGGAGCACTATGGAGAGAAAAAAATAAATAAATTTAGCCCAACAAATGGGATATTGTGCAGCAAGACAAAAGTCTTTTCTTCTTTTTGTCTTCTCCCCATAGCTCCATGAGCCAAAAAAACAAAGTCTTCTTGAAATCAGTGGGAAATAAGTTGTCGTTAATATTTTGTGAGAGCCCAGTTTCCATTTACACCAACCAATAGCACAGTCAGTGATTATGGGAGTTGTAATCCAACATAGTTTGGGGGACCAGAGCTTTGCCACACCTTATCTACAGAGTTTTATTTTTCCAGTAACACTCTAGTTTGATGCTGAACTTCTTTATAATTCAAATTGATGAGTGCTAAACAAAAAAATCATGTAACATGGCAACTGTATACCAGCAGTGTAATACGTAGTTAATTAAAAGATCTCCAGATAATAGAAAAGAGGCTCCTTCAATGAGATATACTAAGAGATACTTTGGTCTTGTGAGGTCCATTGTATGGCCATACAGCATTCAAATTACTTTGGTCTTGTGAGGTCCATTGTATGGTCATACAGCATTGGACAGCCATTAATAATTGTCTTGTGACCATTTCTGACATGCCTAATTAATTAATAAATCAAAATACATCAAGGTATTGTTCAAGCATACATCCTTGAATGGCTAATTTTCTATTGCTGGCTTTAAAACATTCTCCCATTTGTCCAGAAGGTTCTCTGCCACTTACGTTTCCTCTGCCATAGCATGGATTCGTAAATCCACCAGGACATGGGGTGCAGGAATGACCAAAGAACCCTTTACAGCAACCAGGTGTCTAAAAAGACATAAAGCACGTCATTTTGAAGGACATCACCAGCCCTTGATCCTTAAATTCAAGATTTCACTAGAATTTCTCACTCTTTGCTGCCTTCTAGGACTAGAGAGCTACTACTACTAGAGTCTACTAGACTACTAGAGTCTACTACTTTGCTGTGTTTGTTGTTTATGTTTGGGATTCCATGCTTCTATAGGCAACAATGATTGTGAAAAGGGAATCAGTTATTCCTATGTCTATGTTTTACAGCTTGTAGCAGTGTTAGTCTGTGTTTTATAGATTACAGCAAGCTTTTGACTGTCAGGATCTGGAGAGGTCTGGGGTTGTTCCCAATGAAATACTGTATGTGGTTTCATTGGGAACCTGATGTGTAGCATGTGTAACCTGTAACACTAACTGTCCTGGTGTGTAACTTGATGTGTAACCTGTAACGTTGACTGTTCTGCTACACAAGCTAGAGTGTAGACCAGAGGCGACTGTTAGAGGAAGACAGAATACTGAGTGACAGACTAGTTTCCAATTGGCAAAGGTATCACTCAAAGGTGCATTTTGTCCCACTGCCTGCTCAGTTTATAAGCAGGACACCTCATATAGAAAGCTGGATTAGGTTCAGATGAAGGAAGAGCAATGTGAATTTCGTTGTATGGGTATACTGTGTATATACTTACAATGACAATAAATTATTATTATTATTAAAGTGTGGTGCAAGAAATTTCCATGCACAAAATTTAAGATACACAGATGCTGGCATACTATCTATGGGCAGGAAGCAGCGAGGAGTTGATACAACTAGTGAGGTAAATGAAATAAGAGCAAAAGCAGGTTTTCTAATTACTACATACTACGCAAAAGTTGGACAGTGATGAAAGCTAACACAGAAAAAATGGTTCATTTGAAACATGATATTGGAGGGGAGCTTTACAGATACCATGGCCTGCCAGGAAATCAGAAAACTGTGCTAGATCAAATCAAGCCTGAATTCTTTCTAGAAGCTAAAATTACTAAATTGGAGCTGCTTTACCTTTGACATACAAAGAGAAGGCAAGAGTCAATGGAAAGGAAATACTGCATGGGGAAAATGTAGGTAGCAGGAAAAGAAGACTAAACATGAGATGGATATAGGAAAAAACACAACCTTTAGTGTGCAAGAGCTGGACCTGGCTGGCAATGATAAGACTTTATAGAAGTTAATGATTCATAGGACTGAAGCAGCTTGACAGCATATAACAACAAGGCCAAATGTGCCATTTTTATCCTTTCCCAGGGAACAGAGAAATATAGATTTAGAGCAGAGCTAGGAGAAGTTATGTTTTTGGGCCACATTTCCTAGAATCCTCTAGCCCACAAACCCAGTGGCTAGGATAGCTGGCCAATTCTGGGGTTAAGCAGAACTTGTAATTCTTAAAAGCTCTTCCTTCAACACAGATTTTTGAAACAGTTTATAGTGGAGATATCCCAAGAGAATCAACCCTCCTTAAATGACAGAAAAGAAGGAAGTGCACCCTTGGATTTTGCCTTTGTTTACTGTTTTAATGAAAAAAAAGCCTTGTTCTTCCTCAAAGGGCTGCATAAATAATGAAGAGGATTCTTTGTCTGGGTTCGACCATGCTATCCATGCAGTGACCACTAGAAGCAAAATAACCAAGAAAACATTGACAGAAAAACAGCTTTCGGTACCCTTTGAATCTGTGGGTAATTCAATATTCAATTCTTATCCAAATCCATTAAAAATTACCCTGCATAAAAAGATAATATCCTTACTTTTTGGTAGGTAAAGGTTCCCCCTGACATTTTAGTCCAGTTGTGTCCGACTCTAGGGCGCGGTGCTCATCCCCATCTCCAAGCCATAGAACCAGTATTTGTTCATAGACGTGTGGTCACGTGGCCAGGACGACTAGAAACGGAATGCCGCAACCTTCCCACCGAGGTGGTACCTATTTATCTACGCGCATTTGCATGCTTTCGAACTGCTAGGTTGGCAGGAGCTGGGACAAGTGACAGGAGCTCACTCCGTCACATGGATCCAATCTTACAACTGCTGGTCTTCTGACCTTGCAGCATTTCTGCGGAAGCTTCTGCGGTTTAACCCGCAATGCCACCACTTTTTGGTTAGGTGGCAGCAAAATAAGAAACTGCCAAGAAATAGAAGATAATTTGTAAATGCCTCATAGATATAAATGAGTCATAGCCCTTTCAGAGGGATGGCTATATTGTTCTGTTCTAACAAAAACAACAACAGGTTCTTGTGGCATCTTACATGATCAATGGAATCATATCCGCCATATGTTTTCATGGACTACAACCAGATCATCAGATAATAACCCCCACCCTGATCTAGGTAGGTGCATGATTCACCATTAAGCATGGACGACCAAGGATTGAAATTCTGAACGTTTGGAGTGTTGAAATAATTAAACGGACTGTAAAAATGCAATCCTAAACATGTACCTTCTGCTATAAAATTGAGGTTTGAACAGCAGTTTTCTAGAAGTCACTGCAAAAGAATCACACAGCTCTCCAGCCAAATATGAGGCAAGCTCTATCTAAAATAAAACTGACATGCAAAAGAATCTCTTTCATAGCTGACAGCTGAATGTGTAGACACTGATAAGGAGATACTGTACAAAATACAGTCTTTCATAGCTGACAGCTGAATGTGTAGAAACTGATAAGGAGATACTGTACAAAATAAAAGATAAAATGGCTCCTAAACTATGAATTCTGAAATATGGTAACATGACCAGTAGGTGTCACTTGCTGATGTAGCAAACTGCTGGACCCCTAACTTAATCCTTCTGTAATTTACATTGCCAGCATCTCACTTATCCCTCAGGTCCAGAGACCAGTTAGCCTCAACAAAAAGGAATGATCTGCCATAATAACAACTTGCTAGTTTTGCAATCCGTGGAAGCCAGATTTTGCCATCCTAGTAAAACAAATAAAGATCTCCATATGGTCATTTACAGAGATCAGCAGTTTACTACACTGAAAAAATTATTTGTTTACAGTTGCAGGGAAATACAAACAACACAGAAATATAAATATAGGGAGAAAAGTAGCACTTGTAAAGGTGAGAAGACTTTGCTGGGGATAGTACTGGTAAGATTTTTTTTTGCAACATTATAGAATTGTGCTGATGTTATACTGCAACAGTCATTAGTTCATTAACATTACTTGTTAATGTGATTTAACTGAGAGTTTAACTTAATTATTATACTTTTGTAATGCCTTGGTTAAATTCTTGTAATACTACCTTGTTTCCCCCAAAATAAGCCCTAACCTGAAAATAAGCCCTAGTATGATTTTTGACCAGGGATGAAATGAATCGCTAGACTCCCAGTCCAAGGAAATGTTTCACAAAGAGCAAATGGGAATAATGCCGGGTTGGTAATGGGATGAAAAAATGGCATCTCACCACAGATAGTTGGGAGACTTCTGCTCTGTAGATTACACTTACCAAAATCGTTTGGTTACATTTCTTGTTGCAACCTTTCTTCATCACATTCACGCCTAATGGATCATGGATATAAACACAGTCTCCTGGAAACACTCCATGCTCCTTTAGAAAGAAAATGTGCTATGAGTATAAAGAGCACTTTTATTTATTTATGTATTTATTTATTGGACTTATATACCGCCCCATAGCACCACAAGCACTCTCCGGGCGGTTTACAATTTTAATTATACAGGCTACACATTGCCCCCCCCCCAGCAAGCTGGGTACTCATTTTACCGACCTCGGAAGGATGGAAGGCTGAGTCAACCTTGAGCCGGCTACCTGGGATTTGAACCCCAGGTCGTGAGCACAGTTTTAGCTGCAGTACAGCGTTTTAACCACTGCGCCACGAGGCTCTTTCATACGCTTTTGCATGTGTGTTCATGATTTCTCGCTAGCCAGAGAGTGTTCCACTGGGGAGTCAAGCTGATCTAGGAACTCAGCATATTTTGACAGGAAAAGCCACAAAACAGCTTCCCCTCTTGATGGTCAATACAGATCATGCCCTTGAAGAGAGGGCCTTCCGATTCACCTCATGGAAAGGAAGAACAATGAAGACACAGCAGAAATTGAGCCACAAACAAGTTTACTGGGTTCAGAGCCAACCTCTCACATGGTGATTACTCATCTCAGAAAGAGAAAGGGGGAAGTAAAACAAGAGTCTATAACCAGCTTTTAGTAGATTTTAGTTGCTCTGTTATGATCAGTGGCATAGATTTCACCTCTTGCAGGACAACTGACAAAACTTCAAGATACATATTTTTTGTTACTTGTATTTTTTTTTTAGTATCCAACTTTATATGTGCATACATACACGTGTGTGTTACTGACTCACTTTTTAAAATCAGCAGCACTCCAAAAATAAATTAAGAGCCATTAATGGCATAAACCAGGAACAATCAGCACGTTAACCAATCATTTTAACCCTCTCAATTTTCTCGTCTACTGCATATAACAGAGGGGCAAGGTTAACTACATTTGTGAAGCCACGAAAGAGAGAGAGAACCTACAGAAGCCACTGTCTTAGTTATTGTCATCAATCTGCTATTTCACAAGTTGCCAGAAAAATTAATGGTGCAGCTGTCACAGGGAAAAAATTCCTTTTTACAATTCTGAAATGCATTGGCTGCTGGTAAGCAAGATCCATTAGTTATTATCTAAACAAAATCAGTGTTAGACATGCTTCATTTTCAACAAACCCACTTGACTAAATCTTCTGTTGAAACAGTGAAATACAGTATATTTGTATCCAAATATGTCAGCATCTTGATAAAAAAGGTCCCCATTCCAAAGTATGTAGAAATTCCTGCTTCTGCCCTGTAGTAAGGTGGGCCATTGAATTTTGATTTTTCTGTCTGTCTGTCTGTCTGTCTGTCTGTCTGTCTCTCTCTCTCTCTCTCTCTCTCTCGTAAGCTAACCTCCCACCAGTGAAATACAGTATATTTGTATCCAAATATGTCAGCATCTTGATAAAAAAGGTCCCCATTCCAAAGTATGTAGAAATTCCTGCTTCTGCCCTGTATTTATGTGTGTGTCTGTATGTTTGTCTGTCTGTCTGTCTGTCTGTCTGTCTGTCTGTCTGTCTCTCTCTCTCTCTCTCTCTCTATCGTAAGCTAACCTCCCATCCAGAATGACATTGCAGATTCCAGAAAACTAAGGCTAAACAGGTAGAATTCCTTAGAAATGTAACTACCAGCTATGCCTTCGCTCCAGAGGTAGCTTAGGGCCCCTATACTTCATCAGGGGGTCTATACTGGTTCATGGGTTCATGAAGAGCTGGACACGACTTAACAACTGAACAACAACAACTTCATCAGGACTTTTGTGAACAACTGAGGGCTTTAAGATAATCAGAAGAGGCCTTTCTCTTGGTCCCGCCACCCTCACAGGTGCATTTGGTGGGGACACAGGAGAGGGCCTTCTCTGTTGCTCCTCCCAGACTTTGGAACTCCCTCCCACAGGAGGCCAAGCTGGTCTCATCTTTGCTGCCCTTCTGCAAGCAGGCAAGTGGTTTTTTAATGGATGCCTTACTCCTTTTAATGTGTTTTTGGTGCTGCCTTTTTTTTACTGTTTTTTAATGTAGTGTTTGTTTGATCCTTTTTAGTTTTTTTATATGGAGTGTATTTAACTTTAAATGTTGTCATTTAATTGTAAGCCACCTTGGGTCCTTTTTAAGGAGAAAGGTGGGGGTAGAGACAGAGACTGACTGACCAACCGACTGATAGATGGATCGACCTGTCTAAATCAGGGCCGCCATGCCTGAAAAGTTGCACTACAAAGTAGATTACCAGGGTCCCAATCCAAATTGGACCTCTCTAACTTGCTTAAAATAGTCTTAGGCTATAACTACAAGAAGTTACACCTTTAGAGTAATGTTTTGGCTATCAGTGGCTCAACATACAGTATTAGACTATGATAGTTCTGAAAAATTATACATGTAAGACCATGACAGACTGGAAGCTTCTAACTATATCAATCTCAATGCATCAGAAAATCCTACAGATTCTGATGAGCACACCCACCCTGGATCAATATCAGCCATTCCACTATTAAAGTGAACCACTAGAACTTCTAATTATTACTGGCATTTTTTCATCCTACTAAATGAAGAAGAACATCTGTAAAAATGTATTTTTTGCAAAGACATCTCGCACTAGAACTTCTAATTATTACTGGCATTTGTTCATCTTACTAAATGAAGATCATCTGTAAAAATGCATTTTTTGCAAAGACATCTCAACCTTATTGAAAGTGTCTTATTCTTATTCCTACCACCACCAACACAATAAACACAAATAAGAATTACTACCATAGCTTCGCTCTGAGGTGGGCAAACACTGCTATTAAGGGCATCACAGTCCACACAAGATCCCTGTAATGCAAATAAAGAATAAGACATTCTATTTAATTTAAGCATTTGCTGTTCGTTAAACATGTGCAAAAACACCAAGTTCACAGCTTACACCACAGATACTGGAGAAATGAAATACGTACTGCTGCCCAATGATCCCCACTTAATAACAACAGGTATTTAATGGAATGAGAAGCTCCTGTAATTTCCCTTCCACATTACTTGCAATGGTAAAGCAAAGAGGCATGTTAATCAACCGGCACTCTGCTTGTTCCAAGCAGAGGTGAATATCTGCATACTGAACACTTCCAGGATGCATCCTTCTTGTTCTTCTCTATGTCTACCACACATGACAGCTTTGTTCAATCTTTCCAGTAAACATATCTCTGTGAACCTTAGCAGGACGAACATCAGCAAAGGCGGTGGGGGAGAACGACTTCTATACTGCAAATCACAGCAGTATTTTGTCAGATCTGCTTTGACTTGGATTCTTGCATTGAGCAGGAGGGGTTGACTCGATAGCTTTATAAGTCCCTTCCAGCTCAATTATTCTATGATTCTGTTTGTAGCAGAGAAGGTGGAGTTGGGCTTTGAAAACTTCATGTCTGCCACTGAAAGTAATGGCTGTTCTGTTGGTTGCATGCTTGGAAGGTTCGTTCATACTAGTTAGTTATCTAGAAGCTTGGTAGCCCAGCGTTTTATTCAGATAACCAACTCGGGGTGGCTCCACCATGTCTAATTTGAGCTCTTAAATTAAACTGAAATGAAGAGAGTTTGGTTTTGTTGAGTCCACATAGGAAAGGAGCTCGGTGAAGCTGTGCATTTTGAGAAATGCAGTTAACACATGCTTGGCTGGTTTCTCAGATATTTTGCTGGCTAAAGCAGAGTAAGTAATCTGTGTGGCTCCTGCAAGGTCCAGGAAAGGTGTGTGTGGTCCCTGGAACTCTGCAATTTCTCACCCCTCCACAAAACACTGTGAACACTAGTGGTATTCTAGATGTACGTAGTAGCAGAAACAGCAAAAGCATTTACTTAGTAGTCATATCTATCCTGCCTTGTATCCAGTGAGCTCAGGTTATCATATATGGTGTTCTTCCTCACCACTGTAACTTGTGAGTAGGCCAGTCTGAAAGAGGATTACTGCCCCAAGGTCAAACTGTGAGTTTCATGGTTCAGGAGAACTTGAACCTGGGTCTCTCCAGTCCCAGTTGAACACTCAAACCATCCCACCACAATCTGTTGACAACAACAATGGCTGAAGTAGCCTCACTCCCCTATTCTGCCCTATAACAAAGTCACCCCATGCTGCCTGAATAGTGGCAAAAATCTTTGAAAGTCCATTTCCCAATTCCAATTAAGTTCACTTATGAAGCCAGAACTTTGCAAATGAGCTCCGTTCTCAAATCATTTTTAAAAATCCCATGTTATGTGTGCTGCTGTTTTGACTACACCAGTGACCGTATCATTGTCTCTCCCTGCAAGCTCTCTCTGCTTCTCCATCTAAGCGACAGGAAGCAGATGTTCCAAGTGAGGAGATGGAACATCATCAGACCAATTGGTAGATGTTGTGTCAACAGGAAGGGACAACTCTCACAGGAACTGTAATATTAGGGCTTCTAAGAGTTTCTGTTGCTCTGATTCCTAGATATTATGGGCATAATGTGGAAGTGCAAAACCAGACACACTACCAAAAATCTCCCCTCAGCTCAGAAAGAGGAATTCACTGGGGAAAACAGCTGACTTTGCAGAAAAGCTACCTCAAGGAAATGACTGTTGTGATTATACTGGCAAGCAAAAGAGAAAAAAAATCCTTGTGTGAAACCAGTTTTGTATTGTGAGAATGCAGGTTTTTCTCCTCGCTCCAGGATTTTCCCTACAGGATATGGAAAAGGTTTACCATGGAAATGAGAGGGACTAGACTTGACTCACCTCTACAAGTTGATAACTCTCCTCGTTACATCTGTGGGGTAAAATGGGGATTATTGATGGTGGAATGAAGATGCCATCCAAAGTATGAATGACACCATTTGATGCCAAAATGTCCCTTTTGTTTAAAGCAACCTCAGAGTCGCCCAACAAGATTCTTCCCTGTGATAAAAGAAACAATATTTGCATCAAGGTCTTGATGGTATTGCCAGAAGTAAACTCCACAAAGAAGAACTCCACAAAGAAGCCCCCTATCAGGAAGCAGGTCTCAGACAAATGACTTCTTCAGTGGAAAAATTGAAAACATCTGCTCACTACTACAGTTTTGATCCATGAAGATCAAAACTTTTACATAAATCTCCTTTCCTTTCTCTGAACCGAGACAAAGTGAAAAAGAGAAAACATCTCCCAGCTGGTTTCCACCACAGGGGTTACCACTCCATTAATTCCAGTTGGTTGAACTATAGAACAGGTCACTTACATCCTCAGCAACACGGATTTCCAGGATCTGATTTGCCATAGTCAGGATACGTGGCATCATCATGAGTTTTTCCACTTGCACCTAGAAAACAGAGTGTATCTTGTATTTTCACTGTGAGAAATTGGAGTCCTGAACCAGCATTTGCTATGTATTAATCCCTTTACTTCTGGCAACTACAAAGTCTGGCTTTTTGGAGTGAACTTTTTTTTAAAATTAGGGTTGCTTCCCTCCATGGCTTTCACTGAATAGATCTCCTACCTGCTGTTTTTCGTTCTAATTCTCCTCTATTTTCCCACTATTTTGTCTTATCCTTTTTTAAAAAAAATGCAAACCATCCATTAATGAGGAAAAGCCAGCACAGCTGCAGATTTTTTTTTATTAGAAGCTTCTGTCTGGAAGCACCCTAATCTCCTAGTTCCCAGAAAAACGTGATGCAAGAATATGAAGCTGTGAAGAAGAGCTTCCAGATCTTTTACTGAGTCCATGGTATTCCTAGCACTTTATTCCATCGTCCAGATTCTGTCTGCTTTCTGTACAGGCCATGCCTAAAGACTAGAGATGGGCAAGAATCAAAAAAATGATTATTCATTTTGATTTGTGATTCGTCAAGGTTGAGGAATTACAAATGTACAAGTTTTTTTTACTTTGAAATCCTATAAAATGGCCCTCCAAGAACCTAAAGACACCAAAATTGCACGGAAGCTTCCCCTGCCACTCCTCTACAAGCCCTACAGGTTTGGTGAAGTTTGGGTTTCAGATGTCTGTGATATACACCCACAAGCAGGGCTGCCCCAGGAAAGTTTCCCCCCTGGCACCTGGAGAACCAAAATCACAGAGAAGTACTAACCCTCCTATACCAGCCCTCCAAGTTTGGTGAAGATTGGGTTTCAGAGTTATATACCACAAAATTGGGTCCCTCCTGGAAGGCGTCATTTAGCAGCTGGCTTGGGAAACCCAGTCTTCACCAAACTGGGAGAAAGAAGTAGAAGAAAGCCAGGGGAAACCTCTTTATGATTTTGATGTCTCTAGGTGCCAGGGGGAAACTTTTTTTGGGGGGAGGGGCTCTTTGTAGGAGTATAACTCTGACATTTGAAATATATTCCAAACCAAACATGGAGGGAAGAGTCAGAGGAAGCCTCCCTCCCTTACCTTACAAATCTCTTGGCTCTGAAATATGGTCTGCACACAGAGAAAGAAAATCAGTCCCATTTACTTCTACTACAAGTGTCTGAAAACAGAGCATTTGTCATTCTTTCTAAAACAGGTGGGCTGAAAGTAACTGAAGTTCTTCTAAACTAGCTGGAAATGTGGAACCATCATCACCCTGCATCCTGACTCCTAGAATATTACTTACAAATCTCTTGGCTCTGAAATATGGTCTGCACACAGAGAAAGAAAATCAGTCCCATTTACTTCTACTACAAGTGTCTGAAAACAGAGCATTTGTCATTCTTTCTAAAACAGGTGGGCTGAAAGTAACTGAAGTTCTTCTAAACTAGCTGGAAATGTGGAACCATCATCACCCTGCATCCTGACTCCTAGAATATTATTTTGCTATCCTAAACATTGGTATATCTCTGTATTGATACATGGGGTGCAAAGTATACCTACCTCCTCTCCTTTCAACTTGTCAAAGTACTTTACAATTTAACAGAAGGGTGAGATTTGATACAGTTCAGTTTTAGACACTGAAATTGTGTTGCTTGGCATAGCAAGTTGCAACTAGAGCTGGCCATTTGAATCACTGGAACTAAGAGGGGACTTGACTCACCAAACCCCCAGTGATTCAATGCGCCTCCTCTAGTGCAACTTGCTATGCTAAGCAAGAGAATTTCAACCCATGAATGGTTGCTGACAGAGGGGTGCAGATTTTTATTTTTCAGACTACAGTTTTTAGAAAACCCCAGGCACCTTTGGTCCAAAAACACAAATCTTGCCCATCTGTAATAATTAAACATTCTCTAAATAATGCCAACAATTACTAGACATGTATTCCTGAACACTTTCATGGCTGGCATCCGATGGTTGTTGTAGGTTTTTCAGGCTGTCTGGCTGTATTCTTGAGGTTCTTCTTCCTTGAAGAAAAATATCAAGAACACAGGAATAAAAACCTCAAGAACATGGCCAGACAGCCAGAAAAACCTACAACAACCAATTATTAGACGGCCCGTAAACATCTAATGTGTTGTGTCGTTCCTTCAGAGTAAAAAGTCAGGTGATGTGATTACCAAGCAAGGCCCCTGATAAGGCCTTCATTCTTTTTTCTGTGAGCTAGACCTCTGAGCTCTCCTAGGCACATTTTATAAACATGCTGTCTTCTTATAATATCAGTTCATGTCACTGAGAAGGAAGTCAACCTACAGTTGCATCATCAATACTGGGAGACAGTTATGGCCTGGGCACAACAGAGTTTCACTTCCCACTCAACGTCAGCATGGACAAAGAAGAAACCAAAGGCAAACAACTAAGGATGTTGTCTTAGTAATCAATAACAAAAATGCCTTATTTCAAGCAAGCTCATTGGTTCAACAACACAGGTGGGCAACATGTGGTCCTCCAGATGTTGTTGGATTGCACCTTCTGCATTGCAGAACATATTGATTTATATCTCTTCTCTTAATTAAAAGGAAATTTATCATTTATGGGCTTGTCCACATAGAACAAAAGTACAGCACTATTCCTTTTGGTTACTGGCAAATGCAAAGCTGAATTTGCTGAGATCTCAGCCTTCCCTCTGCCTTCTTTTTCAGTTTTCCTGGGAAGCTTGCATTATTTAGACACAAGCTTTAATGTGGGTGGGGAGGAGCTTACTGTTACAAAACTTAGGAAGAGTTCGTATTTTTCTCCAAGTTTTCCAATTCAGAAGCCTCTAATTAACTCTTTTCTTGGCTTTTACAATGTGCATAGAGGATCTCCGGAAGCAAAGCTATAGCAGGGAAGGACTGCTTTTTGAGTTTTCCTTAGTAAACTCGAAAAGCAGTCTTCAAGCACCTGTTTTTTGTAATGCAGTGTGGATACTAAAATTGGCTGGTGGCCTTTGGAATAAACTATAGTTATTTGCTGCCATACTTTTGCCCACCTGGATAAATCCATTATGAACCAAGGATAGAGTTATTTTTAATGGAACACCATCAATATGATTTCTGAGAAAAAGGAAAATAGGAGGCACAATACAGATATAAGCTGAGCTCAATTACGCTGCAGAAGGAATATGGTGATATCTGATATGAAGTTCAGTTCTAGAGTTTATACAGCCATGGCCAAAAATATTGGCACCCTTGCAATTCTGTCAAAAAATGTAATCCTTCTCTCAGAAAATTGCTGCAGTTGCAAATGTTTTGGTACTCACATGTTCATTTCTTTGGTTTGTGTTGGAACAACAGAAAAAAACAGAGAACAAAAGTCAAATCTGATACAATTCCACACAGAAACCCAAAACTGCACTGGCCAAAATTATTGGCATCCTATATAAATTGTAAGAAATAATTGCTTTTCAAACATGTGATGCTCCAGACACATCTTTCGCAAGTAAGAGGTGTGGGCTATATAGTAATCACACTTGCAACCAGTTAAGATGGAGAAAAATTGACTCAACCTTTGTGTTGTGTGTGACACAACATGGAGAAAAGGATGACGTGTAAAGAGTTGTCTGTGGATTTGAGAGAAAAAATGGTGGAAAAACATAGACAATCTCAAGGCTACAAGTCCATCTCCAGAGATCTTAATATTCCTGTGTCCCCTGTGCACAGTATCACCAAGAGGTTTACAGCCCATGGCACTGTAGCTAACCTCCCTGGACATGGACAGAAGAGCAAAATTACAGAAAAATTACAATGTAGGGTTGTTCAAATGGTGGATACAGAACCCAGATTAACTTCCAAACAAATTCAAGCTGATCTCCAGAGAGTAGGAGACCCAGGAGGACACCACTGCTGACACAAAGGCATAAAAAAAGCAAGGCTGGAGTATGCCCAAACCTATGTGACAAAACCACAATCCTTCTGGGAGAACATACCGTGGACAGATGAGACAAAAGTAGAGCTTTTTGGTCAAGGATATCATGGCATTGTTTACAGAAAAAGAAATGAGGCATTCAAAGAAAATAACACAGTCCCTACAGTCAAACATGGCGGAGGTTCAAAGATGTTTTGGGGTTGCTTTGCTGCTTCTGGCACTGGGTGCCTTGACTGTGTGAACGGTATCATGAAATCTAATGATTACCAAAGAATGTTGGGGCGCAATGTAGTGGCCAGTGTCAGAAAGCTGCATCTCCACCAGAGGTCATGAGCCTTCCAGCAGGACAATGACCTGAAACACACTTCAAAAAGTGCTCAGAAATGGTTACAAACAAAGCGCTGGAGAGATCTGAAATGGCCAGCAATGAGTCCAGATCTGAATCCCATAAAACACCTGTAGAGAGATCTCCAAACCGCAGTTGGGAGAAGGCATCCTTCAAATCTGAAGGCCCTGGAGCAGTTTGCAAAAGAAGAGTGGTCCAAAATTCCAGTAGAGAGGTGTAAGAAACTAATTCATGGTTACAGGAAGCAACTGATTTCAGTTACTGTATTTTTTCCAAAGGGGCTGCTACCAAATATTAAGTTAAGGGTGTCAATAATTTTGGCCAGTGCATTTTTGGGTTTCTGTCTGGGATTGTATCAGATTTTACTTTTCTTCTCTGGTTGTTTTTGGTTTGGTTTTGTTTTTTTGTGTTGCTCCAATGCAAACCAAAGAAATGAACATGTGAGTAACAAAACATTTGCAACTGCAACAATTTTCGGAGAGAAGGGTTGCATTTTCTGACAAAATTGCAAGGGTGCCAATATTTTTGGCCATGACTGTAGTTTAAAAGTGTGTTCATTAGTTACAAAGAGCTAGTGGGTTTTAATTCATTCCTCTTTCCAATCATGACGGTAGATCTAACTGTTCTGCATTATGAATGTAACCTCATGTATCTCCTTCTGTGGTATTAACTGCAACCTTTCAGTTAATTTGGTGGGTATGAACAGTGGGTGGCCTGAACCGCGGAAGAGGAATATCACATGGTCTAAGCACTGGCCTCTGCTTTGTCCCACATTCTGCTCTGGGCATAGAGGAACGGCCACAAATAGAGTACGTTTTCTGTCAAAAGTGAATCCCCTGCAGCATTTAGAATGAGATGCAGATTCACTTAGCAGCAAGTGCCGTTGGGTCAGTGGGGCTAACTTCCAAGTAAGCGTGCACATAATGGACGTTTGCGCAAAAATGTACAGGGTCAAGCTGCATGAACAGCATGATCACACCTCCATCTGCAGAGCCTTTGCATACAGCAACAGGGCAGGGAGCTGTTTGGGAGCACCTAAGGCTGCAGACTCAAGAAAGCCTAGCAAGAACAGGCCAGCTCAGTTCTTTGGGTGGGAGACCCCTCCAAATCTCATCTAAGAAGTGAAACCTTGCCTGTGTCATTGTTATCACTGGATGTGCAGTGGCAGGACTAATCAGTTGCTTTCAATTATTTATTTATTTTAAAATGTTCAAGGGGGCTCCAACTGCGTATAATAAAACACTCTGTTGTTCCACCTGTGGTTATATTTTTCTTTCTTTGCAGGAAATCTAGAGCGTTTAAGAGGCAATCAGGCAAGCTGTTTGCCCATGCATTTGCCCTCTTTCACGAGGGCAAGGTGGGGATTGCTAGCAAATGAGGAAAAACAGAGCTAAAAACACCCCCTTAAAAAAGGAAGATGCCCTTACCGCTGCTCTTGTGTAGATATGATGTTTCACAAGTTCTTGAAGCTTGTTTATTCCCTAGAGCAGGAAGAAAGCAATTAGACACTTTCCTGAGATGTTTTGTATAATGACAACCACAGGCCCTGATTGCTAATATAAATGCCAAATGCTTGTGGATGTAAATTACATTCCAAGGGCCTATTTACAAATCAAATTTCCTTCCTGAAGTATCAGAGGAAGTACAAGATTGCGTGTGCAAACATACTGAAAATAACTTTGGCACCCTAAGAAGTTCAAGTTTTGCATATCAGGAAAATGCAATTTTAAACATTTATTGATGCTTCCAAACAGATAACAATGTACTCATGTTTATGCAAAAAATCTGAATATTCAGCAAGACTAGGATCCCAAGCAGCATGGAAGGAAGCAGCTGGATAAAAAAGGCAAGAAGATAATAAGACAAAAGCGAAGGAGGTAAGGAAATGTGTTGGACACGGGAGGGTTATTCCTTGACCTCTAAAGATCCTGTCTATATAATCATTCTTCTGCAAGCAGACAAGCTAGTTTCTGGCTCTAAACAAAACAAAGGAAAACCACAAGAGCATATTTTGAAGCAGTTCCCACATCTTGGGCTGTTTATTTGAGACCAACAATTGGAAATTTTTACTTTTTTAGACAACAACTCCCATAGCCATGCTAGCTGCAGGTTCTGGAAGCTACATTAAGTGGGAGACAAATTGCCACATCTTAGGCATCGATTTTGCCCATATATACTACTGATCCATTTTCCAGCTAAGGACTATTATCAATCTTGTTGCAAGACAAATTATGGATATAATTTTTTTATGCTTAAGTGCAGAGTGTTCCCCTATACAGAATGAGAATAAACCCAGAGTTGGTGACAACAATATTTTCTGGGGCATTAGGCCTTGCACTCCTTCAGACATGACCAACTAGATGGCAAGAATATGCAGGCAATATCACCACATATGCACATAGGATCCACCATTTAGAATTTACTTGTTTGTTAAAATAACAGCTTCAATGGTGTAAGATTGTGCTTGCCAACCTTGGGTCCCCAGATATTCTTGTACATACTACAATTTCCAGAAATCATGGCCAGCACAGCTAGTGGTGGAGGCTTCTGGGAGTTTTGGTCCAAGAACATCTGGGGACCCAAGGTTGAGAACCCCTGTCCTAGGTTTTTTTTTTCAGCTGATACAGTTGACCCTCCTGTTGATGCTCTGGTCATTCATTGGTATTCAGAGGTGACTTGAGCTATAGACAATGTTACTCCAATGCCCTCTTTGCTGCAGAGCCCAGCCTCCTCTGTGGTTCATGGAGGAGTTAAGGGTGATGAAGCAAAAACAAAGAAGATTGGGAAGCAGATGGAGGAAAGTTCCTATGGAGTTCAACTTGGTGGCTGTCAGGGAAGCATTGGAAGATATCGTAATAAACTTGAGGCCACTCAAAGCAGTCATAATATCCACTTCTCTTCTGGACGGAAGAGAATTTAAGATTAAATTGGATCAGTTACAGCTAATACGGACTGAGGATGTGGACAAGACATTTGCACTCTGCAAAGCCACCACGTCTTCTCTAGATTGCGCCCCACTGTGGCTCTTAAAATCAGTAAAGGAGTTGACAATGACTAATAACAATGGTTCATGAGCCGATAATCTCTACAATAGACTATGGTAATACTCTTTATTTAGGCTGCTATTGAAGTCAGTACTGAAACTTCAGCAAGTCCAAAATCCGGCTGTCAGACTGATCACAAGTACCAGCAGGTATGAACACACATCCCAAGACTTTTTATGTCTTTGTTGACTTCCTGTTAATTTCTGTGCCCAATTCAAGGTATTGGTCATGACCTATAAAGCCCTTAATGGTTTAGGACTTTAATACTTGATAAAATGTCAATCCCACAAAACAGCTACCCATCCCACATGCTCCTCACAGTCCTTGATGTCAAAAATTGTGACACCAAAGGAGGCCAAAAGAGCCAACACCAGAAACCACGCTTTTTCGGTCATGGCTTCTTCCCTCTAGAACAAGCTTTGTCAGACACGATCTGTCTCAGTTTTTAGGAAATTAGTTAAAACGGAATTATTTAAAGCTGGCTTTTATTAGCATTTTTAACCACTGACCTGAGATCTCTGAATTCATTTAAATGTGTTTAATTCTATTTAAATGTTGTTTTTAAAGCTTGCAAGAGGGTTTTATTTATTTTATAATATTAATTGTATACTGCAATTTTGTATTTTTTTTTTTATTTTAATGGGATGTAACATGCTGTGAACCACCCAGAGAGTAATTTATACATGTGGTTGATTCCTACAGGAAAATGCTTTCTCTTTAGACAATGCACAGACTTACTCCAAGGACAGTCACATCCAATATAATCGTATTTTACTTCCCCTGAAGCTTCACATACTGGTTCAGACAAAATAGTAAGCTAAAGCTGTCCTTTCCAACTTGGAGTCTCCAAAGATGTTTATGGTCAAGCCGGCTAAGGATCTGGAGAACAACGCTCCACGCAAGGCTCACCAAGGCCATGGCATATGATCAAGATGGCAACTGAAAAACCACAACATTCTGTCAATATCAAGGAATGAAGACGGTCTTACCTCCGTGAAAAGATAAATGAGTCTCCCATCTCTTAACTTATCCACTGCTTCGTTACTTGGTACAAACACAGTGAAAGGTCCAGGGCCATCCAAAATTGAAGGCAGATCACAATTCTGCAAAATGTTAGGCATTCATATTAAAATACAGCAGTTAATCTTTGAGGGGCTACAACATATTTGATGTTGTTGTTGTTGTTGTTGTTGATGATGATGATGATGGATGATGATGATTATTATTATGCTTTTGGCTTTAATTATTTGAAAAGGTTTTTCTGTACCTGTGAGCTCAAGTTTTTCCCTACTGTTCTTTCTCCTTTTTTCTTTTTCAACATAAGGACATTTTTGCAATGAGGCTCAAATAAAATGAAAGAAATATGGACACCCATAGGGACAGAGGATACTGTAATAATTCAATGCTCATTGTCCAGACTATAGGAGGTCCAGGAGGTGGGGGGGTAGGGAGGAGAGTCTTACTTCCAATATTGTTTCAAACCGGCTGGCAATCTCCATTGAAGCAATTATCTCTGCCACAGTTTTCTAAGGAAAGAGAAAAGACACAACAGAATGAAGATGGGAGATGCAGGGCACTTCCAGACAAGTCTGTTCATTGTGCAATTTTACTGCTTCATTCAGAGACAGTCCCGAAACCAGAAAAATCAGGGAGCTGTACAGAGGACAGATTATGCCAGCCTTCCTCAGTGTAATCCTCTCCAGATGTTTTTAACTACAATTGCCAGTGTTCCTGATCATCAGCCATGCTAGATGAGTCCAATGGGAATTTAGTCAAGGCTACGTGAAGGACATCATTTTGGAGAAGACTTGCATGTATATTGATTTATTTATATCCATATATATGTACATGTATGTGTACTTATAAGCATACATGTGCATGGCTATCATCTGAATACACTTTATCCACGTTGGGGGGGGGATGGAGAACATAATGGCAGTAAAACACACAACCCCTTAAGTGTTGAAAGTGTTCTATGTGTGCAAAACATAGTATATTGTAATATCCTATGGTACCCACCAAGCGACATATTTGGATTCATAGTCAACCAAAATTGAGATTTGGTAGGATGTATATATATAAAAAAACAAATGGCCAAGAAAAAAAATGGTTGTCTGAAACATATCTCGGTCTCTTTCTGCGAGAGTTGTACACCCATGTGTGAAGGGAACCCTGGCCAATCCACTTGTTAACAAGGCAGCAATGTGATTGGATGGGTGGTGTATATAGTCAGCCTATCCTGGAGCCCGAAAGAGGAGGGGGCTAGAGGAATGAAAGAGAGAGAAGCCTGGAGCTGCTTAGGAAAGAAAAAAATAATATATATAAGAGTTATGATGAAAAGGGAGAATATAGAATCGAGCAAATGTTAAGGCTAGGGAGAAAGATAAGGAACTTGTGATTATGAATTATCTTAATTGGTTGTTGTAGCTGAAGAAAAACTCGAGTTCAAATTTGTATCCCGTCTAATATCCCTATGTAATTAAAAGGTATCATTTTCACTCTTCAGCAACTGAGTCTGGTATGGTTAATTGCCAGTGTCATACATGTTACTGAAAAGATGTTTTAAAAGATGACAGGCCTGGGTTGGGGCTGGTCATACCATGCCACGTCAAAGATAACCTGGAAATCCTGAATGGGGCTCAGGGAAACTGCTTGTCATGTCCAGGAACTCTCTTTTTTGTGGGAGTTTGGAGATGGTGAGACTTGGGACACAATTGAAGGTCAAAGTCCCTGCCACAGACCACACATTGTCTTTGTACATGAGAACTCTTTAAGAGCTGAAAAACATCTGATTATCACAGCACAAGCTTTTCATTATTCCCATAGCTTGCTCATTCACTTGCTTTGTTTTGTGGTTGGTCCCCAGGAAGGTAAACATGAGCATCATTTGCAGATAGGATCGCTGAGGCTCTTCTAGAAGCTCTGTCACAATGACATCTCTGGAATGCGAACAAGTTTTCAACTTCTAATAACATGTTTTCTATAATGTATAATTAGACCAAGAAAGTTGTTCTATGCTTCCCCAGTTGCAACACTGATTGGTATAACATGCAAATTTGTCAAAATGTGCATCCTGGTGTACCTCACATTTATGGACGAGGATTTGTAGAGAACTTTAATTCTCCCCTCCCCCTGAAAAAAAATATTTCACAGAAGATCTATGGGGGATTCACTAGAGACTGTTCATAGAAGAGCTCTAGAAAGTTATTCTGGGGCAGAAATGTAATAATGGCCAGTACTCCTAAAATGAACTGCTAATGTATTTATCTTCACTCTTAGCCTTCCTATTTTCTATGAGGAATAAGAGTATTCCATGTACCTGAGAATCTCCAAGGTTTTCTGTGGGCGTTTTCCTTAGGGAGTTAATAATGTGTATAATGCCATTAGCAGCCGGCAGATTTGTTTCTCTGATGGTATAGACTTCTGGGATATCTGAATATCTGAAGTTCCAGGGTCGCCGTATCTGGGAAAATAATAAAGGACTGTTCTGTGAATGAAAACATTAGTACCAAAGAAACCCAACAAATTAACATTTTCTGAGACACACTTAATGGCAGAGACGTGATGATTTCGTTTCAAGCTTTCCACATCATATACCATACCCTAAAAAAATAAGAAAACTTCTTCAGTCAGAGAGAAGGCAAGATAGAAGGCTACAGTTGAATTCTGCATCTTTCCCCATATACAGAATAGAGAATTTATTTAATAGCGCATGCAAGAAAAAAACTGCTTAATTTGGTAAAACATAGCATCAAGTGTCAGGATATTGTATGACACTGGTGACCAAGACAAAAATCATCCACGTTCTAGTATTTCTGATGTATGGGTATGAAAGCTAGACAGTAAAGAAAGCTGAGAACGGGGGGCGGGGATCAATTTGTTTAAATTATGGTGCTAAAGGAGAGCTTTGCAGATACCACAGACTGCCAAAAAGACAAACAAGTGGATTCTAGATCAAATCAAATCTGAACTTTCTCTGCAGGCAAAAATGTTGAAGCTGAGGCTATGATACCTTAGGTATATCATGAGTAGGCAAGATTCTCTGGAAAAGACAATAATGTTGGGAAAGCTTGAAGACAGCAGAAAAAAAGAGGAATAATAACTACAAGATGGGCTGGCTCCCCAAAATATGTCACAGACTTTAGTTTGCAAGAGCTGAGTGTTAAGAATTTGGTTAAACTATCTTCACTTTGGATATAAGCAGAGTTAGGCGATATCAGGTTGCAAAGACACTCTTATAACACTGAGAGAGTAAAATTCAGCAATGTCTATTTACACATATACAGAGAGCACAGATTTCAGACAATCAACAGGCAGCATAACATAACATGATACAAAACATAGCATAGAAAATAAATGATCTGACTTACAGCAGATAACATGTCCTGTTTACACAGGTCCTTTATACTTTTAGGGACCAATCAGAACATATTACCTCACTTTTCAGTTACATGAGGCGTCCTTTATACTTTTAGGGACCAATCAGAATATATTACCTCACTTTTCAGTTACATAAGGCTACATCACTTTCTCCAGTTGTACAACATCAAGTCTTTAACCTTAGTACACACTTGAATCTACTTAGTACATGACTCAGGTTAAATCAGTGATTTTACTTTCTGCTACAACATTTTCTTTAGTACATATTTAATACATTTTCAGATCAAAATCTCAACACTGAGCAGGGCTGTTGAGGATAGGATCTCTTAAATCTTACTAATTTATAGAGTTACCATAAGTCAGAAATGACTTGATGATACATGACAACAACAACAACATAGCATATTTTATTGTTCACAAGCATATAGGAGGGGTCAGCATAACAGAAAGGGCATACCAGTAACTAGAAGTGCCCTTGCGAATGTCCAGTCTCATTCTTTTTTCTGTATAAAGACTGAATCTACCGAAAAGCAAAGAGTGGGCTGAACTCTCTATGTACTGAAGAAAATTATGTACATAGAATCATAGAATAATTGAGTTGGAAGGGGCCTGTAAGGCCATCAAGTCCAACCCCCTGCTCAGTGCAGGAATCCAACTCAAAGCAGATCTGACAGATGGTTCTCCAGTTTTCTCTTGAACACCTCCAGCATTGGAGCACTCACCACCTCCTGAGGTAATTGGTTCCCATTGTCATACTGCTCTAATAAATGTATAGAAATTATGAAGCATTTTATTTATTTTGTATGGTATAGCAGAATACAGAATTAATGCATAATGAAGCATTTATTATTCATCATAAAGTTGCTTGGAAGTTTTAATTAGGATTCATGGCCATAGCTACACTATAAATACATGTTGATATCTCATTCTCATTCCCAAAAGATCCTGGGAATTACAGTTTGGCAAAAATTCTCTGGGAAAGATCCTGACTTACAGATCTAAAATTCCAAGGATTCCTAGAGAGAGGAGATGACTATTACATCTGCAGTCTTACACTTTCCTAAGAGTAGGGCTCACTGAACTACTACTAATATCTTGCTTCCAAGTAGATATTAATGAGATTTCAACAGAGCCAATTTAGGTACTGTATTTAATATATTCTATGGTAATGCTCAATATTATCTAACACATAAGGCAGGGATATTTCTAAAGAGAGGGTTTTATATATATTGTAGAGATAATGGATAGAAAATAGTGGGTTTGGGACCACATAAAAATGCTCTATTCACTTAAAAATACAGGTAAAAACAAAGCTGCAAAGAATCATATTTTGGCACCTGGTCTCGGAGCAGGAAAGCTGGCCACTAGACTATTCTTTTTCTAGTTATTCAGTGCCCTTAATCAGAAGTCTTGTCTAACACGGATGATTAAAACAGGTAAACTGTTTGCTTTTTATTGGTGGTGTAAAGCTGGAATGTTAATAAATGGTTATTAAGAACTAGGCCCTCTTTCCTTGACTCCTAAATTATTTGGACTTAATATGTAGAAAGAGCTTGCCTTGTGGAAATGTCTCATTAGAATCCAATAAAACAACTGATTTACAGGAAGCTGCAACCAAATTCAGGGAACCAGACCTAGAGAAAGTTTCCCTTGACATTCCTGGAGAAGCAGAACTGAAATCTAGAAGTTAGCAGAGGCCTCACAAAGTCTTACACAACATTCAAGATGTATGGTTGTTGTGTAGTCTTTTGGGGGGATATGAAATTTATCAGTTTAAATTTAAGCTCACTTAAGAAAACTAAAAATATAAATTATAATAAAGAATCAACCAGAAGATAAACTGATTTCTCCCCCCATTTCAGAAGGACTCACCACCACCACAAGTAGGGGTACAGTGGTCAGTTGCCAGACACTTGCCAGTAACATCTGTTAAGTATGGGAAGGTCTGTAAGTTATTCTTCAAAAATGATGAGACAAAATTTGCACAGGCTACGTTCAACAGGTACAGCTATTTCTGAAATAGATAGGACTGACTGCCATATACTGTAGATGTTAAAGACAAGGGGCCTGTCAAGGGGGAAAAGAGATTTGGTACTCCTGATTTTGCACTAACATGGTTGAATACCCTGAGATTTAAACCAGATTTAAAAGCTAAGCATTCTGAAACTGAGACTTCAACAGAAGAAGTTAGCACTTTTTTGAAGGCAGAACACATTGCTTTAACAGTTCAGGGGCAATTAACAGCTTTGCCACTTTCTGAACTGGTTTAAAATTGTTTAATTTTTTGGTCAGTATTCTGTTAGGGATTTTGCACAGACATGCTACGCTGCACCAGCATTTGCACTACTGTATTTGGTGAGTTGTTGTTTGCCCAACTAGCTGAACAAGAGGCACCTCACCAGACAGTGTGACTTTTTGTATGTGTGTAAATCCATAACAGGATATTGGCCTTGGTCTGTTACCTTAATACTATATCTCATTTCACTCTGATCCCACCCCTACTACCACATATCTGTGCACATATAGTTAAGGCTCAAATACTGTTCAGCTTTTAACTGGGAAAGTATTGTTTGTTTTGTTTTGTTTTGGCAAAAAATATTAACACGACTGTCTCTTTCAGAATTTCACATTGAACTTCTATATGTAGCAGTTTAAATTTATTACAACAAAGTCACTCTTTGTGAACCAACTCCAGTTTAACAAATAGGCCCTAATCCAGTTGCTAATCCCAAGAGAAGAAGCCCCATAAATCACTGGATTTACAAGTGCTCAGTTACCTTCATCAATGACTTCTGTGAATGTATTTGAATTGGGATTGAATTGAGGCCATCATTATCTCTCACAACTGTCAACACACACATATGAACACTACACACCCCAGTACAGGACAAATGGAGAGAAGAAGGTCAACAAGAATATTTAGGAATGTCTAGTAACAAAGCAAAACCTGGGATTGGCAGGTATTTTAAAACAAATTAAAAGACAACACAATAAAATACTTGGGAAAATGAATAGCATTTGGTGATAATCCTGGGCAAAATATAGATGTTTCAGTCTGACAGTTCCAGAAGAAACCAATGGACACTATTCTTGGGATATTAAAAACTAGGTATAGGATTTCAGAAGAAACTATAAGAAAATAATAGTAAAGATAGTAAAGAGATAAGAGATAAAGCAGTGTCAAAGATTGCTCTAGAAGTCACATATATACAACTTGGACCAGGTGTGGAAAGAACATTGAATTTATTTTACCGAATATTCAAATGTCAATTTCAGTCCAGACAAGGTCCACAGAACCTTCGTGTTGCTCGCGTCATTCAACACATGTTCCCCGGGTACAATAAGCATTTTGCACAGATTCTGCGAATACGTAGTCTTTGAAAAGACAAGATGGGATATTCAAAAGCATAAATATTAAAGTATATTCTTAGTGACTTCATAACAGCATTTCCAATTTAACAATACAAACATTTATTAATCAAGTAATATATCAGTTTAATAATCTGTGGTATTAGCACCATAAATTATTAACTTTGATTTCCCCTGAGACAGGTGAACTTCCATTTATGCTTTTCAAACTGGGCAGTGTCCACATCAGCTGCTTCAGTTGTAACTGCTATACTTTGTTTTACTTCCTTCTTAACAAAATGATTAAATACCAATTTGTTTTAATGTTGCCTTTCCATTTTCCCCCAGATCTGATATTGATACTCATCTTGTTGCATTAAAGTACAATTGCGGAGGTCAACTTCCTCAGCATAGACAAACTCTACTGTCAGTAGCAATTCTCATGTATCTATACTGATTTCAGTATCGCTCAGTCTCAAATAAGTACATATAGGATTACACCCCCCCTGATGTTTTTAAAGGCTTGTGAGGCTCTAATTAAACCCTTTGCCACTTAAATTAAATAGGGAAAAAACAGCAGCATAGCATGGGGGCCCCATGGGGCAGTTGCCCCAGGCATAGAATTTTTAGGGGGTGCAAACCTTGGACATCCCACCCCCATTCCAATTATTTAGCCCTGTTTGGGGCTGTGGGACAAAGAGGCCCTTCTCATCTGGGAGGTCCCAACCCTGCTGAAACTGCTTTAATGCCAGCCCCAGAGCTCATGGTGTGCAGCCAACTCTGCCCTGAGGGTGGAAAGAGGCACTAGAAACAAAGCCAGGCAGCATCAGTGTTAGCCACCTACCGGCTGTAAAGCCTGGCCAAGAGAAGAACCTCCCTTCCAGATGCCCGACCCAAGCGCAGAAGCTGGACTTTCATGGTGCCCTGCCCCGGGAGCGAGGAGACCCTCGCTCCCGGGGGCTGAATTCAAAAAGGCGCAAAACAGAAAGGTGCCGCTTGGCTGTCCATTCCCACTGCTGTTTTCCTAGGCCAGGGATCTCCACCTCTGAGGGGCAAGAGCTCAAAAGGGGCCCAACGGCAGGGAGAAGCGAATGGATGGGGTGGGGTGGGGAGGCAGCATCCCCCACGTGCTTCGCTTGTCTTGCACATTGAATCAGAGGCACCCTGAGGCCGGGCACGGTGTCCCATCCTTTGGGCAGCGCTGAGTTGCCAGGCAAAGGAGGAAGGGTGTCTGTTAGAGGCAAAAAGCGACATTCACTTGAAGCCTCCGTAAAGAGTTGGTTTGGTTGCAGGCAGCCCTGCTCTGGCTACTTAAGGGGGAGAAGGGGTGGGGTGGGCAAGGAATGGTGTTGCTGCTGCCTGCTCCGTCAGTCGCCGGGCCCTCAGACGCCACCTTTCACCCCAACCAAAGGTAAGCTTTCCAGTGGCCTCGAACAAGGAAGTGAGAGAGAGAAAGAGAGAGAGAGAGAGAGCCAGTCACTTATATGCCACTGCTACAGCTGCAGAGCAAGGCAGCCAGGCTCAGAGAGGCTGTATGACATGAAAAATGGCTCTGACTTGCCTCCCTTCCCCTTCCAACCACCTCCTTCCCCTTCCGCTTTTACTTCCTCCCCAGTGGGTTCACCGGCCGTTTGAACTGCTCCCCCTTTTGCAGCCGGACACCCTAGGCTTTTGCCATGTTCAACCCCACCCACAATTCTTTTTTCCTAGTTTTGTTTTTGTTTATTGATGTGACTGTCAGGCAGCTTGGTTCAGGAGGGGAGGGGAGGGGAGGGGTGGAAGAGGCAGACAGGCAAAAAGGAAACATGCCATCAAGGGCCTGCTCTCCCCTTCCTGCCTTCCATTTCCTCCGGGTCACGGGCCAGACCTGCTTCACACAACCAGCACGTCACCCACGCCCTGCAATCCGTCCCTGGCCCTGGGTGCTGGCCACCCACGCTACGCCACTGGGGGGGGGGGAACACATTCTTTTGTTGTCACTGTTAAACAATCGGACGCTTTGTCCAGCTAATGCAATCCATCCAGAGATCTGTTGGTGGATTCCAATCTTCCAGTCCACACTGGCCCACCTCTGAGAGATAGCAAAGGAAGACAGAAATGTCTTTTGACATTCCTGCGAACAGCTGGTTAAGTTAGGAGTAAACTGCCAGAATCCTATGGGTGTTTATGAAGGATTTATGTGACTTGCAGTGCTTAACTGCAGCTAATTGCCATGGTCCCCAGGTGGTCCCAAGCCCCTCAGAACAACTGAGACATTGTCAATTGGCTGGGTGAAAACACTAGTGAACGTTAACATAGCTTTATTTTTGTTATACAGTACCCGATAATAACTATATCACTGTGTTCAAAGCCAGAGAGTAGCCTTTTAAAGAAAAGGGACTTGTGCCTTGCGTATAGTCATTATTTGGGTTCACTTATTTGTTTGTATCAGTAATGACAGTGTGTAGAATTAGTGAGTAGCTAAAGCCATAAGTGTTCCTGGTGATTAATTGTATCTAGTCTAAAGAAAACCCACAGTGGGAAGGGCAGTCTCCTCCTGTTCTAAACCAGCACCAATATATATTCCAGTAAAGTGAATTATCTAGAAGTTATCAAGAGATATGAATACTTACATTGAAATTTATTCTCCCACTGATCACAGAAAGGGATGGAAGAAACACTGTGAAAGGTCCATAGTTTTCCAGAAGTACTGAACAGCCCAATTCTGTTAAAAGAACCCCATCCCCCAAAAAAGTCTATTAATAATGATTTATTTTAAAAAATTCCTTCACAATGCATCTATGGTTCCCAGTTGTGTCTTCAGACAGAATAAAACAATCAATATTGTTCCAGAGACCAAAAACACAAGTTTGACTGTGGGCTTCCTCACATTTTTATTACTACTTTGTTCAAGTGCACCAGGACATGACACAGTAGTCCCTCAGAGTCACATTTTTGTTATTCATTCTTGTACAAAATAACCATATTGGGATAATGTTGGTCATTAAAGTAATTGGAAAGCACCGAGCTAGTAACTGGAAAGAGCAAGGAGCAAGCAGCTCCCCCCTAGTGTAGCTCTTTCAAAAAAGAAAAAAACATTCGACAACAGACAGGATATATAACAGCAATGACTAGTCCTTTGGCATGCGGGGGAGGGGGGAGAGGCAGAGTGGATATTAATTTTTTTTAATGGCTGAATAAAGAGACTGACTTGTGCCCCCTTTCTTCTTTAATGACCTGTCACACTCTTAACACACTCTAAAATAAAGAGTATGTTTCTTGGGTTTACAGCAGATTTAGTATGAGTTTTTTCTTTGGAGACACCCTATGAAGCCCTAGATTATGATGATAGTGGTAACATATTTTTTTTCTACAAGATGTGACCCTCACGTCTCTCTCATTTCTTAACATGTATATTTTGTTGGCTCTGAAAGTATTCGATCTTTGGATTATTGTGTATTTGTTCATCAATAATTTTCAAAACTTTTTTAAAAAAGCAATGTGGTTTTCTGGTGTGGTTTGACACTTCAGTTGCATATTGCAATATATTTTAATATTCCGTTGAAGCTCCCGAAGAAGGCCTTAAAAGTCATATAGGGACAAAACTAGGAATATGCACAGTGAAAACATTCATTTTTGTTTTCTTTCAGGTTCTCCTTCGGGTGCTCCTTTTGTCTTTGTGTTCTTCATGCACCAGCCCTTTCATTTAACATGAAAAAGATTACCTCTTCTGGATCATTTTTTTAATATTTTTGCCATTTTGTTATGGCACTAGTTGAAATAAGCCCTGAAGAACCTATAAAAACTATGCAAAAGAGGAAGAAGCAAAGCCACAGAGAATCAGTCTACTACAAAAGCAGGCAACAGCACAAACAAAAATAGCCACCCAATGAAAGCAATCCCTCCAAAACTCACGAATATATACACCTTTAACAGGGTAAAGCAGGAGCACTTTAAATACACAGTAAATTAACCAAATTAGCAATTTTTAAAAAATCAGTCAAACAGGGAAATCACCCCATCCCAACACATGGTACATAAAGGAACAAAATAGCAAAATAGAATATACACACAGCCCTCAATCCCAATAATTTTAAAAAACAAAACAAAACAAAACAAAACAAGGAAGTTAATAAAGGAAAAAATACAATCAAAGCCTCTGACTGCTTGAAATGCCCAAAAAGAAATATAATCATTGGCGCTCTGAGAGATCCTTCTTTGATTTCTACACTTAAGCAAATGGCAACCAGTTCTGGTTTAATACTTCTAGATTCCTAACCAAACAAACTCTGAAAAAGGTTACCAAATATCCTTATTGCATCGTCTAGTACACGGATAGCACTTCTTCGTGTGTTCAACCGAGAGATTTGCGTAAGGAGAGAACCATAGCAGGCCATGCCATCTCCTATCTCTCCTTCTTGGCAAAGGCACCTGGCCAATAAAAAAGGATTTTCTCTGAGAATGGTTTACTCAGTTACCTACTCGGCTACACAGATTTAGCAAAAATTCAGTTACAGACATGTCAGGGGTTCACAAGGCATCAGAGACAGAAACCATAAAATTCTGTGACGTATTTAATTAAAATATGTTTGCACAGCATTTCAATCTTCACTCTCATGGTGATTAATTAAAAATTCCATGCAATGATAACAACCCAACTTAAAAAGCATTTATAAAATCAAGCTCACCCTCAATGAAGTCGTGGCAGTTCCTCAGCTGAAGAGAGGTTTCCTCTTTGATTTCTAAAATGTAAAAGTCAAAGAGGAAATCTCAGTTCTGCCAAGAACCTGCTAGGCAAGCTTAGCAAACCTTTATCTTTTTCTCTCTCTGCCTCAGTCTGTCCATCCATCACCAGAGGCTCTGCAGGATAATAATACACCCTCACCTTGGAGAGTTGTTGAATGGAGAATTGTATTAAAGCACTCTGTATGCTTGGAATAGAACTCTCAGGCTGGGACACCACTAATAAGAAAAGCATCCAACTGATTTTAATATATGCATACTTCCAAGAAGAAGCAAATGAACTGTATAAATTTGTCTCATCGGGTGGTTTAGGCAAATGCCTGATGGAGCATTTGTTCTTCCTAAAATGCTTGATTCCGTTTTCATATTATCAAGATTCTTCCCTCCCATCCACACAATATTTGCCTTGCCTTGGTTTGTACAATGGTAAAACCTCTTTTTTCCCCCATGCTTTTTTGCTCCTCCTAAATTTTGGGGGGGTTTTTTTATCTCACTTTTTTCCAGAAGAGCAGTTATGGCACTTCCCAATGAATTTCCATTCTGTGATCACAAACTCCCTGTTTAGAAGTACAAAATAGGTCCAAAGCAGAAGCCCAGCAGGGAAAAGTATATTTAACATGTTTTTTAAAGGATTTCAAAGATTGCTTCAGGAGCAGCTTTACACAGCAATGCCTTTTTGGATGGAAGCTTGGACATGAATCCTGGTAAGTCATATGATTCATGTTTCCATCTGGAACTGCCCTAGAATATCACCCTAAGAGCAAAAATAAATTTTTTTAAAAAAATTAAAAACATGATGAGGAAATCTGTGCTCACAGATCTTCTTTGTTTCAAAATGCCTACGACATTTTATGATCATGCTAACTTGATCAGAAAAACAGTGATTTGAGAATATATCATTTAATTATTCCTTCCAGGAATAATTCCTCATCTAAATTTCCCACTCATCTCTTTCTATGTCTAATAAGCACTGTGGAAAATATAGTTTTAGACACTGATCCTGATCACAGATCTCCTATATCACTCCTATCTAGTCTGAGCTTTTTAGAAGAAGGATTGGCTTAGAAGAAGAAGAAAAGAATAAAAATGGATAAGCTGTAGCAAGAGTTACAACAACAGTTGTGCTTAGGGAAAGAGTCTTTACACTATGTTTCACCAAAGACCTTACATAACTAGGAGCTAAACCCAGACCCCTGCTTCCATAGTTCAGTTCTGGATCAAGCCTTATGAGAATCCATCAATGTGCACAACTGTTCCCAACACACATTTTAAATTTAACAATGAGTTTCTGAGCAGCTTACCTGACCGTCCCATCAGGATCTGTTTCACACTTTGCGGTTTTGTCACAGTTGTGTAGCATACATCTGGAGTTGGAAACACAACCCTGTTCTCTTCTCCAATTCATTCTGCTCCTAGTTGTTCCTGACTTACATATGCATGATGACTATGGAAAGAGAAAGCAGATTAGCAGTGCTGTGCCCTCAAAAAGGGGTTTTTTTGGGGGGGGGGACTACTGTCCATAGAATCTCCCAAGTAAATAACTCCATCCAGAAACCCTGTGCTCCTAAAATATGCTCATAACATTGAGTCCTTAATGTACAGTATATGAGAAAGTCACTCATATTCATTTGAGACCTGATGCCATAAATGTTACATTTTCTAGGGAGATGTCCAATGCACAATGTAGTCAGGTTTTCAGGAATCAGTTTCAGTTATCATGGCCTGGTGAGATGGACAAGAAGCTTGAATTGCTCCGTTCACCACATGTATACCTACCCCTTGCCTCTCATGGTTGATAAACGTAGCAGGGATGGATTGACTGGGTGGGTCCAGGAGGTGGTAAATGTCTCATTCCAGCAAGGGATGCTGCCTTCTGCCTTGAAAGAGGCAATGGTGCACATTTTCCTGAAGAGGATCTTTCTAGACCCACAGGTATGTGACAACTACTGTCCCATTGCAAGTATCCTCTTTTGGGGCAAGGTGCTTGAGTGTGTGGTGAGTGGGCAGTATTAGGTGTTCTTCAAGGGAACTTATTATCTGGATTCATTTCTGTCTGGTTTCAGGCCAGGGTTTATGACAGAAACTGCCTTAATTCCCCTGGCTGATAACTTGCTCCTGGCTAAGAACAGGGCCAGCTTTAACTGGTCCACCATTTTACAACAATTCCTTAAAAAGGATAACCTGGCCAAAGCAATCCATGCCCTTGTAACCAGGTTAGACGACTACAATGAATTCTACATGGGGTTGCCCTTGAAGATGACAAGGATGCTACAGCAAGTGCACTTTGCAGCAGCTAGAGTGCTAAGAGAAACATCTTTCGGAACTGACATAATTCTGGTTCTGAAGGGTTTGCATTGGCTGCCAATACATCTCCAGTCTGAATTCAAGATATTGATGGTGATTTACAAAGCCCTAAATGGCTTGGGACCTGGATAGCTGAAAGAGTGCCTCTCCCTATATGCACTTGCTCAGTCACTAAGATCTGCTGGGGGGGGGTGTTTCCTCTTCTGTGCCCCATCCTTGAGAACAGTTCATTATGTGGAGATATGGGAGAAGCCTTTTTTTCTGCTGTAGCACCATGACTGTGGAATGCCCTCCCCGTAGGGGCAAAACTGGTGCCAACGCTGGCATAACTTACGTGCCAAGTCAAAACATACTTATTTATTAGAGCCTTTGAGGGTTGAAGATCATGCCCTGCATAGATTTGAATGCAATTGGCCTAATGTTTTAATGTTGTGGTTTCAAGTGCTTGATTTTAAATTGTTTTAAATGTTTTTAAATTGTTTTATACAGTTATTTAACCCACCCTGAGATCCTGTGATACTGGAAGGGCTATAAATGTGTTAAATAAAGGGGAAAACTATTTTGACAATGTTAACATCATAGGCTCACACTCACTAAAGGACTGATGACAGCCTGCATACTCTGTGGTGAGTGGTCTAGTGACACAGTGACATAAAGACTGCACTTCTGCTCTGCTCCAGGTCAGGAATGTTCATGTTTCTCCTCAGGTAATCAACAGATTCCCAGACTCCAACCATCCCTTTTTCTTCAGAAAGGAAGAGCCACCATTGTTCATCCATTCCAGTATGCAAAAACAGATGTAACCAGAAGCCTATATACTTACTGGTGACCCATTCAAATCTCAATGTCTTGAGACTGAGTGAAGCTACAGAAGCTGCCTTAATATTGGGTCTATTCTTTGAATTTTCTGTTTCTGTCTCCATTCCTCGTTTTTTATTAACACCGCCACCATCATCTTGTATTACCTGGACTGATAAAGAGCTCTGAGGAATTCAAATGCCGCATTTCGGTTCGTCCATAAAAGTATTACTCAGTTATGTAATAAAATAATTAACTACCTAACCACCATACCTCTGCTATCTTGCCACTTAGCTACTCAAAATTAGAGACTGATTATCAGCCCCATGTGGCTGCATGAAAATATGATAACTAGCAATGTTCACTTTATTCCACTCATATTCTGTAAATGCATTCCAATTAGTGGATGATATTGCTGGAAGCTGTTAAGTAATTGGTTTACATAACTAGTTGCATGGTTGTGATTGAGCGATGATGAATAATTTTTCTTTTTTACTTTCATAGCAAATCAGACTGCTGAAATAGCTGTTTATTAGTTGCTGAGCCCCACTGAATGCATTGTAACAATTTCATGGCATACACATTTGGTAATTTAAAGCGTACATCCATCCAAGGTTAAGAACCAGTGATTTAAAGCGTACATCCACGTAGTGAATGCTTTCAGACAAGTGTTGATGATAAATATTCAGTTGCAAATATATCTTACAAATTGTTGATAAAAGCATGGAAGTATGCCGCTAGCTGAAATGTTTATAAGAAAGAAATTCGTATTTAATGATAATTGTGTGCCATCAAGTCAATTCTGTTGTATGGCAATCCTTTTCAGTGTTTCCCAAAGTCTTTTTTAAAACTGATTTTTATTTTTAATTGTTCATATCCTTGCTATTTAATTTAAGTGAGTTTACTTTGGAGCACTTTGTTATATTTTGTTTGTGTTTTATTGTGTTGTGAACCACCCAGAGTGACCACTGGTCAGATGGGTGGTATAAAAATTGAATCAAAAGATAAATACAGTACTCAGAAGTGGTTCAGCAGCCATGCTTTCTGGTGGCCCCCTGGTCCCATGCAACTTACCCAAGGCCACACAAGACTGGCTCTCCTCCTGGCAGGCACAGCTGGCAATTAAATTCCCAACTCATGGCTCTGCAATCATGTGGCTACAACTCACTCAACTTTTCTGGCCATTTCACCATTACTTCATTCTCTTAAATCAGAAACCCACCTTACTCCAGATATTTTGTATAACCCTGTGTTCACATGTGCACAATTAGGAGATGCACAATACAAGGGGGATACTCTTCAGCACAAGTAATGATCTCATCTTCAGGAAATCCAAAGTCTGTTCTTCCTATTTTTTTTTCTGATGATAAAGTTCTCCAGCTTTTAAATGGTTGCAGGTTTGGAAGTTTTGCCTCTAAATGATGCTCTGCATGCAATACTCTCTAGAAGACAGTGCACAAGGTACTGTAGTCCATTTTAGAGGGGTAACAGCAATTTGGTCTGTGAGGTCTGGATTGGACAAAGGTACCCAGGTAAGTAAAACATACCATTTTAGGACTCTTATTCCTGGAATTTCCCAAGAATTCCCCAGGCAAATTTAGAGCCTAAAGACATGTATCTTCAGACCCCTGGATCTTCCTCCTCTGGATCTAGATCAAGGCTTGCTTCAGAGGCTGCATTCTATGACTCATATCCTGCTGCAATACTTCCTGGAAGGAAGGTGCCATAATTCTTCCTGAAGTTCTTTGAGAGGCATCCTCTGTCTACACAGAGTCAAAAGGGCAGCAAGACTACAGCGCCCAAGAAGCACTGTGGTAAGACATGAAGCCTAGAATACATCCTCTGGGATAGGCCTTGCTCCCAGGGAGGGAATACAGGTGTCTGAAGGTGGTGAGTCCAGAGTCCAAATAATCTGAATAGCACACTCCTACTATCAGCTCTGAAATATAGATATTATCAGCAAAGCACACTGTTTTTCACTCTCTTACCTTTCCTGCACTCTGGAAAACACAGGTGGTGGAATTTTCAGGGCAGCCTCCATTGTTATAGAAACAGGGATTTATGGGTTGGCACACTCTCCCATCTCCTTCATAGCCTTCTTTGCAAGTACATTCATACTTGGTCTGCTGAGCAGTCTTGCAAACAGCAAAGGAGGAGCACGGGGAAGAACTGCAGGGATCTTGGGCTGAAAATAAAGTGAACAGGAAATATTACAGGATATGCCCCCCAATTCTGTGTTTGCTAATCAAAACATAAAGGCTGCACAGCAAAAATGTAGCTAACAAATGCAAAATGAATTGCAGCAAATTTTGATGCCACTCAGAAAGTAAATCTAATGCACTTAAAAGCAAAAGCTAGCTTTAATCATAATTTCTCCAGCATTAGATAAATGGGTGCTTGTTCCAAGCTGTGGCCAAGTATAATAGAAGTGAGGAACTGACCTGCAGTGCTAGGTCTACCCTTCTAACCCTTGTGTGGGTTGAATGTCATCAGTGTGGGTCACATCAACGTCATCAGGTACGTGGCCAAAATGATAAGTCGAGCTATTTTACCTGGTGCGTCTGACTTTACTTCTTTCCCAGACAGGGAGGAGAATAGGAGACTGAAACACAGTAGACTCTGCTAGCACTTCCAGAAGCTTCCCAGGAGCCAGGCCAACCCACTGCTCCCCTTCCTCCTTTTTTCACATGACAAAAGAAGGGCAACATGCTGTCAGCAAGTATTTCCAGGAACTAATAGAGTCTTGGGGCCAGAATCATCAGATTCCTGCTGGAATCCCTGGTGTCTCTGCCTGGAATCAGACCCTTGCGGGGGGGGGGGATTAGATCAGTGCATTGGCATTTTCCCTCCCTTCAGAACCAAAACATGGATGGGAAAACTGTGGCCCTCCAGATGCTGGTGGACTAAAATTCCAGCTCCCCCCCCCAATAATTGGCCATATTAGTTGGGGCTGATGGAAGTCATAGTCGGAAAAGAAGAGGTTCCCCATCCCTTAATTACCACAGTGCTTTGGAACCACTGACTTGTCCTGATCCCTACTCTTCAGCCTCTGCAAGGCACTTCTCTGGGACCACGTTGTGATTCTTGTCATTTTGTACATTCTATACTTGTGGAGAGCCAAAACTGCTGAATTAAACATGAAGCTACTTCCCCTAAAACATTCCTTCAATCCTTCATGAGCGCCTTCTACTGAGAGTTCATTCTTGCTGTGCCTCCCCCAGCCTTCCGTTCCGTGAACTTTCTCTGTGGAGCAGAGAAAGCTGAAAAGAATGTCAGCCTCCTTGCCTTGACCAAATCCTGTGGTCATTCCCCTAGTTTAACTTCGCTTTTTCACACACAGCACTTTGTGTTGACTTTGGCTATTCACTAGCCCTCAGATATGCTTGAATAAGAGGTGGAATGAAGTCTTGAGGCAGTGGGCCCACACATGTGGAAGAGCAAACAAGCACAATCCCATGCTGCAGGATGGCTCACTAAAGCCTGCTGTTGGGTCACACAAACACATTTTGATCATTCAGCGCAGTTACTCAGGGAGGGGAAGCAATGGGAAAAGGGGAAGGAAACCTTCTCAAACACAAGAAAAGGGTTGTTTTCTTAAGTTGTATAAAAAGAATAAAACTCCAGATTTCTGGGTGCTCCTCATTCTCTGACCCATGTTAGACCGGTTTGGGGCCAGAAAGAAACTACCATTGCTGCCAGAGTAAATGACTTCGAGCAGAAGCTCAATAGAGAGAGGGTGGCCTTGCGGATTTCTCTTGGGCCTCTCAGTGGCTTCCAGGACCATTGATCATGGAATCCTCCTGGGCCGCCTGGGTTTGAGGTACCCTATGGCCTCAACATCTATATAAAGTTGCTAGGAAAGGCTGTCCTAATATTTGAGAATGAGATCCAGTTTTGTGTTGCCTTTTTAACTGAGCAAAGTGAAGCTGTGGAGATTCTAAACAAGGGTCTGGGCTCAGCAGCAGGCTGGACAAAGGAGAGGAAGTGAAGCTCAGTCTAGACAAGAAGAGGATGCTCATACGCATTTGACGCCTTCTTTGTTCTGGATGGGTCACCCTTCCTCAGAAGAGATTTGGAACTCTGTTGACTCGGCTCTGCTCCCAGATGCACAGGTAGCATCTATGGCAAAGCATTCCTTTTGCTTCCAGCATTGAAACAATGGAACAGTGAACAGTAGCACTCCTCATCACTATGTTTTATCGCAATGCTAAATCTACTCCACCACCCCCACACAAACACACACACACACACTAAAAAGAGATACTGTACAGCAAAGACTACAAAGTCATCCTTCAAGTGCCAGTTCATCTGTAGCCCAAATGACACCAACCAAGCAGATTTGAGGGAATCCCGAGAAACATATATGTAACTGAGGGTCATAAAATAAAAAAGAGGGAACCTCTCCCACCAGAAACAAAAACTGTCCATTGAGGAGCGGCCCTGCTTAATGGCTCCTAAATGGTAAGTCACTGTTGGGTGGGGTGGAAAGCAAGATGGTAGCAGAAATGAAATTGAGTATATTGGAAAATATTGTTGTTAGTATGTGGAAATCCTCGCCACAGGATGTGGTGATGGTACCTGGCCTAGATGCCTTTAAAAGGGGATTGGACAGATTCCTTGAGGAAAAGTCCATCGCAGGTTACAAGCCACAATGGGGATGTATAATCTCCAGGCTTCAAAGGAAGGTCCCTCAAAATGCCAGATGCAGGGGAGGGGGTCAGGAGACAGGTATCTTGTTGTCTCGTGTGCTCCCAGAGGCATCTGGTGGGGCCCCTGTGAGATACAGAAGGCCGGACCAGATGGGCCCATCCATGGCCTGATCCCGCAGGTCTCTTCTTAGGTTCTCATGTTATGAAAAGATTATAGGTGAATAACTGTCTTGCAACTGCTCCACTCTGGAACATTTTGTTGCAGGGTCCATTCAGGTGAACAATAACAACTTACCTTAAAAGGTTGTTGACAAGGTTTATAAAAATACACACAGGTGCTTTGAGGACTCTTGATGTGTTATGCAAATGCTCTGTGTCTCTTCTTACCTTGGCAGTGGATCCCGATTTTTTTGTAGCCTGGCATACATTCACACCTTGCCTGCCCATCCGCCACTACGCAAAGGGAGTTGGCTTCGCAGACGACATTTCCACAAACAGGACGTTCTAAAATCATAAAACAGAAAGGAAAAATGCAAGTGCTTTGCATGCATCTTTGCCAGGGAATAAGTCCCACTGTGCTGCACTAAGCGAAGTTTACACACAGGTGAGTGTTTACAGAGTTCCTCTCTTTATTATTCAACAACAGTTAAACGTACATTTCATCAGATTTACCCAACTGCACTGTAAGCTTTCTGTTGTTTTTCCCTTGGTTTCTCTTTTCATTTTGTTCATTTAAAAATATCTAATATGAACAAGATGAGAATGGGACTCATCAGACACATGCTGCATGACTGGAATACTAGAATCAGGCACAAACTAGACAAGACAGTAGGCTTCTACTTAGAACAAGGCAGCCTATTTTTCTCAAGGAGTGTGTTGCTTTTGGAGGTTCTTGCACCAACCATCAGACTTGTAGACGAAGCCCATGTTTACCTCCCAGTGACCAAACCCAGCGGCTAATGTGCAGAGGCAAAAGTGAGAACACCTCGTGCCATCAGATGTCCTTTAGCACTTCAGGGAGCACCACTTTTAAAAGCAGGACTTTTTCCTCCTGTCTAGTTTGTCCCTCTGTGAAAGAAGCTTTTAAAAAAAATCTCCCCTGTCTCACCCTGTGCATGGACATTCAAAGAGGAACTCCATGATCGCTGGAACTGGATGGATGTTGGTCATTCGCAGCATTAAAATTTTCACTCTCTCCCACCCTCAGGTACGGATTCAAACTACAAAGGTGGAGGGGCTTTGATGATGCAATGGACTGCTCTAAGCGCCTGCTGTGACCTCTGCCCATAACCTGGCCAATTCCCCTTCCTCACACTGGTTTGTTTTCCACAGTTTTCACACTCAGAGCGCCCAGTGAGGTGCCTTTCCTTCCAACTAGATTTACTTGGAGGTGCCTCAGCCTTACCTTTCAAGTGGCAAGCTATGGCAAACCCTCTTTGAAGCAGATCTGCTTATCAGGTGGGCCCACCTTTCTTCCTTGCACACTCAACAAAATAGGCTCTGGTTCCACCTCAGCTTGCAATGTTAGCCACAGAGCCTGAAGTGTTGCTTGCATACCTCTGTTGTAAACTGCCCAGAGAGTGCTCTAGCACTATAGGGTAGTATGTGAACCAACAACAACAGTAGCAGCACCAGCCACAACAACAATAACAATAGGATCAAACTATACATGATTGATAGTAGATGCTGAAATTTGATTCATTAGAAGCTGAAATTTGTTGCCATTCCATTGACGTCATTCCAGTACACTTGCAAATGACTGGGCAATCTTCTTGCAAAGGAAAAGCTAAGGGCAATACTTGCTTGTGTTTACCTACTGATGACCAACTGCAAAACAAAGCAAGTTGATTTCAAAAGCGGAAGTATCACAAGCTTCTGTTGTGACTATCAAGTATATCCAGCACTTAGGAAATCTAATGATGTGCCACCTGTGATCTAAGCAGCCTTCTGCCATTTTGAGTTGCATGCTTAGAGAGGTCATCACTATCCATATTTCCAAGCCAGGGTTATTACAGAGAAAGTGAGCACTTCACATTCATGAGAGCAGAAGGAGAACCATAACATACAGTACATAAACATCACCTCAGAGGTAGCACAAACTACATTAGCTGTTCTACTGGGACATATGCCTTGAAAACAGTTTGTCTGTGAAATGCTTTAAAAAGATAAATAGAAGACGTATCGATACCCTGGTCGCACTTTGCACCAGTGTAGCCAGCATAGCAAGTACAGCTTCCATCACCAGAAGGTCCGTGGTTGCATATTCCATGCTGGCACTCACATACTATGAGAAAGAAAACAAAACAAAATCCATATGCATGGTATGCTCTGAATAAAGTCAATCTCGCAGTCATTCCCTCACCACACTAATCTCCTCAGCAAAACTCCTCTGTGCTATAGAAATGTACCCCCCAAGTTCCTGAGGAGATGGGAGGAGGTCAAAGGGAGAGGAAATGCACTATCTTGAAGAGCCCTGGATGGGGGGGGGTGTCAGTTTCCTGTGTGAGACCTTGGGCTGGGGAAACCCTTGCAAAATCACATTGATCTCACACTGTCTTCCCCAATGGCAGGAGGGCCATCTTACCACCAGCCTCTTTCTATACTGGAAGACAACGTAAGAAGGTCGCACTGCCTACTTTGGAGATCTGCAGGAAGGGCCACATCCTGGGGCAGAAATGAGGATAGGACTAAAGAGGGCGGCACAAGTATTTTGGGTCCTGTGGTCATCTAGAGTCCCCTTCAGGGACTCTACTGGCAGCAGCGACCTGGGGCTTCGTCCTCTGAGCCCATTCTACAGCAGGGGTGGACCGGGATGACCAGCCACATCCTGCTTTCAGTTACATTTGGATGTTAGATATGGGGGCCACGTGTTGCATTTAGGTTAATTTGAGCAGGCAGTACTTTCCCCTGTTTTCCTAGGCTTCATCTCTGTATACCCAAATAAATGTTATATACATAATATAGGTTTCCCAGTCTCATGTCATCACACCATCTCCCGCTTGCTAATAGCACTTCCATGCTTGAGCTGCAATAGCCGTTAAGAGGCCTTTGGTCTGAGAGACTTACCAGATTTACAGTCGGGGCCATAATGAAACTCATCCCGGCATTCTTGGCAAGCGTAGCCACCATAGCCCTCCTGAAGCGATAAATGAAAAAGGGTAACTTTTAACAGTGATATTTCTGTTTTCCATACAACACTATATTGCCATACAAATATGATGAGTATAAGTTATTTTGGAATCTCTTTTTGGTGGGGAAGGGAAGTGCAAAAGATTCCACCCAACACACATGGTCAGCCTCCTTTTTGTGGCATAAAGTAGGTGGTATTATTAGCACACCATTCTGGGTCTGAGACAGACAATTTACTACAGCTACAGACACAAAAGGGTGATTTTCCTGAATTATCAGGTACTAAAGAGCAGTAATTCATTTAAACCAGGCCTTCCATTTCTGTGCCAAAGCACATAAATATTAACTGCTCTATATCACCATAAAACCTAGGCTGAAATATGCAGCTAGATAAAGGCTTCATGGCACACTGGAGGCTACCTTGAATGTGAAATGGTTTCTTTTTACAGTTTTAGGGGTGGAGAAGTCTATATTCTTCATAGTTATTAAAGCAATGATATACAGAAGTTAGGATGTGAACACTGGGGGAAATATTATGGACTGCTTGCGGAGCAGTCTGGTGTGATCATATGACACATGGGGAAACATGCTCCAGCCCAACCCTGATCCAGGCCCAAGCCTGGACCAAGCCTGGACCATTTTGGCTCAGTAGCAGAGCTACTGCTTTTGTAGGCAGGGCTGGGGCATGATCCATGCCCAAGCTGGACCATTTTGGTTCAGTAGCAGGGCTGCTGCTTTTGTAGGCGGGGCTGGGGCAATTCCCTGACAGACAGGCCCTCAAGGTCAGCAACCACACTGTCTGGGTTGTCTGGGACATCCAGATCTTTCTGGTATAATTCCTCTGTGTATTCTTGCCATCTCTTCTTGATGTCTTCTGCTTCTGTTAGGTCCCTACCATTTTTGTCCTTTATCATATCCATCTTTGCACAAAATGTTCCTTTAATATCTCCAGTTTTCTTGAACACATCTCTGGTTTTTCCCTTTCTAATATTTTCCTCTCTATCTTTGCACTGTTCATTTAAGAAGGCCCTCTGGTCTCTCCTTGCTATTCTTTCGAAGTCTGCATTCAGTTTTCTGTAGCTTTCCCTATCTCCCTTGCATTTTGTTCCCCTTCCCTTCTCTGCTATTTGTAAGGCCTCATTAGACAGCCACTTTGCTTTCTTGCATATCCAATAGTGAGGGACAAAAGGAGATGCAGTCTCACAGCATCTGGAAGTTTGTGTATTGCTAAGATGCTGAGCCAGATTATGTATTTACTTCTAAAGTACAGTAGCCTTACCAAGAGAAAAGGCAATGAATTCTGAGGCAGAACAGTAAAATTTCCAAGTAATTTGAATTAAATAACCATACCATATGGTTGCTAGTCATAAGTGTTAATAAAGCCATACATCTCTTCCACAGGATTTCTGTTTTATATGGGAGAGCAGCCTCTTACTCAGGACCAAAAAAAGGCAAATTGCCAGCTTCACAATTCTCCTCACTCCTCTTCTACCAGAGGCTGGAATTAATTGTGCTTATTCTGACTTGGGATGTGGCCTCTCTAAACAATGACGTGTCACTTCTAAACCAATCTCCCAGGTATTCCAGCCAATATGTTCTCCTCCTTCATGCCCATCTTTTCTGATGTATTTTTAACTTGAATGATCAACTGTAACAATCTGTTCTTTTCACTGCTTCTTATGTGACTGAAGAATTTTAACTTTCTCCATTTTATGGGCAATATCCTGTTGTTCCTTCTCCCGGCACAACAGTCCATTGTGTGAGCAGTTGGGTCATTTCCAGGACTGTGCAAGGAGATATCCAGAAACACATTGTGTGCTAGCTCAGATACTATCGAACCACTCATGCAACAGACCAATGTTCAAATGAAAGAAACAAACAGGATTCTGCTCTGCTTACTATATGATTTTTTCAGTCTTTATATTTTCTCTTTAGTACTTTTTTTTTTGGTCACTCTCGTGATCCATTTTTGTACATGTCTGTGCATGCTGTCAAGTCAGTTCTGACTTGTGGCAACCCTTTTTTAGGATTTTCTAGGTAGTGAGTAGTCACCAGTGGTTTACCATTCCCTTCTTCTGGAGGTCCTCTGCGGCTATGCAGCTTGCCCAAGTCCATACAGGCTGGCTCTTCTGCCAGAAGGCACAGGGGGGAATTGAACTCCCAACCTCTGGCTGCACAGCCAGATGCCTAAACCACTGAGCCAGCCAGCCAGTTAATTTGTTTCCAAATAGTGCACATTTTGAATAGCTCTTTTTTAAACAGTTGTCTATATTAAATACCCAGTTTCCAGGTTTTAGAGTAGAACCAATAAGACATAGCACTTTACAGGGCAAAAACAGCTAGAATCTGATGAGTCACTGAGGACAAATTGATGCTACAAGATTTCTTCACAGCTGCCAGATCTTTTGGAATCAATTTACAAATCTATCCTATGCTTCCCCCCCCCATGACCAATCACCAAAAAAAAAAAAAAAAAAGCAAGCTAATTTGTGATTTACGGAACTACAAAAACTGAAGATGGGGAAAACTAGCATCTTTTAATTGTTAAAGCCTTGCTTTTAACTACAGATCTGGCATTTTGTCCTCTTCTTTCCCTCTGTGAATAATTCTGAAAACCAGACAGAAACATTAAAGGCAGCCATAATTAGAGATGAAAGCACATTGGTGCTGCCTGGAGGTGGTGAATTAAGCTGTCTGTGCGTGTTTACAGAATCAGATTTCAATGGGATTCCATGCTTATGTCCTGAAGACCAATCAAAGCAAGCTAATTTTGCATAACACCAGAGCTAAGAGAATGTTGCCACCCAGATGTTCACATCCATTAAGAATTTATCTCTTTCAGTCACATGCTTTTTCTAATGCCTCTTCCTTGTTGAAGACATACATTTGAAGGCGGGCAATGGGTTTTTTTTCCTTGAAGGATTTGAAGCATGGTTTAACATGTTTGTGTTAAATTATGAATTTGTTTTAACATGTTCCCAGATGAGATGTTATTTTAAAATAGTATTTTTAAAAATATTTTGAATCTGCCCTTTTTACACTCCCTGAGATAATTATTTGGTGCATAAACTAGTGTCTCAAAGGCTCTAAGCTTGGCCTTGTTTTTTCAGAGCATAAACCTCTAGGTTGGGAAGATTAGTTTCTATCGGCTTTTCTCTCTCTTTTGTTTCTATGATATTGGAAGCGGTCAAAACAGCTGGTGAAAAAGATTAAGATGTAATCTAAGAAATCTGATCATGTTGCTGCTACATTAGAGCATCTGCTTTTTTTAAAAAGTAGGGGGAAATGTGAGAAAAGAGCAATGTTTTGAATCTGTGATGCCCACTTTGAAATCTCCTCTCAAAAATGCTTTAAGCTCTGCAAATTTCTCCCCTTTGCAAACAAAACCTGCATGATATTTAAAATATCCCCCGTTAGCCTAACAAGCTATCTAATCTAGTTAATGTAAAAACCCAAGGAAAGCAGTAAGAATAAGGCCTGAACAATGAAAGAAACAGAAAATATTTATACTGTGCAAGGCAACACGTTTTTAGATGAATAACAGGTCAGAAATGTAGGCTGGCTCCGAGGGGAATAATTTTTCAGTAAGAGGTATGACGGAGCTCTGTGGTCTATAATAGGATTCTAAGAAGCTGTAGTGTAAGCTTCTGGCACAGCCACTGTTTTCTAAGGGGCTACTGAGATATTTTCATGTGCAGCAGTAATCAACAACTAGCTTGCACACTTTGGTGGGGTGTCCTACAATCCACTATATGTTGCACTGCAAACCATTTGCCCAGTAACCTTTGTACGCGTGGATATTTCCACAGGATTGCAGTTTAATGCAGTTTTGTCTTCTGAACTGCCCACCAATCAGAGGAAGAGCTCTGAACATGTACATTCTTTGTATTTTCTGTACCTTTATTCCCTTGTAATGTCTTCCAGCTTTTGATGTCAACAGCACATATGATCTTAGCCTGAAGACCTCCTGCCTTGGCTTTTTACCTTGCTCTGTTTACAGCCACCTTTCAAGGCAGTGGCTGAAATCCTGTTGCTTTGTGTAACAAAAGCCATTACATCCAGTCTTTTCCTAGCCAGCAATGAAAGAGTCCTTGCTATGATTCTTGAGCATGCACCAAGCCAGGGTGCGCGTGTTTCTCTGAAAATCACAATGGTGACTCTTTAATTGCTGGCTAGGAACAAAATGAATGTTAGCCTTTCATTATGCAAAGCAACAGGATTTCAGCCAGTATGTGATTATTCTCATTGGTTGCAATGTACCTCACAAATGCAAGTTCCATTCCCTGTTATGCCATCCAAACAGACTCCATGTCCACTGCATTCATTGTCAGATCCACCAGGGCATTCTGTAACAAATCAACCAAGATAATTCTCAGGTGTTCAAAGGCTGGAGGTCAAAAACACTGTTGTCCTCTTTTGCTCTTCTTGTTTGCATTTGCCATTCATTCAAATCAGGTAGGCCATATTCTTTATAGTGATCCAGAAGTATAGAGCAGCCACCCATCCAGAGTTTGGCATGCTTAGTTTTTTCACCCCATTACCTCCCAGACAGCATGGGAATTATTTTCTAAATTTGGCCCAAATCTTGTCAGATACAAAAGGCCGTGTCTTAGTTTTTCAGGACCATGCAGTGCCATCAGGAAAAAGCATGTAGAAAGAGGAGCTTGGAATCCATCTCGTGCTACACTCCTGACTGCACCAGGACATAGTCTCTGGGAGCCCAAAGACTTCAAGCTACCTTGCCATCACCAGGGACCAATGCTTTGTACTCCTCACTTCCTTTCTGAGTCTAAAGATGGCTGCAGGTCTTGAGCAAATAGAGTCCTAGGCACTTTGCCTCACCTTCCCATGGTAGTTTTAAGTCACCGAGTCCCTGACAATCCGATGCACTGGACTGAAAGCCTTACCGTAGCATCCAGAACCCCAGAATTTACGACAGCATTGTTTTTCCTCCGTTTCCTTGCTACATAAGTTACTACAACCTTGTAGGGAAAGGGTATTCCCACCCAGCTTTACTGTGTACCTAAAATGTTCAACAAAAACAAAAACAAACAATGATCATAAGAAGCAGTAGTCAATCTAGTCAGGCATTCTGAATCAGTACAGTACTGGAAATGTGACAGGAAGGGAAGCATGTTGGAGCCACTCTCCACACATGGAAGGCAACTTTCCGACAGACTTTCTTATCCTTACCTTCAGAAAATATACCTTGCCTTCAGAAATGTTGACTGAATGAGGCTAGTATGCTCCCTCTCATGTGTTTTACACTTGATCTGTATCCTGAATTAAATAAGTTTCTTGCCCTTGAATACAGAACAGCCATGAACTGAAGTAGGGATATTATTACAACCATTTGAATCCCAGTGTCTTGTGGTCTAAGAAGAGAGGGTGTTTCAGCCTACCACTTTAAGGTGAGAAGTCCTCCTTGACTGCCCCTCCATTTTGAATCGACAATGCAAATATATGTTTGGTCTCATGTACAACCACTCCTAGATAAAGTCTGAACAAAACACAGCCTGGAAACAGTCTCTATCTGGAACCAGAAATATACTGCCATAAGGCCTTTGATCTTCTTTTCCAACACCCGGAGATTTGAGGCAGCAAGTACAGTTTATGCTCCTTATGACCATGAAGAACAAGTACGGCCTCATACTGATGAGATTAATAATGGGATGCACTCAGCAACATCAATGGGCTGGAAACTTGGTGAATTCTGCTAAGGATATTCAAGCTTACTTCCTCCATGTGCATAGCCTCATGTTGTGTTCTCTTCTAAAGCAGAGAGCGCTTTAAGAGAACATCATACCATTGTCAAGCCTTCAACCCATACCAAAAACAAAATAAGGCTTACCTGCACTCTCCTACAGCTGAGGGCACTTTCCTCCATTCATTTGGGCACCTCGCTCTTCTTGCAAAAAGGCAGGAAGTACAAGGTGTATGTTGCATAAGTGTGAACTTCCTGTCACATCGCATGGACTTTATCTGAAAAATGGGCAGCCAATATATTTGTATGCCAATAATAAATATGCACTTTGTTCCCCAATAGAAAGAAAACCATTCTTTGTAATCTAGGTGCTACATCATCTTGTATGCAAATATACCACCAGGCCATTCAAATGACTATTCACAGCTTTTATAGACTTTTCCTCCGCATTTGACACAATTGCCAGAAATCACCTGTGGGATAAGCTCGCAGAGACTAACATTGAAAAGAGACTATTAACCCTAATACAAGAACTATATTCCAATACAATGTTGAGGGTAAGGATTAGCACGGGCAGAAGGTTGACAGAGGAAATGCATACTAACAAAGGGATAAAACAAAGGTGCTTACTTGCACCCCTACTATTTAACTTTTATATTAATAATATTGTAACAGCTTTAAACCATCCAGATAATTCCCCCCCAAAATTGGGAATTATAAAATATATGCTGATGACATTGTATTACTATCTATGAACAAAAAGGGACTGAAGAGAAGCTTAAATAAGTTCCAAGAGTTCAGCCACTTAGAGTAACTAAAAATAAATTAAACAAAATCTAAAGTGATGATTTTTGGAAAGCATTCCCCATATTCAGCTGAACTATAGGCGAAAATAAAATAGAACCAGGCAATGGCTAAAATGTTCCATATTCTGTGGAAGTCCAACCTGCTGAACTAATATCCAAAAGCTAGCACTTTTGTTCAAGTGACAACTCAACGGCTGGGAGACAATAACAACACAGTTTGGGCAAAAGCTGTGACAGACTTCTAAAACAGGTCTTGCTGAGGATGCCAATAACTGCTTGAAAGGCCCATGGTACAGAACTCTTTCCTCACGAGGCTCCCCAAGAGTCGAAGGCTCTCCCCTAAGACCTGCCAACAGTTTTGATCCTCGCTGCTTTAAGGAAGAGCAGAAAGGTGCATCTTTTTAAAGGAGCTTGTGATCATGTGTTATATTGTGATGAGTTTAGCTTTCCATAACTATATTGATTTTAATTGTTTTTAAAATTGTTTTATTTTCTCTGACTTCAGTGATTCTATGGTGGAATCCCCCCCCCCAATTTTTATTGTTGTTTTATTGTAAGCTATCTTAAGCAGTACCCATTAATGGAGATCAGGGATGTAAGTGTAATAATCAATCAAATCAATCATTCTTATTTCCTGCTTCTCTAGTGCAAGTTGTTCCCCACACACCTATCCTTCAAAATATGTGAACTCTTTCTTTTTCAACAGTGTGTTATTATCACCAACTAAATATGTCAGTTTTGAAACAGTCATTATTTGTTTGCTGATCTGTTCTAAAGACACATTTGGACATATTTGCAAAATGGTTTACACAGAAGTGAATTTTTGGCTTTTAGTTACAAGTATGATGACAAGACAGTCATTATTTGTTTGCTGATCTGTTCTAGAGACATTTTTGGACATATTTGCAAAATGGTTTACAGAGAAGTGAATGTTTGGCTTTTAGTTACAAGTATTATGACAAGAACCATGTTTGTTTGTTTGTTTGTTTGTCTGTCTGTTTTTGTTTGTTTGTTTGTTTATTTATACCCCGCCTATCTGGACCACCAGACCACTCTAGGCAGCTTGTTGTGTGTGTATTGTTTGTCCACTTCACAAGGGAGCAGGCCAGGCTTTCTCTGATACACCTATAGGCACACACAAAGGCAGACCCCTTGATTTTCCCACTTAAAGAAACAGCAACTGTAATTTTTTAAAAATATTATATAATCTTATATTCAACGTGTTCCCTTTTTGCAGATATAAGGCTCTTATCTCTTATATCAAACACATTTTGAAAGGAAGCAGTATTCAAACATGGCAAATATGTTTAAATATCTCTTTTTTGTATCTGCTTTGTCTACTTAGATGCACAAATGATTACAGTACTATTAAAAGAAATAAATCTACACATGGATCTTATTTGAAACCAATGTATCAATTATATACCTATACATTTTATATACATTTAATATAGATTTGAAGACTAGAAAAATATTATGGGGGCAGAAGGCAGGCCTAGATGATCTCTGAGTGATCTACAGTAGATTATCAGGAATTTTTGACTCCCAGTTATTCAACAGACTGATTTCGATGTCTCCATAACTCGGACATACTGCTGAGATGAATACCAGGAGCAGATTTGAAGACAGAAGGGCAGTGAGTTTCATTCTTTTTGGGAAGGCAAAACAAAATCCTGAACTCAGAACTCTTTAATTCAAAGTGTTGGCTTTTGCACCTGGTTAGTGGTTCTCAAAGTTCTTTCAAACACAAAGTGGAAGTACAAAATCTTAAGCGGGAAACGTATTCGTCCGTTAAAGGCATATATATATATCAACAGAGCATGGACAGATTTCCGACTCCAGTCCTCTGAAGACGCCGGCCACAGAGACTGGCGAAACGTCAGGAAGAACAACCTTCAGAACACGGCCAAAGAGCCCGAAAAACCCTCAACAACACATATATATGCCTTAGACGAAGGATTTCCTTCATTCAGAGTGGAGGGAAAGCCTCTTCTAAAACAAAGTCTACTTTTATTAAAAAATAACCAGGTCATTCTAAGCAAATTGTCCAACTAATTTCAGGAGAGGGGACACTTTTGTTGTTCTTTATCTCACTTATCTGATCGGTTGAGCAAACACTGCAGTCCCCGTACACACGGCCGAATTATACTGCAGCCATAAAGCCTGATTAAAGGAGGTGATTTTCACAGTTTCAGAGCTGTGATCAAAATTTGCACCAGCATTACAGCAGTCTGAACCATGCCGCTTTCCATATAAGGCGCAAGGCCTATCCTATGCCTGTGCAACGAAGAGGAAACCGGTCGCCCGGGCAAATGTGACAGAGCCTACTTCTAAGTGGAGCGTGCAAGTGGGCTCTGCAGCTCTCCGCTCGGACAGAATTGGCACCTTACCTTTGGGCTCTGGCCTTCAGCTGGCGACCTCAAGCCTGTGGCTAAGAAGAAAAACAGCAAGTCGAGAGCTCTCATCCTCGCGCCTCTCCGCTGAAGACACCTCTCTGCTTATTCCTGGGAAGCTGGAGGATGCTGTTTGGGTGAGACAACGCTGCCGCCTACTAAGAATCAGATCCAAGAAACTCCGATGTTAAATGGAAGCCGGGAAGAAAGCGTTTGCATGCTGTGAATCTCTCATTCCAAAGTATACAAAAGCAGTCCTGCTCTCAGCCTGAATGGTCAGCAGTTCTGTTAAAAGACAATGTGGACAGAGGTGCAAAACTGAGCCTGAGGGGAAAAAAAATAGACCGCTGGGGTGTTGTTGTTGGTGGTGCAAGAGGCGGGGGGGGGGAGAGAGAGTTTACTCAAAACAGGAACATTGACAGATTTCCTCTCTCTCATATCAGTTCAAAACAGAGGGAAGGAAATCCTTTATTTTTCATTGGGATGGGTGGGAGTATTTTAATCACACATTTAACTGTGAGGTAAAGCTGACGAGTGAACGAGAGTTGATATTGATCCAGGTGGTAAATTCATAGGGTATCGTTAAATTCTTTCAGGGCTTTTTTTTCTTTTCTTCCACTGCCACTCTCTGGCAGTTTTATTACCGTTTGGGAGCTACTCGTTGTTCGAAATATAAAGCAGCCAATTATATACCATAACTAAGAAAGTGCTGCCTATAAAGGAGGATTTTTTGTTACTTTAAAAATGTACGGGAACATACCGATTAAAATATTATTAACACAGTCCTCTGCAAAAATACTATATTTTCAAGGCAACTGGATAAATCGCCAGCACACCCATCCCACCCTGCCCAGCACCTGGGGTACCAAAAGGTATTTGACTCTTAGGGTCTGTTTTCAACAGATTTTTGTTGCAAAAAACAATACAAACACACGCAAATAACCCAGCCCTCAACATATATTTGAATTTCTTAGTAGTTGACCTCTCCAGATAGAACATTTCTATTATTCCACTGAACAAGGAAAAAAATGACTGTTTCATTCTTATTTTAGAAGGCAATTACTAAGTAAGAAAATTGTATAACTTTATTTACACTGCACATTCAAAATGGGGGCTTTGGGTGTACATGTTTTTGAACCAGTAGCTCTGCCTTACTGTATGTTATGGTGAAAAATCTTTGGAACTGGAAAAGATTTGAGAAGCATGCTTGTCCCTGTCCCATTGATTAGTTTTGAATTTATTGTAACCAAGTTTCACTCAAATAAGAAAGCCAGCATTTCCTCTTGGTCGTTTTAGACCACAGCTGGGAACCAGTAGCTTTGGCTTTCTGTATTTGCGCAATTAAAACTAGCACACCACCTGCATCCGTTTCTTGAGAGATCTGATCTGGCCACTGTGATTCCACCCTTAGTTACTTCCTAGCTGGATTACTGTCATGCTGTCTATGTGGAGCTGCTGATGGAAAGTGTCAGGAAACATCAGCAGGTCCAAAATGCATCAGCCAAATTGCTGACTGAGGCTGGTTATAAGATTCATGTAACCCACCCGCCCCGTTACAGCAGCTCCTCTGTCTGCTGATCCATTACTGGGCCCAATTTTAAGTGCCGGTTTGAACCTACCTATAAAGCCCTAAATGACCTGGGTCCAAGATCTCTCAAGGACCGAATCTCCCATTATGAGCTGGTTTGAGTGTTAAGATCAGGAGAGGCCTTTCTCTTGGCCCTGCCATCTTCACAGGTGCGTCTGATGGGGACACAGGAGAGAGCCTTCTCTGTTGCTGCTCTAAGACTTTGGAACTCCCCGCACAGGAGGCCAGGCTGGCCCCATCTTTGCTGCCCTTCTGCAAGCAGGCGAAGACCTTTTGTTTTCAGGCAAGCCTTCCCCTAGTAACCAGCTACCTGTATGTGATTTTTAAATAGATTGTTTTGCATTACTGCTTTGACTGGATTGTTTTGTGTTTTCCATTTTTTTCCTTATTTTATGAAAAAGTATAAACCAGCTATTTAAACATGATAAACAATACAAACAAGAAAGAAAACATAGGAAGCTGAGGTACATACGTGGAAAACTTATAGCCCCTGTATTACCACAGCTCTCCACAGCTCTGTGAGAGATATAGGAGGAGAATACACATTGTCACCAGAATTAATATGCTGAATGAATGGGAACCGGCATTGAGGAAAAGTCATTAGATTGGGAAGGGGGCAGCATATATACTGTTGATCCATTTTCAGTTAAGGACTATTATCAAACTTGTTGAAAGAAAAAAATTATGGATATCATTTTCTTTCCACCATTTAGATGTTACTTGTTTGTTAAAATAACAGCTTCAATGGTGTAAAGCAGTGCTTACCAACCTTGAGTCCCCAGATGTTCTTGGACTATAATTCCCAGAAATCCTGGCCAGCACAGCTAGTGGTGAAAGCTTCTGGGACTTTTAGTTCAAGAACGCCTGGGGACTCAAGGTTGGGAACCATTGATTTCAAGCACTTTTTCTTTATTCTTCATGAAACTGGTTTAAACTTCGAGTTCAATGAAAGCTGAGCTACTAATATAAAGATCTTTCCAAGAAAAAAATCTCAAAGGCATTGTTAAGCTGCTCTGAAATGACTGGGAAGAAATAAATCACCAGGGATAGATGGAATACTGATAGAATACTCAAGCCACAGAGACAAAAATCTGTCAAACCCTAATGCGAATATGCCAGCAAATATTGAAGACAAAGCAATGGCCCACAGACTGGAATCATTCAACATACATTCCAGTTTCCCAGAAAGGAGATGCCAAGGAGTGCAGTAACTATAGGAACATTGCACTAATTTCAAATGCAAGCAAGATAATTATCAAGGTGTTGCAACAAAACCCTATATGGAGAAATGCCTGATGTTCAAGCTGGATTCTGAAAAGGAAGAGGCACTCGAGATCATGTTGCAAATATCTGTTGGCTACTGTAGAGCACCAGAGAATTTCAGAGGAAGATTAGTCTATGCTTTATTGACTACAGCAAAGCCTTTGCTATGTGGATCAGGAGAAACTATGCGTTATTTTTTATAAAATGGGTGTGCCTCGGTACTTGATTGTCCTGATGTGTAATCTGTATTGTGGCCATGTCTCACTATGAAGACAGAATATGGAGGAGACAAAATTGTTTCTTATAGGGAAAGGTGTCAGACAAGGGTGCATTTTCTCTTCCTGTCTCTTAAATCTGTATGCAGAACATATAATATAGAAAGTTAAACTTGCAAATGATACTATCTTACTTGCAGAAAGCAGCAATGACTTATGACTTCTGATGAAAGTGAAAGAAGAAAGTGCCAAAGAAGGATTGCTGTTGAACATTTAAAAAATATCATGACTACAGAAGAACTATGCATTTTAATGTTGACAATCAAGAAATTGAAATTATTAGATTTACTATACTTTGATTCAATCATCAATCCAAATGGAGACTGCTGTCAAGAAATCAAAAGACTGAGATTCGAAGGCAGCAATTAAAGAATTAAAAAGATAATGAAGTGTAAGGGATGTGTCATTAGAGAACCAGACCAAGATTATCCACATGATTGTGTGCTCAGTTACTATGTACAAATGTGAAAGCTGGATAGTGAAGAGTTGACAGGAAATATGGTGCTTTGTGGATGGTCTGTACTGCAACAAAAATGAGCAAGTGGAATTAGGCATCCTTCAGTCTCGAGAGACTATGGTAACGTGCTCTGAATAGAGGACTTGGAACAGCGTCTAGTGTGGCTGACAAGGCCGATTTGAGAGTGACAATCCCTTCCACACTGAAGGCAAATATAATGTGTCCCCTGTCCAGCTCCCTGATTTGGCTGGTTTCGGGACTGCCTCTTTGCCTTGGCCTGTAAATCAAGTGTGAACATTATCTGGAAGTAAAAAGGATGAAACTGAGGCTGTCATACTTTAGGCCCCCAAAGGCTGCCCCAGGACAATGGGAATCCCCAGGGATACCTGAAACCTGGGGAAGATTCCAGGAAGCTTTTATTGCCCTGATATCCTGCTTGTTGCATGGCATAAGGTTGCAAACTGGATTTCAAACATTGTCATTTCTGCCTTTATATGCTGTGATTTAACTTATTCACTAGTTTCCAAAATACCCCAGACAGCATGGCTCACTACTAAAAACATTTGCTGCATCCTATCTATAAAATTATGGCAAAGTCAAAACGTGAATTTCTAGCTCTTTAAACACATTTTATTACAAATATTATTACTCGTATTTCATATTCCTTTGTCTTTATGCGCAATAATAGATTTGGCTACATTAATATTAAGCCCAGAGACTGCTCCAAAATAAGGTAGCAACGTGATCAGAATGGACTGAAGAGACTATTACAATGAGTTGAGTCATTTCTGATCAGGATAGTTTTGATGATGTTTCATGCTGTGTTAGTGTGTTCCCTCCAGCGGGCCACATTAATTGCAAACAGAGACCCACAGGCCGAACGTTGGTAGGTTTCATTGGCACTGTCATGGAGCACGAACAAGAAACTTTCACCAGTTTTAAGTCATCTGTCCCATTTTCTATACTCCTCCTCTTGTTAAGAGCACATAAGGGCCATTAGTCATGGACTTCCCAAGATGGAGCAGCTCTTTTGAGCACAAAGCTCTCTTCTCAGAAGCTTCAGATGTACATATCTCTCCAACCTTTGAGGTCGCATGACAATCCCCAGCTGATGGGGATGCAGGGCTTAGGGAATGTTCATTTGGGTGACCTGATGATGACCCTAGAAATGACATGTCCATTTTCTGCAGTGCCCTCTTTGCCTGCCGATGTGGCCTGGCTTAGATCTAGCAACATATCCTTCAATTTTTTACAACTTTACCCCAGTGATTTTACTGTATATGTTTCAAAATACAACCAGTGACAGCAACACAACTGTGTCAAATTTCAGTTTATTTGTATTGAGAAAGATGGCAAAAGAAATGGTGCTCTGAACTACACGTGTCTCATCATTTGCTGGCAGCAGGCAATTAGCAGTCCTGGCTGAATTTTAGGCCTAGAATAGTTAAATAAAACTAATAACTATGCAAATATTCAAAGTGTCCATAAGATGTAAAAGCAGCTTTCAATTATGGGTCAATTTTGCTCTCATGTTCATGATTAGCAAACAAAATTAAATTTGACACGTCATAAAAGGCAAAATGTAAAATTATCAGGACGGTCATTAAATTATCATTAGCAGCTTCGGCAATAAAATATATCTTGTACAAAGAACATTGCACTTTGACAAAGCACAAGCAGCAGCTTTTGTTACCATTATTTACACAGTGTCTGTATAACATAGCAAGACCAATAAATATATACAAAACCACAGTACAAACATAACAGCCCTCAGTGAAAGAATGCCAAGTGTTGACTCCTTTGTTCCATACAGTCACCTGGGATGCTTAATTAGGAGTCCTGGAAATGTGCCATTACATAAAAATAAAGTTTAGAAAATATCAGTTCAACAGTTTAGCTGAGTATGTTGTATTATTTAAAAACTCTCCACTGCACAAGGAATGGTAATGGTAACACACAGGTAAGCTTCAACACCATGTTATCTTGCTGCTGAGAGAATGTCGAACCCTATTTAATTCAGTCAATACTGTGCTTTAATTCATAATCTTCTGCTTGATCCCTTAGTATGGCAATGTCTAAAATATTTATTTGAGAATACAATGCAATAGCTGTGCTACCCAGTGAGTTCCAAAGGTAGTTCTCGACCACATAAGATCTCCCACTGCCTAGCAAGCAGAGAGATTAGTTTCTCACGGCTTTCTGGACTTGGGATAAAGACACACCACAAGACCTCCCGGCTGCTGTTGCCCTCCTGGGTAACCTGCCCTTTGGGGAAGCTGAGAACGTTGCCAAAGTGGTCTAGGGTGAGGTTTTGCATGAGGTCTTGATTCTGAATATCATCAAAGACAAATGTGAGCGCCTGAGGATATGTCTGATAGCCCATGAGCACTCGATCTAAATCACGGATCCTTCTTCCGTCTGTTAGCTGGTATTTGTCTTTCTTTGGTGGTTCCTTAGCAAATTCTGGAAGTGGATAGCTGATGTAATCCTCATTGAACAGGAACAAATCTGAGCTGGTTAAGATCAATGTTTTAGGTTGAAGTGACCTATTGGATTGAGCAGTCCCTTCTGCAGCAGTCACTTGAAAAGCCAACACATAAAGGAGTATATTTAGAGACTGGAAGTTAACCACACTGTCCATCTTCTCTGCTACGAGATAAGCAAGGTCCCCAATTTCTTCTTCATTGGGATAGATAAACTTCACTCTGCTAGAGTGAATCAGTTCATAATTTTCCATTTTTCCTGCAAACATAAATATATAGGACTTACACTTTGCACTTGTGTTTAAATGTTTTCCACAGCAAAACAACTAAAGAAATCAGGTGTAGGCATACATATGCTTACCTGAAAGGTTAAAAGCAAGATTTCAAATTAAAATGTGATGTGATCAAAGCCTCTGCCAAAGGCCAGAACAGACAGTGCACAAAATTTGACCTTTAAACCAGAGGCAGGTGATACTTTGGCTTTTTCTTTAAAATTTAATGTTTTATTTATTTCAGCAACTCACTCATCAAACACCAATTTAATTCATCCTTGCTCAACTTCATGCATAGAGGACAGTGCAAACATTTCTGTTCAATACAGCTTGCAATAGTCTTTAATTTACTCAACTCTTTGGGGATGCTTTTTAAAAATGGGTATTTATTATGAGCTATTTTAACACTTAATCTGCATACTACCTTAGGCGATGCAGCATACAAGGAAATTTGTAAATATTTAAATAAATAAATGAAATTTGGGAAGTACATCAGGTTTATAGACAATATCTGACCCAAAGGTGATCTAATTGTCTTCATTTGAACTTTTGAATTAGGTTCTCCCCAGGCCATGTCAGATATAATAACTTATACACCATATTTGTTCACACAAACTATTACCATACTGAAAATGTTATTATTTTTGGAAGAACTTAACTGCTGACTTTAAAAAGGATGACTGGCCAGACTTTTCAACTTCCTGTTTCATTTACCCAGAAAAAGATGAAAAAATGCCAGTGTTACTACAATTCGTATTTCTTGTGGCATGATTTACATCTAACTTCCACCTTTCTTCTGGTAGCCCAGAAACAAAATGCAGGGCCATCTGAAATCACACGGTGTGGAGGTGATGGTATTGTAATACTTCATGCTGCAGATAGAGGGAATTTCACCCAAAATATGCTTGGTATACAGAAAAGCAATTTATTAGAAGGTTAGTCTAGAAGTCTTCCAATTTCGTCCATAACTCTTTCCACATAGAGTGGTACCTCGACTTATGAACTTAATCCATTTTGGAATGACGTTCGTACATCGAAAAGTTCGTAAGTTGAAGTACCATTTCCAATTGAAATGCATGGGGAATTAATCCGTTCCAGCATTTCAAAAGGCAAGCCTTTCTCCCTGCCTTTTTGCCTTCGGAGCTCTCAAAGGGCTTTCCGCCCGATATCGGAGGAAGCCCTTTGAGAGCTCTGAAGGTGCCGATCATGGCGGCAGGGACCCGCAGGGAGGTCTCCCATGGTGGCAGGCAAGCCCTGGGAGACCTCCCTGGGGGTCCCCACCACCGCAATCGGCACCTTTGGAGCAATCAAATGGTTTTCCCCCCGACATCGGAGCAAGCCCTTTGAGAGCTCTGAAGCCAAAAAGGCAGGGAGAAAGGGTGGGAAATTCGAATTTCCAGCCCTTTCTCCCTGCCTTTTTGCAGGGAGCCATTTACGAACGGCTTCGTTGGCAAAAAATGGCACTGACTTGTGAAGGGAGTCTCGACCTCATTCGTAGGTCGAGCTCCGTTCGCAAGTCGATGCCATTTTTTGCCAACGAAGCCGTTCGTAAATCAAAAAGTTCGTATCTAGGGATGTTTGTAAGTCAAGGGTTGACTGTACAGACAGCTGAGGCAGCTCGCCTCCATTTCTTTATTTCTTCTCCATTCTGACTTTCTTTCCAGTACAGAGTAGGTGGCGGAAGCAGAAGTGGAGGGGAGGGGAGAATCCGAGGCACGGAGGTGCCTCCAGATCCCACTCTGGATCTGCCACCAGTTGAGCCCAACCACACCATTGTTTATAGCTCGGCCGTTAGGAACATGGCCAGCCTGCCACAGCCAGTGCCAGCTGCTCTGGATCCTGGCCTGCCACCTGTTGGGACACTAGTACCGCAGCTGCAGCTGCCTCCTCAGGTTTGGCTGCCGGGAGTAGCGATCTGGCGACTTATGGTTCACATGCCCACAGAGAAGACTCTGCGTGTCAACTGTGGCATGCATGCCAGAGGTCCGCCATTGCTGGCCTACACACTCTCCTCAGCACCAGCTTACGTCATTTGCATAAGGCTTGTAACTGTCTCTGCAAACAGAGACAAGCTATCATCAGTTTCACTCGTGACTGCAGGCAGACATATGGTGTGAGGCAGTTTCATATCACGCGGTTTTCTCCTCAGCTTACTTCTTTGTAAAAGATGACCCTCAATTTTTACTCTTAGAGATTTTAGGAAAAAGTATAGTCTTTTACACGGAAAAATACGATAAATATCCAGAATTTGTGGGAGCGGGCCAGAATTGTTATTAACAATAGCACCTATAAATCAAATTCATAATATTTGCATTGATACTAATAATACATTAATTGGTCCCAATATGTAAAAAAATATTTTTTTACTCATTTTACCTGTATTTTTCTTTCCAAATTCAGAATAGAAGTCCTTATCAACTGGTTCTGGTGAAGGTGTTCTTGCCAGTAGTGACAGCACTGCCATAAGGTGCTGGATAAAGGCATGAGTACTGTAACTATCTCTGGTTAGGCAAGTTAATATATGTTCTGCTGAACGACCTGAAAAGGAGACAGTGAGAAGGACCTTGGAGGCATTGTAGATCACAAGCTGAATATGAGCCAACAATGTGATGTGGCTACAAAAAAGGCAAATGCTATTTTGGGCTGCATTAATGAAGTACAGTCTTCAAATCCCACGAGGCACTGGTTAAGCCTCATCTTGAGTACTGTGTCCAGTTCTGGACGCTGCACTTCAAGGATGCCAACAAATTGGAACAAGTTCAGAGGAGGGCAACAAGGATGATCAGGGGGCTGGAAACCAAGCCCTATAAGGAAAGACTAAAAGAATTGGGCATGTTTAGCCTTGAGAAAAGAAGACTGAGGAGAGATATGATAGCACTTTTCAACTATCTGAAAGGCTGTCACACAGAAGAGGGGCAGGATCAGTTCTCAATCACCACTGAGACACACAACAATGGGCTGAAATTACAGGAAGCCAGATTTTAGTTGAATATCAGGAAAAACTTCCTACTGTATTTTTCGCTCCATAAGACACACCTCTCCTTAAGATGCACCAAATTTTTAGGAGAAGAAAACAGGAAAAATAATCTGTTTTCTTCTCCTAAAAATTGGTGAGCCTTATGGAGAGGTCCATCTTATGGAACACACCCTAGGACCCTTTAGAGACTCACCCTGCCCCCCCAGGGGTCAGAGGGGGCGAAATCACCAGCTTCTGGGACTCTTCTGAAGCTTGCCAAGCCTCAAAAGACTCCCAGAACCTGGCGATTTCGCCCGCGCTGGCCCCGTGGGGGGTGGGGGGAGCGTCACAAGGGTCCTGGAAGGCTCACCCGGACCCTTGCAACACTCCCCCCCACGGGGCCAGCGGGGACAAAATTGCTGCCTTCGCTCCATAAGACGCACAGACTCCCCCCCCACATTTTGTGGGGGGAAGTGCGTCTTATGGAGCAAAAAATACGGTAACTGTTAGAGCAGTATGGTAATGGAACCAATTACCTTGAGAGGTGGTGAGTGCTCTAACACTGGAGGCATTCAAGAGAAATTTAGACAACTACCTGGCAGACCTTCTTTGACTTGTTGTCCTGCACTGAGCAGAGGGGTTGGACATGATAGCCTTATAGGCCCCTTCCAACTTAATGATTCTGTGATTCTATACATAATGAGAATATTTTGATAAAGAAAAAAGAACTGGCAAGAAATGTATAGTACAAAATGTTACTAAGGACCAAAACCAATATTTATTCTATTTAAAGCAGAGGAAAGGTAATGAATAGTCTTGTTTGTCACAACTCCCAAGTTTTACTGGTTGAAATCCAGTAGTAAGTTACAACTACAGTGGTGCCTCGCTTGACGAGGATAATCCGTTCCAGCGAAATCGCTGTAGAGCGAAATCGTCGTGAAGCGAGGAAAAAACCCATTGAAATGGAAGGAAAACCGGTTCAATGCGTTCCAATGGGTGAAAAACCTCAGCGTCCAGCAAATTTCCTCCATAGGGCGGCCATTTTCTGATCCCTGTTAAGCAAAAAATCCATCCTAGAAACAGCAGGGAGACATTTTGCACAGCGGGCGGCCATTTTGAAACCCGACGATCAGCTGTTTTTAGATCGTCGTAATGCGAAGAATCGGTTCCCGAAGCAGGGAACCGATCATCGTCAAATGGAAATCGCCCTTCGAAACATCGTTTTGCGATCGCAATAGCGATCGCAAAAACATTGTCGTGAAGCAATTTTGTCATTTAATGAGGTAATCGTAAAGCGGGGCACCACTGTACATTAGTTTGATTGAATCAGTGTGGATTTGGTCAGCCAACATGAATGCAAGTTCCATTGATACAGTGGGCCTACTCTAGTTTCAACTTATTACTTCATGTAATCCATTGATTCATGAGTTTATTCTAGGAAGAAGAAACACTGGATTTAGTTCTATAACCAAACCAGAATTGAATTTCATTGTTTTATTTCTACTCAATACTTCTCAACTTGCTGGGCAGATTTCTTATCTCAAATGTACCTGGACTTCAGAATTTCAAAGCAGTATTTTATTAATTTCTAGTTGGTATTATTTGTGTGCTTTTGTCATTGTTTATAAGTAGGTCGCAAAACATAAAAACAAACAAAAATAGAAGACACAATATTATGACTATAGTCATAATATTACAGGAAGTCATATAGTAAAAACAGTTTAAGCCCAAGAATCTAGAGATGTACTGGGAAGAAATTTCCATCACTCTTAAGTAGAAATTCTATGCAGATGCATCATGCATTTCAAACTATGCTGGTGGGGGCTGCGGATTGGAACAGTTATATCAGTAACTATGCTTAACAACTGTCATGCATACAGTATATGTTTTGTTAATAAATAGGTGTGGCTATCAGGCTGAACATGGATTAGAGCAGTGGTTCTCAAACTTGTATTCCCAAATATTCTTGGACTACAGCTATCAGAAATCCTGGCCAGCACAGCAAGTGGTGAAGGCTTCTGGGAACTGCAGTCCAAGAAGATCTGGGGACCCCAGTTTGAGAACCGCTAGATTGGAGGATATTAGATACAGAAACATAATTCCAATGCTAAATAAAAATATTTATAAAACACTATCTAGGTGATATCAGCAAAAAAGAAGAAAAAGAAAGCAAGCATTATCCAACATCTGATGTTAAGAGGGACTGGAGATAGTAACACCTGTTCACTCACCAGCAAGTCGAAAATACTGATCAAAAAGTCCAATATTTACTGAGTGCAGATCATTTAATTTTAGAACCAAGCAGGAAGAGAGGTGAAAAGAAGTCAGTTCATAGTCCAAGACACCATCGTTCCAAAAACCTATTGAATGGAGAATATACAAAATTCATATACAATATTTTTCTTCAACAAACCAATCTGAGGCTTTGTTTCAACTCTCCAAAGAATCACTATTCACCATCATTTTCTATACAAGTAACTTTAACTGAAAGAAACTCCTACTAATGACTCCCCAAATGTAGATTTCTAGGTGTAACATGGTTCAGTACTTGATGGATGGATGCATCTGCAATGGGAGAGATGGCAGACAAAGAGGAAAACATAACCTCCTTCCAACACTCCATTTCACTTTTTCCTAATTTATTCCTGCCCTTGACAGCCAGCTGGGATGGAAGAGGGAATGAATCCATAGTGTCTTGGGGAAACACCATTTTAAAACAAATTCTAAAACCCCTCAAAACATACAACCTTTTTATCTCTTCTGCACCCACTAACATTTTTTGCACTCCCATGAAAATCACAGTGTAGAGAGCTTTGTGGAGGGGCCCTTCATGGATACTATCAAGGGAGGCAAGGGTGCAGACAAAGGGGCAGGAGAAGCTCCAGCCCTTCTGTTCTGATTATAAACACCTTTACCAAATCCTCCTTGCAAACGTTATTAGAAGCCAAGAATCCACTCTATTCCGTCTTACCTAACTGGTTCTCATTAAAATGAGTCATGGAATCATCCAACAGGAAGTAAATAGCTTTAGTTGAAAGTAGAACACAAGCAGTCACTTCCATATCAGGAGCTTTATAAAATAGAACAGATGACCACATGAGATGTCTCAGCTCCTCGTTTTCCACCTACAATATTGAAATGCAATTAGTCTATAATTTTAAGCACCATCTTGGATGCAGTTTCTCCCTCCCATTCACCTGCATCCCTGTCCCCTGAAGCTATAGTCTCCACATGCCAATTTCTTACATAAGATAGGAGGGTTCCTATTTTTACGCTTCAGTGAACCTCAGTGTCACATCTATGTATCATCAGAATAATTATGAAGAATATACAACTGCTGAGAGCTCTTTTTAGCTCTTGGGAATATCATATGTTTATTCTCAGCAGTGACATTTTTGCTGTTGCCTAACTAGTTCTTTTAAATTCTGGCTTATAAAAATCAATCTAATGAAACATCAATGACAGTAAAATCAGCAATTATGAAGATGATCTCCAGTCCACCAGTAAAACTTGTAAGATGGCATTAAAAGAGAAAAATATATTTTGAACCTAACTTGCCTATGAAAATTCATGCCAGATTAATTTTTTTAACCTTCAAAATACCGTCTTGTGACTTTTGCTGCCAAAAAAATGAACATGGCTACTTTTCAGAAATGTCTTTTACTTTGTACTATAACATACCTCAGCAATGCTTCTGTGGAAGAACTCCATAATGGATTTTCCCCTTAGCCCAGCCACATCCTGGAGAGTTGAAGAGACTGGAAGGTGCACAGGTATCTGGTTCTCCTCTGTAATTTTTTGCATCAGAAATTCAGACGGATACAGAGATGAGAAAGGCAAATGAGGCTTGCAAAGGCTAGAAAAGAGACAAGTGTACATAGTCAGAAGCAAACACAAGTGAAACACAAGTGCAAGTCTCACAACAAATAGGCAGCATCCACCTTTCATCAGAATGTGGTTAACTCACTTTTGTAGGACAGCCTGACTTTACATATGTCTGTGGAAGAATTACGTCATCCTAAGTCTCATGACTCGTAAGTTCTCCCCCAAAACTAAGCTTTCCTTGTAACACTGCACAGCATGTCGTAAGCCACAAGGGTCAAAGACATAAAGCTGGAAACAGATAAACAATCTACTAGTTGCTCCATTCTCAGTTCACCAAAAGTCCCCATCACCAACAACAATCACTCAGTATCACTGGATATTTGGACAACTTTGCTTCAAAATGTATATCCTCACCTTGCTTTTTGCCCATGCCTTTTGGAGTCAATGAGAGAATTTCTTATTGGCTCTGCTCTGCTGGAAGCTTTGAAAATAATGATCGTTTTGATGTCTTGCAGAAGTGTCCTCAAAAGATTATAGACCCGTAGAAAATGGAATTTCTCATGAGGTAGGACAAAGACTGCTGTGACAAACCTATAGCCAATGAGCAACTGAAGCACATGCCCATCTGAAAATGAACCTTCTTGTGGTAGAGAATGACAGGCAGGGTGCAAAAGAACTGAAGCCAGTGGAATCCTGCTCAGCTTAAATATGCTCCTTGCGTTCTCAGCATCTATATGTTTTCCTGGTAGTACGTTAAAATCAACTTGAACGATATGTAGGTGCTGGGGTGTTAGAAATATCCAACATGGATGAAACATACATTGATTTTCCCCCGACTTATGAAATGCTGAATAAAGTGCAGAGCAACCAACATGTTTAGAACATGGTGTGCTACCACTGGCCAGGTCCAGCTGACATGTAACTTTGTTAGCATCAGTTTTGTTATGGCAGAAAAGATAGACAGGAAAGCACCCTTTTATCTCTGTATTTTCAGATGAAATGTGGTAAAATCCCATCAGCTGGTAAACAAATTCTTGCAAACTTGCTTTGCCACAGTACAACATAGAACTTGCTAAAGCAGGCCTGCAGCATTGAGGGCAAGACCTATGTAAACAGGAATAGAAATCCTGTAGATTCTGAGAGTCTGAGACAACAAACAAGCAGGTGTCACCATTATTCACTCTTAGGGTCAAACAGATTTCTGGTATCAAGAAGCCAAATTCTGTAAGGTCAGAATATGGAAAGCACAGTGCTAGCTTCAAGGCAGAAAGAATATGCTGGCAGTTTCCTTTGGAATCATGAGGAATTTCAAACACAGCTACCACACTGCTGGCCAGAACCAAACAAGAAGCAAACTGCCGGAGTCCTTTATGAGCCTGGATACAAAAACTCCACAGGACTTTGACTATATCATCTTGTTCTGTTTTTGTGCTATTGGAAGCTATTGGTACAATGTCCAACCCAGGGGTGAACTCAAACACGTGGTCCCCTTCATGAAGTCCCATTTCAAAATAGCCGTCTTCTGTATCTGCAACTCGGGAGTCGCTCACAAAGTTTACAGTATTTTGAGTCTCTGTTGAAAACGGGGGTGCACTTTCCATAGCTTCTGAAATCAATGCAGAGAGATGCTGCAGAAACTCCTGATTTGTGGCAGTGTATGAGATACAAGTGAAAGGCAGGATAACAGTGTTAAGGTGGTTACGCAAGGCATCAGGTTCTACATCTGAATGGTCCAGGCTTCAAAAACAAAGAAAAAAGGAAACTACATTAATCCAATTTAAAAACCATGATCCCTAATTTATAATCTCATTCTGATGTCAAATAGAATACTTAGGGAGGTGACAGCATATGTGATAAAACACTTCACCTGTTTTATAGGGTGGCAAGCCCTCGATCTAAATCCAGCACAGAAGGAAGACATGTTTAAACTCATGGGATTCATTCAGAGGTTCATGTCAGTTACGTGTGTTTCCTCCTCTAGCAGCCACCCACTCAAGAGGCAAGAGAGGGAGGAGTCGGGACAGGGAATCCAGGGCAGTGGGGCCATAAGTGGAACTGGCACGAACCAGCAGTCTGTGCCGATCTCTACTTATAAAGTGGGTATCAAAATTTCAAAAACAAAATTAAAAAAGTCTTACCCCATTTGATGGGCATTTTCATGTTCCTTAGACATGTCCAATAGTGAAGCAGGTACCTTAAAAGAGGAGTGTCAGTGATAAGTCACACCAGGGTCGATCCTTTACAGTGATATATATACAGTGGTCTTAAAGTGATATATAATGGTCAAGGGCAAAGTCCAATTGCGAAAGACTGCTCAGGCTACAGCTACCACACAGAGGCAGGGAAGGAAATGCTTATGCTCCTGCCCTTACATGATCATTTCAGAAAACAGGTTTTTGATCTATATGCTTAATAAGCACCACTTGGTTATCCAGAATTAGTCAATGCTTGTCCTGAATTATAATCCTTGGCTTCTGTGTTTTGGTTCTTCCTTTGGTACACAACTGTTAGGAGATGCCTACTTGATTTTTCTATACCATATTTTTTCAATTTTTCCTATCATTATCATTATTATTATTATTATTGAGTTAGGGACAAGGGATATGGGATTAAACAGGGGTTATAAATCAACATGAACATTTTACAATATTCATTCTTATCTATTACTGGTACATTTCAAAGATACATATGTTTCCAGTGTAGCTAACTTATAATATATATTCTTAATCTAAATTGATTTTAGGCTTTTCTTAGGCTTTCAATTATCAAATATTAATTTACATTTTATTTCTAAGCCAATCATAAAATTCATGCCAACAATCTTCATGATTTGTCTTTCTTGTTGAGTCTAACCATTATGATAGTTTATCCATTTCCGCTGTATCCAGGATTTTTGCTATTAACTCATCTTGAGATGGATTCTCCAGGTATTTCCAATGTTAAGCAAAAAGAATTCTTGCAGCTGTCAAGATATGTATAACTATATATATTTCCATTAGGTCTATTGAATCTGGGATTATATTTAAAAGAAAAAATTCAGGAGTTACAGTTATCGAAATCTTTAAAACCTCATGCAAAAACATTTCAACCCCTTTCCAGTACTGTATTTTTGGGCTTTCCCACATGACCACCACATATGACACAAAGAACCTTCTTTTTGTTTACATCTCCAGCAGAGATTTGAAATTTTAACATCCATTTCGGCTAGTTTTTTGGGAGTTATATACCATCTATAAAACATTTTATATATTTTGTCTTTAAAAGGTACTTGACTTAGTAAGTTTTACATTATTTTTCCATATTTGTTTCCACTGATCCAAATTTATATTGTGCCCAATATTCTGTGCCCACCTTATCATACATTCTTTGACCATCTCCTCCTGGGTATCAAAATCTAATAAAAATTACACAATGCTTTAATATTCTTTAAAGCATTAAAGCACAATTTTTTGCTATCTAGTGACCATGTTTGGACATAATTATAAGTCAGGAAATCATGGCTTACTGAGTATTAACAGCATTAGCTAAGCTACATGATGTACACGCCTGATAGCAATTGGAGCTCTGCTTCTTTCCCAGTAACTTAAAAAAAGAACCAGGGTTTATTACATGGTTTCTTTTTCTGAATATAAGAAGGAATTATCAGAAAGTGGGACAGCTAGGGACTAAGACAGGGTCGCCATGGCTCCCCCTGTGTTCCTCACTGTGTCTGAATGTAGCCAGTAAGCTCAATAGAATCCTGGAATCCCTAGGGCTTGGATGTAACAAAAGCATTTGCTTTTTTATTAACATGGTATAGCTTCCACACATCAACCTTGCATCTGTTTCCCCTCTAAAATATGGTGAAAAATTCAGCACAGTAAGAAAATCAGTCAGCAAAGGTAGAGCTGTTTTAATTTCCTCCCCTCACTCACATTACTGTTCAGAAACCACATTCTCCTTTTTACAGGTTTCACCTTCTGGTGGATGATTGACATGGGTATGAACTGAGCCACTCATGATATTGAAAGTATTGTCACAATCTATGCTAAAAGATCTATGTTGAAAGATACCATTACCTGATTCCTGCTTTTTAGATCTGAAATTTCAGAGCATCTTTGGGTAACTGTATGGCTTTTAGGAGTCAAACTACTTGATGAGACATTGCTTGCTAGGGCTGTTTTTCTACAAGTTATTTCTGGAACAGATAGAAAAAGAGTTTGAACAGCACTGATGTAAAGCCAGGCCGACACAATCGGAGACAGAATTACATTTCACACAAGGGGAAATGGAAGGAATATGAAGGATGCAGCAGAATCCTAGATGCTTCCCTAATTAATACTGACAGAGGTGTGGCCTGTATCTGGTGCACAGATCCACATCTTTCACTGAAGCAAATCGAGAAATGGAAACAGGTAAAGGCTGTTTGGAGATCACTCATTCATAGAGTTGCCATAAGTTGGAGGTGACTTGATGGCACATAACAACAAGAAAGGCTGGACATGTGGACAAGTGGATCATGTGACAGGTCTAGATTGGAGTACAGATGCTTTCAAATTCACACTTTCGAAGAAATTCATAACAGTCAGTACTAATTAGAGAAGCATGCAGTTTCATATTCCTTCCATTTACCCCTGATACCATCAGCAGTTGTCCCATAGATGGACAGCTATACTCTTAAGGGATGCAAGTGGAGAAATGTGCTCATGGGATAATTCATACGCCTAATAAAGTACATAAGAGATTGTCAGAATGTTCCTAGGGGGTGGGGAACAGAATTCTTTGACAGAACCAATAATCCCTTCCCAAACACCAGTGGGTTGTACTGGCGGCGGCTGAAGGAAGTGGGCATAGTGGTGGCTCCCACTCTGTTTTACCCTTTCACTGCTTTCAAAAGGGAGGGGGGTTGTTGTATCAGTTTCAAAACTGATATTGGTTTTTCTTTCTTTCTCTTTGAACCTATGCCAGGGGGATGAGAGGGCCAGATTTCAGTGGAACTTGGTAGGTTGGGAAAGCAGATTTAACAACACAAGCCTGTGAATTTCTCAGAAAGTAAATCCTAATCCTAATGTACCAGTAAGAGTAACACCCTGGGAGATATATTTGGAATTGCTCTCTGAAATAATATGCATTTCTGAAAATACAGTTGACCTTAAACAATTGTTTTAGATTTGTTGTTGATGTACAACCAAAATACATATTCAGCTTTTTAAATGTTTAAAAATGTATTTTATATGACACACTGGCAATTTGTTCTACATAAGAAGTTTGTGTTGTCTCTATAGTGTTGGGTATGAAGCAAACTTACTATCTGTCAAATTTTGGCAAGCAATGTAAAGTAACAACTGAGGAAGTGGAAGCATTATTTGTACTTTTCTGTTTCCCATAAAAAGGTGCCTCGCTTAACGAGCGCACCATTTAACGACAAATCCGCATAGCGACGCGTTTTTTGCAATCGCATTGTGATGTTTTAATAGGCAAAACATCACATTGTGATGATCGGTAAGCGTTTCTCTTACCGATCTTCGCATTGCGATGTTTTGGGAACAGCTGATTGGCGGTTCCAAAATGGCCGCCCGCAGCGTTTTCGCGCCCTGCCCTCGCTTACCGGGCAGCAAAAATGGTGGCCGGATGGAGGATTCCCCACATAGCAGTGAGTTTTTCCCCAATAGGAACGCATTAAACAGAGTTTAATGCGTTCCTATGGGGTTCCCCCCATAGGATTAACGTCGCTATGCGGGACACCACTGTATCTAAATCTTGGGTTTCTTAATTTTAAACTAATGTCCAACGACAATGCCTATGATTAATATTTTATGGAAACAGATGATGCCATTAAAAAACCCCAGCTGTTTCTGCTTCAACCCCTGAATGTCTAGTAAAAACAAACATGTCTATTTCATAAATTTACAAAAGTATTTTATTTTTTAAAAGCATACAGTGGACCCTCGACCTACGAAGAATGGCCCCACTTACGGACAGCTCCAGCCGCAAAATTTTGGATCGACTTGCTGCCGGAGCTTTGACGTACGGACGAAAAAGGCAGGGAAAAAGGCCGGAAAATTCAAACCATTGGTGGCAAAGAGGCTGCTTCTTTAGCTTTTTTGACCCAACAGTTTGGAAAAGGGAGGCTCAGCCTCCCGGGCTTCCAGCGCCATTGGGGCAGCCCTTCGGGAGAAGCTGCGCAGTGGGGGAGAAAGGCCGAATTGGCTCCTGCCTTTCTTCCCCGGCGCCCAGCTTCTCCTGAAGGGCTGCGCCCGATGGCAATTTCAGCAGCGGCGGCCAGAGCCCTGGCCCGGCAGCACAGGTTAGAGCCCGGGAGGCCTCCTGGCAGTGGTAATCGCGGTGGTGCAGGTAAGGTGCTGCTTTTTGCTTTTTTAAAACTTTTTTTTGGTCTTTTGCAGGGTGGGATTGGGCTGGTGGGGTTATGTTTGTGTTTGTTTTGTTTTTTGCAGCCCCAGGGGCTTTTCAGTGTTGTATTTTTATTTTTTGGGGGGTACTTTTTTTCTTGGGCCAGAATGGATTAATGGGTTTTCACTGCATTCCTATGGGAAATGCATATTCTACCTACGGACTTTTCGACCTGCGGCCACCCTTCCAATACAGATTAAGTCCATAGGTCGCGGGCCCACTGTATTTTAATAATTTTTTAATATATTATCCTCTGTGTTTGTTTGCTTATTTCATTATTATACCACCCATCCAGCCGAAGATCACTCTGGATGGTTTACAACATATAAACCACATGACCAAAATACAATCAACAGAACAAAGAATAAAAATAATAAAATGTGAACAAATACTACTATCAAAGCATAAAAACACATTAACATAAACCATTCAAAACATAAAAACATTTAATAACGTTATTAACCATATATGCAAAACATGGAAGACAACATGTTTCCATGCAGCATTCTGCCCCCTCTAAAATCAGAATGCAATGTATCCAAAAAGTCTGTAAGTGGCTGAACTAGCTGGGGATTCTGGGAGTTGTTCAAAAATGTTATTTTATCAAGCTACTGCAGGAAACAGGAAGTTTTTTCTTTATTAGGTTTTTAAAATTAGATGTGTAAATGTTTTTAGGTGTTCTACTTCTTTATATTTTTTATATTTTTTTAAAGATTAAAAAAATATGCATGGCTATACTACTGAGCTATGGTTCCCTTCCAACTTTTTTTTTTTAAAAAACACACACATACATTTGTGTATTCAACAAAATGCCCTTGAACTCTTAGATATATATTGTAGAATTTAGCTACATTAAAAAGCAGAAGCATCTAGTTTAGATATACAGTGGTGCCTCGCTTGACGATTACCCCAGTAGATGACAAAATCGCTTAATGAGGTTTGCGATCGCAAAACTATGTTTCAATGGGGAAAATCCGCTTCATGACAATCGGTTCCCTGCTTCGGGAACCAATTTTTTGCTTCCCGACAATCAAAAACAGCTGATCGTTGGGTTTTCAAAATGGCCACCTGCTGTTTTCTGGACCTATTTCCTGAAGACAGCGATCGAAAATGGCTTCCCCTATGGAGGATCTTCATACCGGTTTTCAATGCATTTCAATGGTTTTTTTCTTTCACTTGATGACGATATCGCTTAACAGCGATTTTAAAGGAATGGATTAACGTCAAGTGGGGCACCAATGTAATGGCATTTTAATCAGTAGATGACAGAATACAAAGATTGCAAAGTGAGAAGTAGCAACTGAAGGAGCAATAATAAGTCAGTTTTGTATCTGAGATGTTTTTCTTAAGCCTTACACAAATAATCAAATGTGCTATCATAACAATCCTATCCTTCTCATGCAAAATAATGCTGAGATAACCTTGAGATTAACTTTCTACCACAAGTGTTTTCTATTTCAAATATGCTATTTATTTGCACTACCTTATTTGACAGCAATAACCATCAGTAGATGAATGCAGTCTGTGGACACAAGATATTTAGCAAGCGGTCTCCCAACATCTTGGTAAGAGCTCCCGACATCAGCAACAGAAATTAACACTATTTAGTCGTAATTCCATATAGTACAGTGCTAACTGGCATTAATTCTTCCAAATGTCTAATTTATCTATCCTTTTCCAGACTAGAACCATACAGATGGTCAACTGAGGCAATACTATGGAAAAGTATGATGTGGAATATTTTTTTTTAATAATGTAGGAAACGGATTGATTTCAGTCTTACTGAGAAGCAAAACATCTTCTCAGGAAGAGCTCTACTCTTTCCCCAGTATTTATTAAGGATTTTTTAAAGTCCCTGAAAGTAAGTATATATATATATATAAAATGAACATAACAATATCCTTAATTTAATGTTCCTAGTGTTCGTAAAGAAAACATTCAATCAACTTCATCTGTGTGTCTGAACCCCATTTTTCTAATGTGAAACTCATGTATATCAATGCAGCCTACAAAGGCAGAACCAAGAGGCTCAGCCTAGCAGCATGATACATACATGATTACCTTGACTGGAGCTGACAGGACGAGGCAGAGAGGGAGAGGAAGGATGTAGAGAAAGAGAGGAACAGTTTGATTTTGAACTGGCAGCTGAAAGCTTGGAATCCTCAGTGATCTGAGAAAGAAAAACAGAACAGCTGGGAACAAAGGCCACAACACATCCCTATCCTGAATGACAGCAAGCCCAGATTTATTTGCCAAAAAAAAAAAAAAAAAAAAAAAAAATGTGTGCACACTCATCCTGGGCTATTTTGCAATCCTCATATATTTTGGTACACAACTTCTTTTTTAAAGTATGAATACTGACAATGCTATGTAAGTAGTACTTAAACCTACATTAGGTCAAAGCAAATGAACATAAGAAAATTATCTAGAACAAGCTTATTTCTTGGAGGTGGGGTCCAAAGTTTTCATCAGATTTTTACAAGAGAAATATAATTTTTAAAATGTCAAGAACTACTGATATATATCATTCCAGTGTCTCAGAATCATAATCTATATACTATTCTACTGTCAGCTACCTCTCATCTTTAGACACATTGGCTAGAATTGCACTGGTTTTCTTGTAATGTTTACGTAACCTGAGCTAACTAATTAGGCTATTAGGCTAATTAATAAGTAGTCGGGGACGTGGTGGCGCTGTGGGTTAACCCGCAAAGCCTCTGGCCTGCAAGGTCGTAAGATCAGCAGTTCGAATCCACGCAACAGTGAGCTCCCATGGCTTATCCCAGTTCCTGCCAACCTAGCAGTTCAAAGGCATGTAAAAATGCAAGTAAATTAATAGGTACCACTACAGTAGGAAGGTAATGGCGTTCCATGTCTAGCCGTGTTGACCACATGACCACAGAAACTGTCTACGGACAAAACGCTGGCTCCATGGCTTGGAAATGGGGATGAGCACCGCCCCCTAGAGTCGGACACAACTTGACAGTTTGTCAAGGGGAACCTTTACCTAATAAGTAGTCAGGGTGTGTTTTGGTAATGTTATTGGTCATACAACTAACTGCACAAGTGAGATGTGCCTGAAATGAGTTACTTGGGGCAAGTTACACAGACCTTACAGGAGTACCAAGCGGATTCTGGCCACTTTAAAAATCACCAACTATTTAATATTAACTAAAAGCAAACAAGAGTATATTGACATACAAGACAATGTCCGTAAATTTATACCCCAGATGTCCCCTTTAACACCTATGCCTAGGATTAGGTACAGTATTAGGTTTCCAAGTCTGATGACATTTGAGCCATAAGGTTTCTTTTATAAACTTGTCTCCTTAAGCAAATTGGACAGTTCTTCCTGACAGTGTGATTTATTTTAAGTTAGAGGTTATTGGGAATGTTCTTCTGGACAGCAAGGTTTTTATGTCAAAATCCAGTGGCATATAAGACAGTGTACAAACATGATACCTAAATGGGTTCAATGAATATCAAAAGGTAAAGGAATGTGAGTGTGATAAAACTCAATTCCACTCTAGTTCACAAAGAACTATCCAAACAGGCCACCACTTCAGCTATATAATGGCCAAAGATTATCTCACTGGTGTGAGTCATCAATCCATTCACATATATTCTCACCTTTTTATCAGAATTACTCATTTTGTACTTTACATCCTTCGCTTTTTGTATAGCCTTCAGCACTTCTACGGTGTCAAGTTCTTTTTCAGTGGTTACAGTATTATCCAAACAAACCTGAAAAACATTAAGCAAGTAGCCATTGTTAATCTTTAATGGTAGAAAAAAACTGAACTCCAATAATTCAACCAGAAAACATCAATTCAATAGCTGAAGGACTGTAACAATTAAGGTTAAACAAGACTTTAGCTACTTGGCACTAATGCAGGAACAAATAAAACATCTCAATTTAAAAGTGATGTTTCCAATGTGAACCAGTTTAGAGAGAATCTTTTGTATAAACAGAGCGGCATTATACTGTCAAACCAAAAGCATGTACCGGTCACAAAGGTGACCCTTATCATCTTATACAGAATTCAAGCACCACTGCTACTCAAAACAACTGGCTACTTTCACACTGCATTATTATACAAAAGTGAAATGCTGCAAGAAAGCCATCCAACGTATTATTTTAGATTTACCTCTGAGGCTCTGTCACCAAATTGCGCTAGCACTTTGGTCCTGTAATCAGGGATTATACTCAAAGGATTGTTTGCTAAAATAACCTTTTCCAAGCATGGAAGGCCTCCTATGTTCCTTATTTCATCAATCTGAAACAGACAGATAAACATTTAAGCTTAGAGTCTTTTTGGGGAAAAATACATATTTTGGTAAACATATGGTGATCAGAATCCTATTGCTGACATATGTGTCCATGAGTAGTACTATGATGTAACTTTCTGCAATGAATTGCCACTGATTAGAAAAGCATTGGTCACATGACTAGGTATATATCTGTCACACAATCAGGCATATACCTTGTTAATGCAATTGATACCTGTTAGTAGCAATTTGCCATGAAGAATTATGTGATTTAATTTATGCATGTGTTACCAACCAGATGCTGACCACTAATATAAGCTGATTAGTCTGTTCCCACAATTTATTTTGTTTGATGACTGCTTTCTCTCTTTATAATGATAGACTGTAAACTGGAGGTTCAGAATTCATAAAATAACTATCTATCCTATTGTAAGAGAAGGAATCAAGATCTGCTTATTTTGCATCTACTAATGCAGATCTATCTAAATTTCCTCAATATCACATTAAAGTTGGAGACAGGCAGACTACAAAAAAGACTGGAAATGAGACTAATGATTTCCTCCAAAAGAGAGGTTATTTACCTTTAACTCTGGTTCTTCAAGTGGTCATCTGTGAATTCACACTAATGGGTTTAATCTGCGCCTGCACAGAAGTCTCTAGAATATTCTAGAGCTTTATGCTACATTTTTTCAGGGACTGCTCCCCTAGCCCATGACGTCCGCCCACCCTCGCAATCACTTCAGTTCCTATGAACAGCCTGCCGCTGCGTCAAGAGATACAGGAGTGACGGACAGAGGGGAGGACAGACAGGAAGTGTGAATTCACAGATGATCACTTGAAGAACCAGAGTTACAGGTAAGTAACTCCTCTTTCTTCTTTGTGGTCTTTGTGAATGCACACTAATGGGTGACTAACAAGCTTACCTTATAGGTGGAGGGATGTCATGGAAGGATCGAATAAAGCACAGCTCTCCCAAATGATGCATCCCTTTTGGCTCTTAAGTCCAGTCTGTAATGGGTAGCAAATGTGGATGGTGCTGCCCATATGACAGCTTTACAAATGTCTGGGAGTGGGACTCCACAAAGGAATGCTGCAGAAGTAGCGGTCACTCTGGTGGAATGAGCCTTAATAACAACAGATAAAGGCTGTTTGGCAAGTTGATATGCCAATTTTATAGTTGAAACGATCCAGCGGGAAATCGTTTGGGAAAAAATATGTGAGCCCCTATGAGGGAGATGTGGGAGAAGTTCTTGAAATATAAAAGGCAAGAGCCCTTCTGGTGTCCAACATGTGTAAAGATCGTTCCAATTCAGATGTGGGTGACGGAAAATACACAGGCAGAATTAGAGGTTGGGAGACGTGGAAATGGGACACAACCTTTGGTAAGAAGGAAACATCCCGAATAAGAGCAACCTTGTCAGGATGAAATTGGAGAAATGGAGGGTCAATTCTCAAGGCTGCGAGCTCAGAGGCTCCGGGGGCAGAAGTAATTGTGACGAGGAAGAGTGTCTTGAGAGAGAGGAGGTATTCTGAAGTAGTGGCAACTGGTTCAAATGGAGGATGAGAAAGCCAGTGGAGAACAAGGGATAGAGACCATTGGGGAGGAGGTGGAGGTACCAAGGAGCGCATATTGGAAACACCCCATAAAAAGCATTTTAGTATGGGATGTCTAAAAATCATGGCAGCTGATAAGTAGATCTTGAGAGTTGAAAGGGATAATTGTTTATCAAATAAATAGGAGAGAAATTGTAGGACAGTTTGTAAATTTGTTAGAATAGTAGGCAGATCGTGTTGGAGAGCAAATTTGGTGAACACAGACCACTTGTAGGAATATAGTTTGGCTGTGGAAGGTTTACAGGCATGTGCGAGAATAGCATGCACTGAGGGAAGATTCTCCATGCTGTGAAATGGAGGGTGTGGAGATCTTAGTGGTGGGTCTGGCCCTGATGCTGTGAGAGTAGGTGTGGAACTAGTGGGAAGCAGAGGTAACCGCTGCTGATGGAATGGAGCATGGTGAACCATGGCTGTCGTGGCCACCAAGGAGCAATGAGGATTGCGTTGGCATGGTCGTGTCTGCTTTTGGATATTGTCCTGAGGAGTAGGATAGGAGAAAAGAGGTATATGAGATGCGTAGTCCAATTTGCCATGACTGCATCCCCTAGTAATCCACGTCCTGCTCTTGAGAAGAAGAGGTCGCATTTGCCATTTTGAGGTGTAGCAAACAAAAGAGGTATATGAGATGCGTAGTCCAATATGCCATGAGTGCATCCCCTAGTAATCCACGTCCCATGCCTGCTCTTGAGAAGAAGAGGTAGCATTTGCCATTTTGAGGTGTAGCAAATATGTCGACTTGTAGCTAACCCCAGAGTTCGCAAAGATGGAGAAACACTGACGGTATGCAGCTGGCTGAGTGTGCCAGTAGACTGTCCTGTGTGGCAATGTGTACTGCCATGGGGAAGATGCGGCATTCCAAACACCATTCCCAAAACTGCACTGTGAGATAAAGAAGTGGAAGGGAGTGTGTGCCTTGCTTGTTGACATAAAATAACGCGGTGTTGTTGTCTGTCGTTACTTGGACGCTGTTGCCGCGGATCACAGGTTCGAAGGCTCTGAATGCCTTGAAGATGGCTAGAAGCTTGAGGCTGTTTATATGGAGGACGGGTTCCATGCGGGACCAGATAGCATGAATGTGAAGATTGTTGCAATGTGCACCCCATCTGGTAGTGCTTGCATCTGTGGTAATTTATAATGATGGTTGAAGGGGAGTAAAAGGTCGTCTCATGAATAAGTTGGATGAGTTGTCCCACCAAAGAAGTTGGGAGGAGAGTTCGGGAGTGACTTTGATATGTTTTGGTGGTGATTCTGTCGTTGGATCGAAGAGGCTGAGATACCAGAACTGGCGTGAACACATTTTTAGCCTGGTGTGTAGAATGGTAGAGCTTGTAGAGGCCATAAGGTCTAGGAGGCGCTGAGCAGAATGTGAGGTGGCGTGAGTGTGGGGATGACACTGAGTAATGAGGAAGTGAAGTTTGACAGCCCTTTAAGGAAGACTCTTGCTTTTGTAGAGTCGAAAACAGCACCTATGTAAGTGATGCGTTGAGTGGAAGTAAGGATTGATTTTTCTTTGTTGATTTTTACACCCAGATCCGCGAGGAGGGAGAGAGTCATCTGGATATCTTTCAGAGCCTGAAAGTAAGAGGGAGAGACTACGAGCCATGTATGGAAAGACAGAAATTCCTAGGGTACGTAAATGAGCTGCTACAGGTGCCATGCACTTTGTAAATACTCTTGGTGCTGTAGAAAGGCCGAAGGGGGGGGGCCCTTGAATTCGTAGGCGTGATCTCTTATGGTGAATCTGAGAAATTTGTGGTGGTCTTGACATATCATAATATGAAAGTATGTGTCGCTTAGATCTATGACGGCAAACTAGTTGCCCTTTTGGAGGGTAGGTAGAACTCGTTCTAATGTGACCATACGAAAACATCTTTCAATGATGTAGTAATTGAATTCTCGAAGGTTGAGGATAGGTCTTAGTCCGCCACCTCGTTTTGGGACGGTGAAGTAATGGGGGAAGAAACCTGGATGGTGTTCTATAGTAGTGATGAGAGATATGGCATCTTTTGAGAGGAGAAACTGAATTTCTTGTTTGAGGACAGTGGATGGTGGTGTTAGAACGATCCTTGATGAAGGCAGGTAATTGAATTCTATGGCATAGCCTGTAGCGATGATAGTGAGTACCGAAGAATCGGTTGTAATAGAAGTCCAGATTGGAAGATGGGCTGATAGACGAGTGGCTGGAGTTGAAGAGAGGTCGAATTCATGGATCTGGGGAATGAGGAAGTCAAAGGCCCAGCTTCTGCTTTTTCTCAGGGCATCAGAAAGATTGTTTTGGATGTTGACGTTGGAATGTCTGTCTAGGTTGAAATGAAGTCATTGATTGGGCTGAGTATTTATTCCTGTTGAAGTATGATTTAGGTTGTTGGTAGAGGTAGGAGTGACACCACTGGGGGCGCTGCAGTCTGTAATATGGCTGGGTATTGTATGACTGAGTTGTCTTTTTCAATTTCTGCAGGTTCTCCAAGATCTCATCAGTCTTCTGATCAAAAAGACCAGAAAGGTAAGTCCTCTATTCTTATCCTGGCGTCATCTGAGATATGTGCGGATCTTAATCATGCATATCTGTGAAGGGCTACTGCAGTAGCCATGTGCCTTGAAGAGGCATCGATCATGTGCCTGGCCGTAATTCTTTCTTGGTGTGCAAGAGCCATGGCCTCCTGGTGGAATGCGAGGCCATGGGACTTGTACTCGTCCGCAGCAGACTGGAGAGATGGGAGAACTTTATTCCACATATAGTGGTGGTAGGCTCCCATAGCTGTAATGTAACTGGCAGCGCAAAGAGTGAATGATGCAAGAGAGTAGATTTTGCATCCTACAATGCACAGTTTTCTCCCCTCCTTGTTGTTGGATGTCATGCTACAGCGGTTACGTGCCCTGCATCCACAATCAGTGAATTAGGAGGTGGATGCTTAAATAAGAAAGCAGTGTTGTCTCCATGTGTCTTGTAAAGGTTTTCAGCCTTCCGAGACATCTGTGGTACAGAAGAAGGTTTTGCCCAGGTTTGTTTAGTGAGTTCCAGCAAGGAAGGAATAAAACTCATGCTTAGAGGCAGAGTTTGTTGTTCATTGATGTCTTCAAAGACCTTGTCTGATTGAACTTGGGAAGGCTGTTGTAAATCAAGTTCCATGGCTTTGGCAATTCGCGGAACTAATTGTAAGTAAGAAGAGAAATCGTCAGATGGAGAAGGAGGATTGTCGGTATTGATATCGGAATCCGGTGTTGGGAGGTTGGGTGGGGATTCTTGGTCTGGTATGGTGGGAAGAATTTGAAGAGAATGAACAGGAGGATAAAGTTGGGGATGCTGGACAGTATTGTGAGAAGGTAGGAGTTGGTTCTGGAGGATCACTGTGAGATCTTGATGAAATGTGTTGAGGCGGTACAGAGGTGACCTGTGATTTGGCGTTCTTATGAAGATGTTTGGTACCGGTGGGTGGAAGCAGAGGGCCTGTGTAGGTAGTGGTTGCTTGTACAGAAGGTTGAGATTGTTGAGCTGAAGCAAATACGTCAGATCACTTTGGGACTGTGGAGTGAGTCTGAGGTACATCATGATGTTTTCTTTTCCATGATTTAAGTTTCAGTATCAGGACGGGTGGTTCAAAACCTTCTTCCGATGAAGACCGAGACTGGCAAGTTTCCTGGTACCATGGTTGATATCTCTCTCCGAGAGAGATGAGTCGGAGAAGTCCGAATCATAATAGTACTGATGTCTATGTTGACGGTCGGAGTAAAAGTCAAGCTCGAACAGATAATGCAGATATGCTCGATATTGAGAGCGTCTGTAGGCAGGGTCGTAGTACTCTGAAGGCTCGTAGAGCCTGACCCTTTTGGACTGCCTGTATCTTATGGGTGGCTCTTGGGACATGAAGGGCCCGGTAGGAGTGACGTGTCTCACGGTATCGGCACCATGACGAGGTGGTTGCGACATATAATGTTGTTTCCTCATCCTCTTACGGGAAGGAGAACGTTGGATGCCTGGTACACAGAGTCCGAAGCATCCACCGAGATGGGTAGATAGAAGACTTGAATGTGGTGAAGTCAGTATCATCGTGACCTCGGCAGCGTCAATCGGTGATGACGGAGACTGAGCCAGTATTGGAGATTCAAGTTGGCCGGATGGAGGTAACAGGTTCTCTTCTGAGGAATCTATGCATACCGTGGGTTGGTCTTGGAGTGATGGCTGAGCTGGTACTGGTCTGCGCGTATGGAAATCAGCAGAAGATTTTTTAATGTTTCTTAGACTTGGATTGCTCCGATATCGAAGGGGACTTCCGTACTGAAGTAGATTTGGTTTAACTCGGAGGTTTAGATTTCATTTTTAAGAGCTTTTAGAAATAGATTTAGCAGATGAAGAGATGGTAGATGGAACCGGAGATTATCTCGGAGGTTGTGGATTATGTGGCTCCATGACTTGAGCAGGTTGGAGTGATTCTTCCCAAAGGAAGGACCTAAGGTGTTATTGCCTTAACTTGAGGGCTTGCTTGGTAAAATTTTTGCAAAACTGACATGAGGAAGTTTGATGGGATTCTCCCGAGCAGAAAAGGCAGATGTTATGGCCGTCTGTCAGAGGAATTTTATTCAAGCACGAGGAGCACCTTTTGAAGGGGGTAAAGGGTGCCATAAATGGTGGGGAAAGGGGAAAAAGGGGGAGAATGGTCCGAGGAAATTAAAGAGTCTCTTGCGATTCCCTAATTGAAGAAGATCATACTAGAAGCTTGGGAATGAATGAGAAAGATTTTATTCCTTTTAGAAATCACAACAGATGAATGCAGCTTGACTAGAGGAGAGACCTCAGTGGTGGCAAAAAGAAACTGACGTGATTGTGAGGGCAGGCGGACCTCGTGGGCTAGAGAGGCGGTCCCTGACAAACGTAGCATAAAGCTCTAGAATATTCCAGAGACCTCTACACAGGCGCAAATTAAACCCATTAGTGTGCATTCACAGAGACCACGAAGAAGAAGCTGAACTTTTGCAATTGGAAATGTTTTACCATACAGTACAGGTTAGAAATTTGTCCTTTAAATATTTAAACAGAGAAGCAAAAGAGGTCAAGATTTTAAGGAAATGAAAAAGGACTAGCTTGCATGATTTCCAGTATGAGACCACACTGGTTTTTTAATGCTGTCCTTGTTCTAAGCTTGCTGTCTAAAATTCTGTTTTTGTTTCACTTTATAACATGACTGTTGCAATCCAAAACATATAGAACACAGTGAAGGGGTAAACTGGGTGAAAAGATCTGAACTAAACATGTATAAGACCATGCTGCATACTACCTGGTCCACTTTGTTGTTGCTAAGATCCAGGTTAACCAAGGAGTAGAGTTTGTTGAGACCACATAGACTTTCCAAATGATTCCCTGCTAAATTCAGAGTCTTTATGTTCCCAATTTTAGTATGAATGCCTTCTAATGTTGCAAGCTTATTATAGGACAAATCGAGATGAATGAGGTTGTAGAGATGCTGTAACATAGCACAAAAAAATTACATGTTTCATTTAATAGTATTCACATCACACATCCTATTGACACCCCATTGGCTCCAGAGGAACTTAGAACACTGCAGAGTACATGGTTTGGGATAAACAAGAGAAGAAGGATAACTTTTATGATGTGAGACAAAATCACTTTGAACAATACTACTTGTCACCTTCTGACCTACATATCCGGTTTGCCTCTTACTGCCAAAAATTATTTGATTTATGAGAGGTCTACTGCTAATAAACTTCCTTGCTTAGTATTTAACTTTTTTCTTATTTTCTGTAAAGAGCTATGCAAAGCAAGCATTTCTATAGAAAAAAGTTAAAATACTCCCTAAGGTCAAAAACCCTGATTGTGCCTGAAGAGGGCTTAGATTTTACATGGCATGAGTTTAACATAACTGAGTATAGTAATCTACTTATTTCTTTGTCTGTTGCTTAGATACCTGGCGGGGTGGTGGTGAGGGCAGTCCTTTTACCTTTTGCAATAGCTCATCCTCAGCTATTATTTGCTAATTTCCCAAGATAAAGCAACAGAATCATAAGATTTTTTTAAAAAAAGAAATACATAGATAATTTAATCAATAAATATTCAAAACAAACCTGCAAGTTTTCCACTAGCGGCACATCATTGTGGCTTAAATCCAGAAATTCTATCTTCGGCATTAGTTTCTTTAAAAAAAAAGGTAAAGAAAGAGTAATTTTTCAGTACCACTGACACACTGGACTAGATTCTACCCTAAATGTTGTTCAGCTAAATAGTTTGGAAACAGTATTTTTCAAAAAGCAGACCAATATTAACAAAGCAAACCTATTTTTTGAAAGTGAGGGAAATTTAAGAAGTCTAGTGGTTTACTGTTCAAAAATTAAAAATCATTAGGCATGATCATTGCCAGAGATATTCACGACATTTGACCATTTCAAAGAAAGCTATTGCAGTGTGTGTGTGTGTGTGTGTGTGTGTGTGTGTGTGTGTGTGTGTGTGTACACACACACACACATATTTCCCTTTTTTCCTGGAAAAGTGGAATTTCTCAGAAATTTTACATTTCTAAACAACACCAGAGTTCTTAAGCGTGTTCTCCCTCAACAGAAAAAATGGATTTTTTTTGGAAATTTTACATCTCTACTCCTTTCAAAATCTGTCTGAAACATTTTTATGAAGTCTTACCACAGAATCATCAATTTGAGCGATGCTATTGTGGCTCATATCTAAGGTTGTTAAAGTTCTCCATGTAGGAATAACTGCTGTCACGGGACAATTTGAAGATGCTCCCTCTGGCTCCCACTGGTCAAATTCATAGGCCTCAGGCACTAGGACCTCCTATCCAAACCATGCACAAGGAAAAAAAACTATGTGAAGTTTATCTTTCTTCCTTCCCCTAAGATGTTTTCATTTTCTAAACCACTTTTATGAAGAATTTTTAAATGCAGTAAGAGATTGATGCCAAAAGAGAAAGAGTGCTTATTTCAATATCCCATTACTTTCAAAAGGACTAATGTGCCTGCCCTCCACAGACGACACACTTCCCTCTCCTCTTTAAAATGTGCTTACAGGCCACAGAACTGGTTTTGCAGAAAAATGATAAAATATATACTTGCAACCAATTTAGGAAATGAGGATGAGATCATGCCATTCTCAGTTGATTAAACAGTAAATACGCCAAGGTGTGTTGAACGTTTCTGTGCAAAATAGCACAACCAGCATTCTTTCTCCTTACTAGTTGTCATTTTTAAAACATCCAAAGCAATTTTTGTGTTTAAAATCTCAGTGTCAATCTAGTGTTTACAGAAAACTCTAATCAGCTTGGATGTCTGTTTACTTCTGGTGTGTTATCTGTACTACTTAAACCCACCCAATTTATCCTCAACTCCTCCTTGATGACCACAAGTCCCTATCATTTTGTCCACGTCTTCTTACTCTCCCAAGGGTCCAGTTCCTTTCTCCTACGTAATCTTGTTCCTACAATTTAGTCTCTTCCATCACCATTCAATCCTACATCTCACCTTCTAAGTCTGAAATTATTACCGTGTTTCCCCGAAAATAAGACAGGATCTTATATTAATATTTGTTCAAAAAAATGACCACAAGTCCCTATCATTTTGTCCACGTCTTCTTACTCTCCCAAGGGTCCAGTTCCTTTCTCCTACGTAATCTTGTTCCTACAATTTAGTCTCTTCCATCACCATTCAATCCTACATCTCACCTTCTAAGTCTGAAATTATTACCGTGTTTCCCCGAAAATAAGACAGGATCTTATATTAATGTTTGTTCAAAATAAAGAGGGCTTATTTTCAGGGAATGTTTTACTTTTTTCATGTACAACAATTTGCATTTATTCAAATACATTCATGACATCTTCTTCTGGTTGCTGCACAATGGTGGAGAGCGGGGTTTCACTTAACTGGGGCTTATTTTTTGGGGTAGGGTTTATATTAAGAGCATCCTGAAAAACCATACTAGGGCTTATTTTCAGGTTAGGCCTTATTTTAGAGGAAACAGTGTAGTCAGAATAATAATTTAAAAAACCTAAACTAGTAAACAGGAGATACCAGTGTGCTTTTCTTTAGGTCACTTTCGGCATGTCAAAAAACATACAAGAAATTTTCTTACACATCTACTTTGTTTTGTCATGAATTACTATACTACATAATTGTAAATGATTCCAATTTTAGTCTTACCATCATGGAAGTTGCTGAAAACTGAACACTCAGTGTTGCTAAGGTATGCCTTGAGAATGTAAGCCCTTTAATAAGCCTCGCACCACAGTGGTTTATCTGTTTTGAGAAGGTAACATAAAAGAAAATGAAAGAGCAGCTATTTAATGTGGAATTAATTACTAGTAGACCACTCCCGTAGATTTATGGACAATGAATAAATATATCCGATATTTTACTAATATCCTCTTGGCAAAACACTCCGTATATAATAGATTCAACTGTATCTATTCAAACAGAATGAAACCAAGCAGGAAGGAAATAATTACACAAATCTCAGACATATGGATATTCTTGGAAAAGCTACAAAGAAAATGAGTTGGATCCAGGGAGGGGGGGGAATTCTCCTGACAACTCAACCCACAAAAATGTCTCATTCATGGTTAGTCTAGCTACGTATAACCCAGTTTATGTAGATAGGACAGTGCTACTGTAAATAAATAAGCTGGGACTCAAAGCTTAGTCATAGAGAGAAGACATATATTGCAAATGCAAAACTTGTCTACAATTTTTCTGCACTATCCATGGAGGAGGGAGTGCTTAGCCTGAGGAAGAGGATTTCATCCATGAAAGCTTGCTACTTATTTAATTTTCTAGTGGTCCAATAAAAGGTATCACCCACTCCTGAATTTGTGTAATCTTGGGGACCACAGGGCCTACTCCTTGTACTTTCTGGATACAAATGGTAGTTTCTAGTATTGCTGGTGAAGACAAAGAGAAGATAAAAACACCACTGCCAGAATCCTTGGAAGAGGTTGCTGGCCAAGGTTTTGAAATTATTTGAGAGTATAAACAGCTTTACATATTCACAACTAATGGAAAACAAATACTGGCCAGAATTCCACTGCATTGTTCCTCCTGTGGAATATGAACGACAGGAGCAGTAGCAGATTGCAGCTGATTAAAGAATTCTTTTTCCAAGTTCACACATGAACGATGGAATAAAAACAGAAGTATTTAATCATCAGCAATTTGTCAATGTCATGCCTACTCCACAGGTTAAAATCTTTACCAGAATACTGGCTACAAAAGTATATATCAAGTACAATGTTAAACATTTTGAGTACTCAGATTTCAATATTTTCTAGAACACTTTGTATCAAATAGCCAGTACAGTGGTGCCTCGCACAGCGAAGTTAATCCGTTCCGGATTAACCCTCGCTGTGTGAAAGCATCATTGAACGGAACATAAAAACCCATTGGAACGCATTAAACATGGTTTAATGTGAAATTATTTGAGAGTATAAACAGCTTTACATATTCACAACTAATGGAAAACAAATACTGGCCAGAATTCCACTGCATTGTTCCTCCTGTGGAATATGAACGACAGCAGCAGTAGCAGATTGCAGCTGATTAAAGAATTCTTTTTCCAAGTTCACACATGAACGATGGAATAAAAACAGAAGTATTTAATCATCAGCAATTTGTCAATGTCATGCCTACTCCACAGGTTAAAATCTTTACCAGAATACTGGCTACAAAAGTATATATCAAGTACAATGTTAAACATTTTGAGTACTCAAATTTCAATATTTTCTAGAACACTTTGTACCAAATAGCCAGTATAGTGTAGTGGACAAGGTTGGCATAAGATGTAAGAGACCTGGGCCCATATACCCACGTTCACTGCAGGACAGCACTGGTTAAATCACTTCCTCAAATAGGTCATACATTGGAAACCCTACTAGGGTCATTAGTCAGAATCAACGTGACAATACATAACATACAAACTATATACCAAACTCTTTTCAGACTTACCTGTATCTGATGAAGAGACTTAAATATTGATAGGTCAAAAGGTAAAAGATGTTCCTGAATGTTACTAGTTCCAAAAGTTCCACGTGTCCCAGTTATCTAATAATGAAAATAGAGATACAGTCAACCCTTGATTTACGAACTTAATCCGTTCCGGAAGTCAGTTCATAAATTGGAAAGTTCATAAATCGAGCCAGGATTTCCCATAGGAATACAATGGAAACCAATTAATCTGTTCCGGCCGAAGTCCTCCCATGGTGCTGGGGAAGAAAATCTTTTCACCCGATGTTGCCGCGGCTGCTGAGTCCCCTTCGCGCCAGGCCAGGGAGTGAGCTCAGCCCGGCGCGAAGGGGACTCAGCATCGGGTGAAAGGAGGGAGCTGATTTTTCCCCGGCCGCCCGGCTTGCTTCTCGTTTGGAAAAGCAAGCCTGGCGGCCGGGGAGAAATTGGCTCCCTCCTTTCACCCAATGCTGCCAGGGCCGCCTCCTTTTTGGTTTCAGAGGTTTCAAAGGGCTTCCTCTGATGTCGGAGGATGCCTTTTGAAAGCTCCAAGGCAAGGGAGGAAGGGCAGGAAATTCGAACCTCACGCCCTTTCTCCCTGCCTTTTTGGCTTCGGAGGTTTCAAAGGGCTTTCTCCGATGTCGGAGGAAGCCTTTTGAAAGCTCCAAAGACAAGGAGGAACCGCAGGAAATATGAATTTCCCGCCCTTTCTCCCTGCCTTTTGGGTTCGTAACTCGATCTACGTTCGCAAGTAGGGTCTGCTACTTGCGATGAGATCGGGTTCGTAACCCGAAACATTCGCAACTAGGGCCGTTCGTAAGTCGAAGGCCCACTGTAGTACTAGACAGGACTATCAAATTGCAATTCAGAAATGTTTATAACTGCTTTATTGACAAATACAAAAAGCAGAAAATTTACTGCTTACAGTAGCGATGCATAAAGTAACTGTGGTAATTTGATAGCAGTGTAAAGATGCAGCTCACCTAAGCTGAAAAACCAAGGCTGCCCCCTGGTGCTTATATAATGAACCAGACAATTTAAGAAAATTCTTTAAAATAGATATTTGTTTTAAAAAAAGAGGGTTGAATAATGCTAGGCCTTACAAATAAAAGTAAACTGATTCTATGAATTAATAAAGAAATGTTGTTCAGGTCTTATCTGATAAAAAGGGGATTCATTTTGAGTTTCCCTAAAAGCCAAGTCATATATATTGTAGCGGCACTTGAAAATCAAGCCAAAGTAAACAGTCCCTCTCTCTTCAAGTCATAGCTAAGACAGTATTCACCGTACCTTCATATATTTTTCTTCATGCAACTTTGATATCTCCCTCTTCCAGCATTCTTAATGGTAATAAACTACTAGAATATTTGTATTAGAAGACTTTTACCTTCAAATATTTCAGTCTACATGTGAAATCCAGAATGTGACCAAGATCAGTTTTGGCATCCCCATTTGCACATGTTGGCTTTCCCTGACGCAGCTGTTGAGTGATAGCATACAGTTGCAGAGGTCTAATATGAAAGACTTCACCAGCTACAAGCAGCTGCTCTCCTAAAAAAGCCAGGAAGGATAGATTTAGCAAGCAATAATACTAAGGAAACAACAATGATTTGGATTGTATAAGTGGTTGAAATCTTAAAACAAAATAATTGTCTCTTCTAACAAGCACCTGAGAAGTCTAACTAGGACTTGAGCATATTAGAATCCTGAAAAAAACCAATCTGCTGACTTTCTGCACATCTGACCACTCAAAGAAGACAAAACAGGTGATTTTAGGCCAACTTCAGAAAGCATTTTAAAAATCCCCTTAAAAATGATTTGCACTCTTAGTCCTAATGGAGATGCTCTTAACATACCACGAGCATATGAGTTACATATGCCCTGCATAGCTGCAAGCACTTCTCTGACACTTTCACTTCAAACCTAACTTTTTTCTTATTGCTACTTGGTTATGTGTTAGCCTAAGGACAATCACCCCCAAACCTCTACAAAATATTTGGAGCTGCCACATTAACTGTGCCATCCAGCCAACGCCTCCTCAGTTCCAACTGATATTTATATTTAATTTATATTTAAATATGTTGATTGAAATCGTCTCTTTGGTTTAAACTCCACCCTCTTCTGGTTTTGTGTAGCTTTAGCGATATGGATGTTATATTCATTATTTCCTGACTGCTATATTTCTTTAAATTTACATTTAAATATAAAGTAAATAATGAGTTTTATTCAGGAGCAAACAAAAGGAAGTTTATTAGGGATATACAGGTAACTGGAAGGAAGGAAAGGCAATTCCTTGGGTATTTAAGATGAATGGTAGATAAATTAACTATATTCTTCCATTAATACACACTTCCTCATGCTCTTCCTTATCCAAAACCCAAAATCAACTATCTCTACATAACACACTCTTGCAAAGTCCTCTTAATCTTCTTCATCACAAAACAGACTTCAGACTAACACCAACTGACTTGACTGACTCTCTAACTGCCACTTCATGCACTCTGCTTATTTCCTACTTTTGTGTTCCAGTATTGCTGTGTGTTCAATTTCGTCTTGGACTCTTGCATAAAAGTTTCCTATTGTTTTCTTCTGCAGCATCTGTAGCAGCAGCACAAACTTCAATGATAGTTAGGCTGATGGATTTTCAAAAAAGTCTGAATGACTATGCAGTATACCGCTTAGTCACGCCTTTCTTTGGTATCAGAGTCGCTCTGTTTCTTCTCAGCTTGTCATTTCAGAGGAAAAGACTTTGTAATTGTCTAACTAGAAATGTCATATTCCTGTCCAAGAGTTCTCTCACCCCAAGTACTGCAATGTTTAAACTTTTTCCTTTATGGTTTCTGTTTTACTTTGGTTTATACTTTTAATACTGTATTTCATTTTCCAGTTATATATGTTGTGCAGCACTGCACTTTGCTTTCCAGATCCACACGGGTCTCCAGATGTCCTTTTTGTTTAATCTAGTTCTTTTCTGGGTGACAGTGATATTTGTACAGTACTTGTCCTTCACACTTCCCCACTAGCTGAATGAAGACCTTCTCCAGCACTATCTCTTGTTTCAGTCTGGATCATCTCATCGTAGGGTTTTTAACATAAGAGATAGTCAGAAGTCTTCTGCTGTGCAGTACTAATAAAAGATAGCTTCAGAGTCACTGCCATTGTCTGTGAAAAATCCTCCACCACTGTCATCTTTCACTATGGTTGGCCAGTAGTGCTCTCCAGGGGTTTCTCTGCCCCCTCACCACTGAAACTGTCTTCAGGGTAGATGCAACTTGGTCTGGAGTCTCAGCTTTGACTATTCCATTCTGGGTGACCCTACTAGGAAATCAGACTGAGCTAAGCCTCTTGATGGAATTGCTCTCACACACTCAAACCCCCTCACCATGATAAGGTGTGCCTCTAACAGAGAGCTATCCACAATAGTCACTGTAAATATGTTGCAATGTTAAGAATTTGTGCCTGAATTTGTTTCGCTTCCATTCTTCTCTCACTACACATTTTTTCCTGTTATGTCATGTCTTAGATTTTAAGCCTGTGAACAGGGTCTATGTTGATTCTGTCATTAACCTTGTCTCAGTTACGCTATTCTGGTAGCCTTTTATGTATTTTATTACAAGACTTTATACTGCTTTTTTATTCCAAAAAATCCTGCAGCATGGTTTAGTACATCTTACTATGTCACAGAATCCAAAAATATAAAATAACAAAGCAATAAATAGCGATGGAACAATAAAAGGTGAAAAGCCAGGTTTAAAAAAGAGTTCAAATAAAGATAAGAATTATGTGCCCTTTAAAAGGATAAGTACCTTTGTGAAAGAGTTCTTCGGCCAATGCAGCAGTGATCCCAATGGTTTCCTGAAAAGAACAAGGCTTTTAAACAAATCATTTAAAAAAAATTAAGTCTAAATTGCTGCTTATTGAGCATTCGTTTTTAAAAACATAAAATCAGATATATTAATGCCATGACCAAAATCTTAGTAGTGTTCATAGAGGAATCACATAAATTATGAAGGCTGCTTGTGACTGATGGGGCTCTGAGCCTGTGTCAGTCACATGCCTGGTTCATGTACCAGTTGCACTAGCTTGTGTCTTGGAACTGTCATTAGCTACAATTAGCGACAGCAACTTTCATAATCCCCTTGTAAATACCAACAATAATTAAATCATAATATATTTGTACTAATTAGAAGGATTCAAAATAAATGAAATACGGATTTTGAGTCAGAGAATAGTGGAGTATTATGCAAGGAAGGACAAGGTGCCAAAACTTCACAATCTACTCAAGTCTGTGCTTAGTGCCACAATTTTTTTTTTTTTTGCATTTCTGCTGGTTCTAATAAAAATATTGGCAGACTGACAACGGACCAACATCTTAATTAAAATAACACTGTGCTTTTATTAAGGAACTGCAAGTGCTTTATAAAAAAGCTATATGAAAATAGTGAGTGTCAGAATATGCATCTCATTAATACAACAAAAATCAAACATAGCTTAGTCATTTAGCAACCATTCATTTAATCTTTGGAGAGAGGCTCAAAGTTGTAAAAGCAAATAAAATGTGTTGCAAAATAATTCATGTGTTACAGAATACCAAGCACATTAAAATACTACTATATTTGATATTTGCATAAAGTTTGCAAAACTTGTTGCACCTAATTGTAGCTAACTGTTAAAGAGCTGAGACATATCTCAACTATGCAACTGGGTGTGTGCCCTGGCATCTCATCAATTAGCAACAATTAGCTGTGGCAAATTATACAAACATCAACAAGATTCTGACCACTACAAACAGAGAAAAGTCAGCAGACTTAAGTATTGTACTGTGAAATGTAAGCTATACCAAGTAACAAATCAAAGGCACAAAAAGCCTGAACTTAAAGTTATTCTTATATCACCATCATCATCATCATGTTAGAAATGCAGAGCTGGAAGGGACATTTCTATTCCAACAGTAGCTAATCTTTACTTGAAACCCATTTAAGGAAAGTTTTGCATGATGTTCTAGAAACATTAAATTAAAAACCAAAAATGCACAGAATATCAAATCATTTAAGATCACAATGAGCACCTCAGTGAGTGCAAAATTTCTGACAGTGAATATTCCAAATTACATTGCTTCAACTTTATGAAAACATCACTGGGATACAACTTACATATAAGTGAAAATGTAAGAACTGTGACAATACTTTGGGTGCAGCTAAAGGAAATGCGACCAGGAGAGTTTGCAGATATGCTTCCAAATCTTTTTGTCTTTTTTCCACCAAACTTTTGGAATTTTTCCCAATAATCTTCTTAGGGGGCAGGAGATTCTTATCAATCTTCTTTTCTGAAACAAGCTGTAAAAACCAGATCAGCAAATTCACAAACGAATCAGAGGTTCAAGAAAGGATATAAGAATCTTCACAATAAAGAGGAGGACCACACTGAAATAAAATATTTTCTCTTGGCATGAATTTCCAGTATTCTTTTTTAAATGTACCATAATTATATTCCAGAAGCAGTGCCTTTAAAAAAAGCTAGAAATGCAGACTTATCCCATAATATGCAATCCCATCTGTTTCTACTTGGCCCTCATGACTTCAGTGAGAATTTATCCCCAAGTGTATGAAGGATTGTAGCTAAAGGTATACAACCTTCACTCCAGGAATACAACTGTAAATACTTCTCTCACGTAGAAAATAATATGGTTACAACTAAATCACAAATATAATAAACCTACAACTAGAAGGCTTGTAAAAACAAATTATAGCTCTCACACACATTGAGTTGCCTATAAACATTTCCACTTTCCACTTCATGAACATGGTTCTATATAGCCTATCTACCAGCTTTTACTTCTGTTACGTACTTTGCTTTTCCAGTTAATGTGATATGTGGCTCAGGTAGCTAGATAGGCAGTATATAAACTGACTGACCGACCGACTGAATAAATAAATAAATAAATAAATATGCAAAGATACATACTGGATAACTGATTAAGAATATATTTATAAAATCTAAGTAATGTCGTGTTAGTTTCTGTGTAATTTTGTTCTTGCCATTCTTAATGCAGTGTCAGTGCATTTGCAACCTGATGTACACAATAACTATTATATATTTCACTCGATATGTCTGTAGAAGTGGACCTGCCCACAGCAGCTCAAATTAAAATATGGTAGTCTTAAAGGTGCCACGGGTTATTGTCTTTTTCACTCGATTTTTATATTACTACTACTAATTGATTTTATTAATTGATAAATTAATAAAATATGTCTAAAATTACACTAAATATACCTTCCTTAGCAATGCCGTTATGCTGTAAAGTACTGTGTTTCAGTAATCAGATTTGCACTACTCTTACCTCTAGCAGCCTTGGCTTAAATAAGTAATTTAAACCAAGACTCTCTGTCTTGGTTTAGACTTTCATTTAAAGCATACCTTAAATTTAAATCAATCTACCTTATACTGTGACGTTAAAAAAAGAAGAAAAGAAGAATCCACATGATTCTAAGTTGCGAATAGCATGATGCAGCCTTGTCTTTAAGACCGGAAGTTATGGAGACTACACAAAGGTTACGGTGACTCACCAAACAACTTCAACATACCAACAGATGGTCTTTATTTAATAAACAAGCATCCCTTTCCTTTCAACTGTATAAAATACTGGTATTTTGTACCACAGAATAAAATAAGAATAATTGGCTTAAATAAGTAATTTAAACCAAGACTTTCTGTCTTGGTTTAGACTAAGGTTTTAAAAAAAATTCTCAAAATGTTAAGCCAAAAAAAGAAAGGAAAATTTATTTACCCTTTCATGCAGGTCATGGAAGTCACTGTATCGGTGTTTGACTATCCACTGATGGCTTCCAACATTCACTTGAATAATATATACCTAAAGAGAAAAACAGTTCTTTAGCTGACCAAGAAATTTTAAAAAGGCTAATACAGTGGTGCCCGCGACGCTTACCCCGGTAAATGACGAAATCGCTTGACAATGACTTTTTTGCGATCATTATTGCAATTGCAAATTGATGGTTCCTATGGGGAAAATCCCCCCATAGTGTTTAACGCACTCTCTGGGCAGTTTACAAGTTAATTATGCAGGCTACACATTGCGTCCCCCAGCAAGCTGGGTATTCATTTTACCGACCTCAGAAGGACAGAAGGCTGAGACAATCTTGAGTTGGATACCTCGGATACAATCCCGAGTCATGAGCAGCTTTAGTTGCAGAACAGCAGTTCAAACACTGTGCCACGAGGCATTTGTTCGAGCAGAATTATCCAAGTGATTAAACTTGAGCCAATACTTTAAGGTTTTAAAAAAATTCTCGCGCTTTACGTTGATTAAGTCCCTGCTTCGCAAACTGTTTGTTCACTAAACAATTATTTTTCCGGCTCTGGAAAATGGCTTCCCTACGCAAAATGGCTGTTTGCCGGACAGAAGCTTTGGAAGACAGCGATTTTGAACAGCTGATTGGCGGTTCTCTATGGGCAATCTTCGCTGGACGATGAGGTATTTCCCCATTGGAACGCATTAACCAGTTTCATTCCAATGGGTTCTTTTTTCGCATGACAACTATTTCGCTTAACAGCGATTTTAATAGAACAGATTATCGTCGTCATGTGGGTCACCACTGTATACATATTCATAGAAAGACATATGGTAATCTGTGGTATAACACAAATTAAATGAAACCTACTAAGGTTATTTAGGGACATGGTGGCGCTGCGGGTTAAACTGCAGAAGCCTCTGTGCTGCAAGGTCAGAAGACCAAGCAGTCGTAAGATCGAATCCACGTGATGGAGTGAGCTCCCGTCACTCGTCCCAGCTCCTGCTGACCTAGCAGTTCGAAAGCATGTAAATGCAAGTAGATAAAAAGTAGATAAACATGGTGGGAAAGTAACGGTCGCGCTGGCCACATGACCACAGAAACTGTCTACGGGCAAACGCTGGCTCTACAGCTTGGAAACAGAGATGAGCATTACCCCTTAGAGTCAAACATGACTGGACTAAATGTCAAGGGGAACCTTTACCTTACTAAGGTTATTTGTTAAAGCTTTGCACTTCTACCCATCTACAGAGTACCTACTCATTCAATGTTCAGGTTGATGCAAGTGCAGGATAACTAAATGAGACAACAGACAACACAAGAACTACTTTCCAGTTACACATGACCATTGCTCCTTGGCATGATCTGAAGGTTAGTAGTTCACCTCCTAAGAAAAGTTAGAGAGAACAGTTCTGCAGAAATTACTGTCTGAAATCCAGAAAATCATCAGGTCATCCTCACTGTAATATATTACTATTAAACCAATGCAGAATCAGCTGCAAAATAGTGTTCTTTTATGACAACCCGAAGAACACAGAACACTTTAATTGATTAAACAAACAGTGAGCCAACAAATCTACACATCCCAGAAAAATGTACCAAAGTATCAATACGTTGCTCCACTTCAGTCATCACATTTATCTGCTACTTTCCCTTATGAGAGCACACATGGTTGGATTTGCTTATTTTTATCCTCCCATTATGAGCAATGTACCACAGCAGCTGCATTACTGATGTTTAAGTGTAGTACACTGACAATTTAAGACATCACAAACTTTTGAATAGGGTTTGGCTGGAACGATGGGGAAATCCGCATCGGTATGCGGATTCTTCGTTAAACGGTGCACTCGTTATGCGAGGCACCACTGTATATTACTATTACACCAATGCAGAATCAGCTGCAAAATAGTGTTCTTTTATGACAACCCGAAGAACACAGAACACTTTAATTGATTAAACAAACAGTGAGCCAACAAATCTACACATCCCAGAAAAATGTACCAAAGTATCAATACGTTGCTCCACTTCAGTCATCACATTTATCTGCTACTTTCCCTTATGAGAGCACACATGGTTGGATTTGCTCATTTTTATCCTCCCATTATGAGCAATGTATCACAGCAGCTGCATTACCGATGTTTAAGTGTAGCACACTGACAATTTAAGACATCACAAACGTTTGAATAGGGTTTGGCTGGAAAAGCGATGGGGAAATCCGCATCGGTATGCGGATTCTTCGTTAAACGGTGCACTCGTTATGCGAGGCACCACTGTATATTACTATTACACCAATGCAGAATCAGCTGCAAAATAGTGTTCTTTTATGACAACCCGAAGAACACAGAACACTTTAATTGATTAAACAAACAGTGAGCCAACAAATCTACACATCCCAGAAAAATGTACCAAAGTATCAATACGTTGCTCCACTTCAGTCATCACATTTATCTGCTACTTTCCCTTATGAGAGCACACATGGTTGGATTTGCTTATTTTTATCCTCCCATTATGAGCAATGTACCACAGCAGCTGCATTACTGATGTTTAAGTGTAGTACACTGACAATTTAAGACATCACAAACTTTTGAATAGGGTTTGGCTGGAACTGTTGCATTTGTATGATATTTTGTTAGTTCCAGCATAAGGAGACTTTTGACATGGTAGAAAAACCCAACTGTCTGAATAAGCAGATGTGATTTTCAGTAATTTCACCCATAACTCTCCCTGTGCATAATCCCACACAAAAATCTTGTGGTTTGGTGTAAAGTATGGGTGAAGATCACCTTCTGTGTTTCTGCTGGTAGAAGCATTCTGAGCAAAATACCACTCAGAAGCTCTCTGCTACAGAAAAAATAGTTGGATCTATCCCATGATTCAACATCAGACCACATCTGAATTCTCACAAGAAGCTAAAATGACTAAACGGTAAAGGTAAAGGTTCCCCTTGACATTTTTTGTCCAGTCGTGTTCGACTCTAGGGGGCGGCGCTCATCCCGCTCTTCAAGCCATAGAGCCAGCGTTTGTCCGAAGACAATCTTTCCGTGGTCACATGGCCAGTGTGATTTAGACACGGAACACTGTTTACCTTCCCACCGAGATGGTACCTATTTATCTACTCGCATTTGCATGCTTTCGAACCGCTAGGTTGGCGGGAGCTGGGATAAGCAACGGGCGCTCACTCCGTCGCGTGGATTCGAGCTTACGACTGCTTGGTCTTCTGACCCTGCAGCACAGGCTTCTGCGGTTTAGCCCACAGCGCCACCACGTCCCTAAAAAATGACTAAACAGGGGCTATCATATTTTGAACAAACTATGAGAAGACAAGATCCACTGAAAAAGTCAATAATGCTAGAAAAAAGTAAAGGCACTATGAAAAGAGGAAGACCTATCAAAAGATAAAGATTGTTTTGGGCACCAGTATAGTTTTCAAGACTATGTCTTACTGCAATCAAAGGTGAATTTAGTTGTGAATTGCATTAGGTTGAAAAGCACGGTCGTAATACACTGTCTCTGTGTATGGTTCACGAGCTGCACAGTGGCAGAGAAAAAGGCAATTCAAGGGGTAATCAAGACGGCCCAAAACATCATTGGCTGTTCACTCCCCTCTTTGGAAGAATTGTATAAGAACAGATGTAAGAGGAAGATATCTAACATACTGAAAGACTCCTCTCATCCGGGATATCAGCTCTTTAAACTATTACCATCAGGAAGGAGATTCAGGGTATTGAAAGCAAGGACGAGCAGATTCAAGAACAGTTTTTACCCAAGTGCAGTATTGAGTTTAAATGCGGGGCCATAAGTTTTTGGTGGACTTTTTAATTGCTGAGAGAAAACGGGGTATCTATATTTGGATGGTGAAAGTTGTGTATATTTTAACTTTTTTTTTTGTAGTGTTGTCCAGTTTTACCTTGGGGAAGAGCACCTCATTTCGTTGCACCCACTTGTGAGCGCAATGACAAATAAATTTCTTATGTCTTATGTCTTATGTCTTAATAGGACAGAGGAATTAATCCCTCAGTGGTGGGAAGAGGCATCTCTCCGATCAGACCACAGGCTGCCAGTGTTGACTAGTAGAGGTCTGCCCTTTTCTGTTTTTGTACTGTAGTTCCCAGAACTCTGCAAGAATTCTGAGAACTGAAGCCCACAAATCCAGATCAGCACACCTGTAGGTTCCGTCCCTCTAGAGAAGAGCTTTGCATTTTTTTAGCTGCACTAATCTGGCCTTTATCTCCTGCCGTTGATTGGTCAAGGAAGTAAGGAAGAAAGGAAGGATGCTACTGTACTGCTTCCTAGAAATCATAGTTTTTGGAAGGCAACCTCCATAGAGCCTAATGGGCAGTGAGACTACCCACCTAATAATCTTTAAACTCATGCTGAGTTGTTGAAGACAGTAAAGAAAATCTCAATTTCTCACATATTTCTAGACAAGAAGGGGGCTCTAAAAATGAAATACAGTACATAAAGAATTCTTTGACAAAGAAAGTAACTTTCTCAAATTAAGCTTTTTAAAATTCTTAACATATTATTCACACTCTTTGCATTTTCACAGATTAAACAGCTTCTTGGAAAGATCTGAAATCATTTGACAGGGAGAAATGATTGCAGAAAAATGCTGGTCACATGGCTATATTTACTAGTTACATGATACCATGATATTTCCAAGTGAAACTACATTAGTGTTAACATCTAATAATAATAATCATGTCAATTTTGACTTACGGTGATCTTTTTCAAGGTTTTTGAGGTAGAGAATACTCAGAAGTGGCTTACCATCCCCTTCTTGTGGTGGTGCCCTGAAACTGTACAGCTTGCCCAAAGCTACACAGGCTGGCTCTGCTTTGCAGGAGGTACAGTGAGAAACTGAACTCCAAATTCTGGCTCCGCAGCCAGATACCTAAATGGCTAAGTATAAAAGTGTGCGTTTGTCACCCTATGCTAAATCATGTTGATTTAGAAACAGTGGGAAAGCCTCTTATGGCTTTTGTTAAGGGACACTTATATTTAGAACACCCAAGACAAATTTGTGAACTATCTAAGATCTTTTCTAGAAAGCGTGTTCAAA